CTCACTGATTAATCACGATCCTGCGCAAACCACTCAACGTAAGAAGCTCAATTTTGGCATACAGGTTGATTCTAGGGTGTAGAGGTTCGATAAGAACGGATTTTTCGAAATTCCAGCTCCAAGGGGGTGAAACCACCCCACAAATATTACAAATTTTTTATTTAAAAAACGGTCAAGGTTCCGAAAAAACGCTTAAACACGTATATTTTATTTTGTTTTTTACCTATTTTAAGATTTTTTAAAAATGCATACAGGGTGTTTCGAAAAATCTGGTAATTGATTAATCACGATCCTGCTTAAAGCGCTTGACGTAAAAAGCGGATTGACTTTATGGTGTAGAGGTTCGATAAGAAGGGATTTTTCAAACTCGAATTCTAAGGGGGTGAAACCGCCCCCCAAATATTAGAATATTTTTTATTTAAAAACCGGTGAGTTTTTCGGAAAAACTCTTAAACACGTATATTTTATTTTGTTGTTTTACATATTTTAAGATTTTTTAAAAATTTATACAGGGTGTTTCATAAAATATGACCATTGAGTAATCACGATTCTGCTTAAACTGCTTGACGTTTAAAGCTGATTTTTGGCAAACGGATTGACTGTGGGGTGTAGAGGTTCGGAGGGTTTTCTCGAATCTCAAATTCTGAGAGGGTGAAAACGCCCCTCAAATATTACAATATATGTTTTTTAAAAAACGGTTAGTCTTTCGGGAAAACGCTTGGACGCGCATAATTTATTTTGTTTTTTTACATATTTTAAATTTTTTTTTAAAATCATACAGGGCGTTCCAAAAAGTTGGGTAATTGATTAACCGCGATTCTGCTTAAACTGCTTGACGTAAAAAGCGTATTTTTTTGCAAACGGATTTTTCGAAAGTCAAATTCCACCGAGATGAAACTACCCCTCAAATATTACCAAGTTATATAATAATATCGCCATATTGTTTTTTCTCATGCTGACATAAATGTGAGAAAATTTTATCCAGTTTGTATGTTAATGGAAATTCTTGCTTTACTTTATCATCACCATTACAAATGGTTAATTCGACGCGAACGAAGTCGCGGGTACATGCTAGTCAGTACTATGATCGTTTAAAATATATAATTTTTTTACATATTAAAGATCTTTTTTTTTCAACTTGCAACATTTCGTTCACATCCAGCTCCGGCCAAATAGAGGAAACAACTTTAAACAAATAGTGCGATATCTGCCTCCATAACAATAAGGTGATCTGTTTATAACTGTAGGATCTACATACATTTAGAAAGGAACAAAAAATAAACAAATCTACGATTCAGAGCAAGATAGAAAATTGACAAAATATTATGGACTATAAATAAATTATTAATATTATTTTGCAGTAAAAAAATAGCCTGTAACCTTAAAAAAGCCTGTAAAAGTAATGATGTCATCAAAATAACCTCTCATTTTATTGTTGATGAACACAATTTTTGTCTGACGTAGCTAACGTAGCTGTCAAAACAATCGTTCATGTTCGTTTATGAATAAAATAAGAGGAAATGCTATAAATTGTAACATTATAAATAATGTATGAATTGAAATGGTCGGTATATTTGTTACCCACAAAATTATTTAAAAAAAAGCACAGATGTGAAAAAATTACTCGGCACGAACAAAATCAAGTTGTATGCACGGTGTAGAATAAAATAGTTTTTAATAGAACTGAAAAAGTTTAAAAATCTCTTTAAAACTTAAAAATTAAAATATATAGGTACAGCCCTAATATAACGATTTAATAATTACACCCCAGAATATCAATGTAAAGTTGATAAATTATATAAAAATTACCGTAAAATAGTGCAGTTTTAACTTTGATAATGCATTGGATTTTTTTGTCTTAAGAGAAAACAAACAAAATATAAAGAAATTTAGTTAAGAAAAAATCCTGAAACGTAGGCAGTAAAATATCTGAACTTACTAATAATTATTTTGTTATTAATATAGATTAATTTATAATTTATTAGTTTAATATGTACAAAATGTTTCGCTAAGAATGGTACTCAACACTTCAGAAACATTCTTTTATAAATATGCGCTAAAAAACTATTGTGAGTTAGGTTCGAGGAAATATTCTGAAATATACTTTCAAATTACTAGAGGCACAACTATTGTCACTAAAATATACAGGGTGGTCCGAACTGTATTCCGGAAACATTGGCAGCATATTCTGCAAATAAAAATAAGTAAAAATGTTCGTATAAATTTATGTCCTAAAATGCTTAGTTTCGGAGATACAGGGTGTAGAAGTTTCATTTTAATTTCGATTTTTTCCAAATAATTTCTGATGTAACATCAATATTTGGATGAAAATTGGTGTCTGGGAGTTTTTTGGCATGAGAAATTTGATTTTGATGACAATATGACTCCTACTTGTAGAGGGCGCCACCTACACAGATTTTTTAACCGGTTTGAAGTTTAATAACTTTTCGTCCGTACCTGTATAAAACTACTGAGTAAAAAATGTGTATTTATTTTTTTAACAGACAAAAAGTCTCTTTGTACAAATCGTTACGTAATTATTCTCGAGATATTTGGAATCGAAATTATTAATACCTGCCATCACTGACTTAAATTAAACATGTAAAAATAGTTATTAGACTGAAATCATAAATTTGAAATGTTTTTGTACTAAAAGTTCAACACAGAACCTGTTTATAATCATGTTTTCGAAGAAAATTTTATAATTTAAAAAAATACAAAAATCCCAAATTTATCGTTTCAGTCAAATAAAACTATCTACTTATATGTTTATTTTTTGTCAATAATGACATGTATTTACTGTTTCCATACCAAGAGACATTTTTTACGTAGAAAATCACGGAAATGTATATTTTTTCACTTAGTAATTTTATACAGTTACGGACAAAAAGTTATTAGTCTTCAAAACAGTTAAAACACATGTATGTGGCGCCCCCTACAAGTAGCAGTCATATTGACATCAAAATCAAATTTCTCATGTCAAAAAAACTCCCAGACACCAATTTTCATCCAAACATTGACGTTACTTCAGAAATTATTTGGAAAAAATCGAAATAAAAATGAATCTTCTACACCCTGTATCTGCGAAACGAAGCATTTTACACTCATTTATACGGAGTTTTTTATTTATTTTTATCTCCAGAATATGCTGCCGGGGTTTTCGGAATACAGTTCGGACCACCCTGTATATCTGGATAATTATTTTAGCATTACTGGTAGGATATCAAATACCTGAACAGATCTATAATTCCATAGCCATTATACGGCATTATTGGAACTTTTTCTGTCCTAACTACAGACTTGTTCTAGAATGCAAAGACCACAAGGGCAACGAAAAAGAAGATGAAATGACCAAATAAGGCTCATTCACGTCATTCATATTCCGAAGTCCTTCTACGGTGCAACGAAGACATTTACGAAAATGCCACAAAACATTGGAGGGCCCATAACATGACCTCCAGAAAAAAAACTCACCAAGCAAAGACAGCAAAACTGCCAAAACTGTAGTAGGTCTATTAAGAGGCTGGATGTAATCGGATATCTCGTGAATAAGATAAAAATATTACTACATTGTATGTCAATGCGATAGCCTAGAACGTGTGCAGTTTCAAATCATTGGCAAAAAGCTATATGGAAAGTTCAGTCTACAAGTTATTAGACTTTTTGAAAACTACACTACTGAATAATTTATTATCGAGATAAGAAGACAAAAAAATAAAAGATGGCAGTGAAGTAGGTCAATATCCACCTTATAAAACATATCTATCTAAGGGTGTATTCCGTTGCTTACCTTGGTTATGGTTTTATGTTCCGTTTGTGTCAGTTTCCTGAAAGTTTTCTTATTACGAAACACGGTTCCTGAAAAATTCGGTTATAACTGTCACCAAACTATCCAGCGCGAGAAGGCCGGTTCATGGCTGGTTCTTCTGGTTTTGTTGGTCAATCAATGTCATTTATGTGACAGAAATCAAGCAAATATTGAAAGTTCGAGTGAAATTCTCATTTAATTTTTAGAATTTGTAATAATATTTTGTATTTACATCCAAAAGCAATGGAGGTAGGCAGTAAAGGTAAATAAATTTCATTAATTAAATAGAATGACTTTTTAGGACCAATTAAACTTATCATGCAGCCATTGTTTCTTATAGTCAGGAACATTTAAAGAAAACATGAAAAACAAGACAACAAGTAATCGTGAATGTTTTGTAAGCTATAAAAATATAAATATTAATTAGATTTTTTTTATTTATTATTGATCTGTTTTAATATTGGACCTGCAAATCTTCACTTGAGCTGTCTAACGAGTTTAACAGTTTATTAATAAAGTACTTTTCAATATTAAACTCCATTGAAAAGAAGAAGCAAACGTAAAAACCGAGAATAGGTGCATTAAAAATGCATAAAAGATAAATTTTATAATAGAGGTATTGAAATTTAGAAAACGTCAACATTTGACGTTTCCAGTATTTTACCAAACCGTTCCGTATCAAACCGATGTTTTTCAGGAACCGCTCTTTACCGTAGTTTACCGGTCTGGTTCGCCTGGTTTTGCAACGGAATACAGCCTTTATAATATACATTTTAGTCATACAAGACTTTATAATATACATTTTAGTTGCGTCCTCTAGAAGTCCACTAAAATATAGTTTCCAGCATTTCCCATAGACGTTTTAATAATATTTTCTTAACGGCATGTCTTTAACAAGAATACTTTTTAAGAGTGAGCCAAGTGTCATTCATAGCGAAGGGACAATACTCTTTTAATAGAAACAAAAAAAAATAAAAAAAAAACTATTTAGTAATAAATCCTCTATAATCTATTATCTTGACTATTGCCTTATTTAATATACTATTTTTAATAAAATATATAGAATATCGTGGTAAATGTCAGGATGTAACGTCAAATAACGACAAATAACAAAAAAAAAGAACACTGCACCGTCGGATTAGAGACAGCTCGAAAAACAAACCGCAATTAGCTGGACGCTTCAAGGACATACCTGTGCTGTTAACGGCGTCCAGACTCTGGTGTAACTTTTCGGCTGCCCAAATAAATTCAATCTCGTTAAACTAATGTATGCCCAACCCTCACAACCTGTTACTTCGTTAGTATTTTTGTTTCTAAGAAATCCCTACTAATTTAGTAATGTTAGTTAGCTAAATCAATATTTAATAAGTGAAAAAGTGAGCTATTAAATCTGTACTAAATTTTGAGAAAGACCCTGCTGCAAAAATATATATTTAAATCTATTTCAATAACCTTTTTTATATGAAAATTAGTACAATAGAATTTCATGTAATTTGCGTATACTGTTTTACAAAGACTAACTAATTTATAATATTGTAATAAAGACTGAGTATAGTGTGTCTAGCAAAAAGAACGAATGAAAGTAGATAGTAGATGGTGTCTGTTATGTTAATTCATAAGTAGATGACATTTTCTGTAATTTTTTTAGATGCCGTCTGTTGAAATCCTATATTCCCTAACTAAACAGACTATGATTATAGTTTCTGAGATGATTTGTTATAAAAAAAGGTTTATAATCTGCACGTCGAAAAATATCTCCTTTGAGAGTAAAGAGAGTATGGCACCCCATGGCACTGACTAGTAACTAGTAATAATAAATTTTCAATAGTCTCACTATAACCTAAAATTAATAATGTTATAAGCTTCATTCAGAACCTCAAAATTAGTGGAATAAGTTAAAAAATACAATTAAAATTAATAAAATATCCTATCAACCCTAGATCATTTATATAGTTACGTGGATGCCATACGATTAGCATTAAAAACGATGTCCCCAACACCACGACATGCCATTTTCAAACCTTCCTTGTTGCATTTATGAAACGTTCAGTAGGTCTGTCTTTCCCGAGGACCTTAATTTGCGTTATGCGCATTGAAATTTGTAAGTATTTCCAAAATAATCACAATTTTATACAGTTCATTGGTTTAAAAAGTACAAATTATACATTGTTATGGAAACCAACTTTTCATTGTCATCATATTGTCATAATCATATATCATAATCTTATTTCCGTTTATGTTCCATTGTGTAACCCTTTGAATAAGAAGACTAAGGAAGGAGCATATCAAAAATCTTAGGTACACCGCGATGGGCCTCAAATATGGCCGACTTAAATTCCGGTTTATCAGTGTCGTTCTAATTTTATTTAAAAAATGTAAAACTATGATGTAGGGTAGACGTGGGGTAGACTCAATAATTTGTTGTTTTATTTTACGTTGTGAATAAATGTTGGTAGTTATTAAAATTGTTATAAAAATATATAATTCTAATAAAATGATAAGTTATAATAAGTATTTATTAACACAAACATCCGATACGCTACTGAAGCAGGTAAGTCAAATTAACGTATCTAAATTCTTTGACATCTAATCTTTGACAAGTAATAAATAAAAGCTAAAATGCAAGAAAAATATATAATTTAGTTAATTTAAGTGAATTTCATAAATGATCGGTTTACTACACGTATGTATATTATATAGTCACTTACTAGCGAAAAGTTGTTCCATTATTTCACTCAATTTTTGCCGAGATCTACCGCACGCTACACAACCAACTATTTTAGAGTCTTTTTCGATAAATCGCGATAGTGTCACTGTTAATTTAAGTTCTGCCACAATTTCCATCTAGATTTACTACCTTTATACAACTATCAGTACTAGAATAAATAATAAATAACATAAAATCAGCTCCGTAAAGACTGACAAATCCACAAAATTTCAAATCAAATTCAAATGTGTCAAATGAATCGTCAAACAGAACTGTCAAGGATCCCCACCCTAGAGAGCTTTTATGGTGCCTTTTCTGCCCACCATGCATGAATACATGGATATCATTATGCTCCTTCCTTAGTCTTCTTATTCAAAGGTGTAACCATATACAAACTTTAATATAAAATTAACTAATACAGGGTGTCCCACTTAAGAGGGATACAAGCCAATATCTTGGTTGTTTGTCGAGCGATCTTTTTCATTTTTGGCAGGAGGCTGTACTTAAACAAAATTCTGAAGTTTTTTTATTCTAGGAGTTACAGATGCCCGACACACTATTGTCGGACCCTGTATAGACTATAAAATTCAAAATGTCCCCTAATTTTTTATACAGGGTGTCCCACGTAAGATGGATACAAGCCAATATCTTGGTTGTTTGTTGAGCGATCTTTTTCATTTTTGGCAGGAGGCTGTATGGCTATAAGACGTACATTTTGCCCAGGATAAGAAATGCGAATCCTCATAGACGTACGTTTTAATGGTGTTTGCTATTTTTCGAGTCAAGAGTAAACTACCCTTAGGACAGTATTTATTTCAAATCTGATAAATTATATTGAATCTTCCACCCAAGATACTTAAGTTCTAATTTTGATAAATATTTATACAGGGTGTGTTATTAAAATAAGACATTTTTATTTTTATTAATATTTTTTTAAGTACTCCATAATAATTAAGATACGATACAAAAAAACTAAATATTTTCAATTTATTTACAAAAAAAAAATTTTTAAGTTTGCTAATACAAATGAATAAAATGAGTTACAAAATAATTTAAAAATCCAGTTCTCAATGGAATCTGAAATATGATTTTTATTCGTTTTATTGAAGAATATTTTAAAAATCCAAATAGTTATTTAAAACAATCACTATTAACTTTGAAAAATATGCTCTAAACAAAGATTTATAAAACTATAATGAACTAAAAGTCAACATCTTCGACCATCTTAGACTAAACTTAAATCGATTATTAATTGATAATTGGTTATTGATAATAAACCAATTGTTTATCCAGTGGCGTTGTAACTACTTAAAAAAAATAATAAAAATAAAAATGTCTTATTTTAATGACACACCCTGTATCAATATTTATAAAAATTAGAACTTAACTATCTTAAGTAAGGAGGATTCAATATAATTAATCAGATTTTAAATAAATACTGTCCTAAGGGTAGTTTACTCTCGACTCGAAAAATATCAAACCCCATTAAATCGTACGTCTATGAAGTATCGCATTTCTTATCCTGGGCAAAATGTACGTGTTATAGCCATACAGTCTCCTGCCAAAAATGAAAAAAGTCGCTCAACAAACAACCAAGATATTGGCTTGTATCCGTCTTAATGGACTTAAACTGGGACACCCTGTATAACTGTATATGTGTGTAACATGTGTGTGACGGCGACTCTTGTTTTTTGTGTTTTTTATTTTAAAAATTGTATTAATTACTCTTTTATCGATCGCTTTTATATAGCCAAAGATGCAAGTGTGTTCAGTGCGAAGTTAATTTTAAGTTTTGTGAAATTATATTTTTTTTCGTTGGACTTAAATACTCGTAAAAATGACTAGAAAGTGTTTGGTGTGAAGAAGTTCTAATATAAAGGTCCCCGAATTATCTTTTCATGTTCAAGTAAAGTAATCAGTTGTTCTTTTATTTATATTAAACCACATGCATACTTTTTAGTTAGAAGTTTTCCTAAGAATATTGATATTCGCTTGAAGTTGCTAAATGAATTTTTTATATAACTTAATTTTTTGTGACATTATACATTCAATTTATTGTTCAAATATACTATGCATTTTACAAATTAAATTTTTAAAATTAATATTCAAATTTGGCGCGTGAACGATAGGTCCTCGACAAGGATAGATAGAGTAGAAGCACCGCGTGTGCAACAAAGAAGGAGGATAAATGTAAGTCGTTGATATGTTTGCGACAGTTTCCATAGTGATTTACGTATCCACGTCAGTATATATTATGCTAGCAACAGCTTGCGGTAGTCAATTGTATCAATAGAGAAAGCCTAATAATAAGCTTATAAAAGAACCAACTTTTTTTGTCAACGAAGGCCGTTAAAAACTGACTTTAGTAGATTTTTCGACAAATTACATGAAATTCTATTCGATTCTTATACCAAAACCAACCGAGATATTCCCATCTCATTAAAATGCACAGCACACTGATTCCTATTTTACCTTTTCCTTTTTGGGGACTTTTATGATCGTAGCTCTTTGATCTCGGCTCGGGTTCGGGACTGATCGCTCTATTGCCGAAACACCTTCCTCCTCTTTGAGTCGCCTGATTGGCCAGTTCTTCATTCAGACATTTGGCTAGGTGCATGGCTTCGTGTCCGCTCACCGTGTGTGAGTTTCTACGTAAAGAAAAACAAAAAAGATATGTTCGAGTTATTGGTGATAATGAGAGATAAATAAAACGTAATCCAATAAAAACAACGCTCCGGAAGACATAGAAATAATATTCCAGATATATTATAATCCAGTGTTTGAAAATATTTTTATTATCAAGAATTTTGTTTTTTTCACAATTTTATAAAAAGTATTAATCAAAATCTAACATTTAAAAAATTTTATAAAGTAAATTTTTATCAAAGCCACCTCATGATCTTTGTCTGGTATTTTAAAGCTGAAAACCCCATATACCGATTTGGTCATTATAGAAGTTTAGTCTGTATTTTAACGTGTAAGACAGAGAATAATATAAATGACCGGTTGACAGACAGAGAGACAAAATCAAAAGCGGCATACAGTGTTGCCGGTTTTTACGTCTGTAGGAAAATTTGTGTAAAACTATTTTAAAAACTTTCATGTATACTATTGAAATGAAAATAATTATCTAAGCTAAATACCGTAAGATCGAATAAAAAAGGCGTCAGCGATGGCTATGAAATGACGATCGATGACATTTCCCATATAATTTTACATATAAAATGACAGCGATCTTCATTTCATAGCCATCGCTGACGCCGTTTTTAGTCGATCATACGGTATAATCTATTACATCTGCAGTAAAATGAGTAACTAATTGTGAGAAATAAGGTTCCAACCCTAGATGCAACATTTTCCATAAAAGCCTACGTGTGCGGTTTGAACTTTTGATGCAAAATCCGGCAATACCGCATAGAAGAAATGTATCAAGCCAACTTTTATCTCTTTTTAAATATTAACTATGAACTATTGGTTTGGACTCTTATACATTTGATTTTATATTAAGCTGCCTACATCACTCGGCTGTCCAAAGGAGAAATAGTATATGCATCTTATAAATATAATTTTTAACATATACGTATACAGGGTGGTCGGACCTGTATTCCTGAAACTTCGGCAGCATATTCTGCAGATAAAAATAAGTAAAAAAGTTAAAAAGTCACGAAAATGTATATATTTTGACACAGTTGTTTGATACAGGTACGGACGAAAAATTATTACTCTTCAAAGTAGTTAAAACACATGTAGGTGGCGCCCCTACAAATAGGAGTCATATTGGCATCAAAATCAAATTTCTCATGTCAAAAAACTTCCAGACACCAATTTTCATCCAAATATTGACGTTACTTTAGAAATTATTTAGAAAAAAACGAAATAAAAATGAAATTTTAGACCCTGTATCTCCGAAACTAAGTATTTTAGGACATACATTTATACAAACTTTTTTACTTATTTTTATATGCAGAATATGCTGCCGAAATTTTCGGAATACAGTTCGGACCACCCTGTATAGTAAACGAGTGATTATTCTCATACAAAACACATGAAAAATAATATAAATGACAAAATTTGCCATTTTTTGTTATGACGTACAACCTTTCAATTTGTGTAACAAAGAATGTTATCAGTTAAAACGTCGTCAGAAAGAGATGATAGCGAATACTTTTAAGATTTTGTAGATTTTCTTACAGCGCAAGTGTAAGTGCGAAATACTCAATGGACTTGTTTGAAGAGATGGCCACAGAGGTATAATATGTAGTTGTAAATAAATATTATTTCTATGCCCACTGGTCATTAATATTTTGTATAAAGGTACAGTACCCTATTGGTATAGGCGCGCTAGTTTTAATAAATCTCCCCGTGCGTGTGTAAGTATACGCATCAGGAAAGTCTTCCGGTGACAAGTTATTCTGAGGCGTCGATTCCAAAATACTCGGAGGGTTCCCACAAAAAACTTCTCTTCTTCTATAACGGAAATTTCTCCTTCCTCCGCTATAGGCTGATTCTTATTCTCTTCTGGCGTTGCGGTAGCTGAAGTATTTACACTCTTAAATCATAAAGAATATACGTTGAATTTTGTTATTATGTAGGACTTATTAATTTAATTTCTTACAGAACTCTTACTAGCCGCAGATTCATTCCTGGAATGCGGTCTAAATCCTGGACCAGGCGGAAGGTTCTTCTGGACGCAACAGTTAACTCCTGGACTGAAATGGAGCTCTATATGAAACCGTTCCTCGCTGCAGGGGTCTTTGGTAGGGTCTTCATACAACATTATCACTATCTGAGACATGTAGTTCAGTTCTGAAACCATTGAAACGTATTCCATGGCCCTGCGCCATTGTTCGTCTTTGATTACCTAGAATAAAAGTTGACAAGAAACGTATTTAAGTGTACCTAGCTAAAAGTGTGAGCTGGACCACTGCTATGATTGCTAACAGCCATAGAATAAATAAATAACGCTTTATTGTACAAAAAGCCAAAATAGCTTCATCGACAAAGCATTTACAAGACAAACAAAAGCTCAACAAATATACAAATAATAAAAAATATCATACAATACAAATCATACAATTCAAAAAATTTGCGTCATTAAAATTACAAATAGAACATAATATGGACATTGCAGAACACAAAAAAAGACATATCAATAAAATTTTACAATGGGAAAATTGTACATGGATATAATCTTTTAAGAGTTATAAAATATTAAATACTAGACTTTTAACCAGTGTCTGAGACGATCAAAATTTTAAAATTCAAAATTGTTCATGATTAAACATCATCAGAAAAGTCATTTACCGCATATAGGGCCCTCTCCAATAAGTATAATTTGAGAGCTTTGCGAAATGCGGGAAAGAATGAAAGCAACTTGATATTCAAAGGCAGATGATTATACATTTTTTTTGGCATTGTACAGTATTGAGCCTTTACCTAGTTCTGAGCTCGGGGTTGGTAGATAAAGATCGTGCTCCGCATTTCTAAGCGGATAGTTGTGAGCTGGCCTTTTGGGAATAGCAGATATGTGCTTGCGGATTAAGCAAACGGATTCAAAAATGAATAAAGAACGAAGAGTCAGTATTTTGAAATTTTTAAAGAAATTCTGGCAGTGAGTTCTACTGTTCAGTCCCAATAAATATCGAACTGCTCCCTTTTGAAGTTTGAAAATACGATCAAATTTTGTTGCGCAGCAAGTACCCCAGAATGGAAGGGCACAACGAAGAAAGGGCATAATAGGCTATTCTAGAGGTTGATAAGTTAAGTTCCTTACAAACTGATATTAGCGCAAAACAGGCAGCGCTTAGTTTCTTTGATAAAACTTCGATGTGCCAGTCCGATTTTAACAAAGTCCTAAGAATTTCACAGAGTCCACGACGTCAATAGTGGTGTTATTAAGTACAAAAGGTTGTATAGTACTTTTATATGTATAATATTGAAATTTTATAGTATTATTAATGTGAAAACGTACTATAAACATATTTTTCACTTTTTAACATAACAAGGAGTCGAAATAAACTGCCCGATTTTTTATTACTAAATTTAAAGAAAAACTTGCGCGACTACTTGACTATAATTTGGATTGCCTGGTTTATTTAGAAACTTTTTCCCTTTCGCATTTTTTTATAAAACTTATCGATTTGAAATTAAAAAAAAATAATATATAAATCAATACGCCCAAAAGAATTTATTTTAGAAAAGGAATTTTGTTGGTTGCTTCCAAACAGTTTTATTTCATAGTCGTACCATAAACTTTGGTACCACTGATATCGAAGATGGCCGTCTCAGATACTGGTTTTTGTCAAAGCTCTGCTGTTTCCAACTGTCCACTTAGCACAAACTTAATATAAAAAGTTCGATATTCATTACTTACATCTAAAAGTCCTCCGTGTCTCAAAACAGTAATCAGAGAATGTATATGGCTCTCGCTGGTAAAATACAATCGAGTTCTAACGTGTCTTCCAGGACTGGACACGCCATGCGAGTATCTCGGGTTCAAACGATTCACAGTCTCTTCACCCATTTCTTCAATGTTCCTTTGAAGGTCTGCCTTTATCTTCTTTAACAATGGCGTGCAAATACCTTGGCTAATCGTCAGTTTCTCCTGACCCGTTAGTCCATATTCCTAGACAAAATTTGAAACCCTAGTTTTAAAGCTAGTATACATTAACATGACATGCAGAAAATGCAGTTTCTTGTTACAATGTAAATTTTTTTACAATTTTCTTTACACAACTTTCTCACAACACTAAAAGGGTCACTTATTGCAGGAAGAGGGTCACCCCTTGCAGGAAGTCTGTTATTAGAAATAAGAATTGAAATAAAAATAAAAAATACAGAATAGAAAATATACAAAGTTGTTTGTATGTATATTAAGTAAATTATCTATAACTATATACAAGGTGTCAAAAAAATAGTGTATCAAACTTCAGTGGATACACTATTATTTATTCTATCGACATTTGCCTTGGCATATAAAATATGTGTAATAATGCCAAATTTCAAACTGTATTCCGGAAACTTCGGCAGCATATTCTGCAGATAAAAATAAGTAAATAAGTTTGTATATAAGTATGTCCTAAAATGCTTAGTTTCGGAGATACAGGATGTAGAAGTTTCATTTTTATTTCGATTTTTTCCAAATAATTTCTGAAGTAACGTCAATATTTGGATAAAAAGACATTTTAATGTAGAAAATCACGGAAATGTATATATTTTCACTCAGTAGTTTTATACTGAAGTAGTTTTATACTGCGGAACACTGTATAAAGAAAAAGATCCTCAGCCTAGTTGCTCTTTCCACAGTGATATAATTAATGAAGAACCAGATATACTGAAATAGGAAATTGAAGCAGCAATAAAAAACCTAAAACATCATAAAGCCCCGGGACCAGATCACATCACGGCCGAAATGCTCCAAGCGTCGGGAGATTTTGGTGTGGACATCTTGCACAAGTTATGTAATATGATATGGCATAATCACCAATGGCCATCAGATTGGACCGATTGTTCCATAATAACCATCCACAAAAAAAGATCTCCAGCCAAATGGAGACAACTTTCGTACCATTGCGCTAATTTCACATGCCAGTAAGATTCTTCTTCATATCATTAACGAAAGGTTAAAACCGTATATTCAACCACAAATCCCTCCAGAGCAAGCAGGATTCACAAAAGGTCGAGGAACACGTGAACAAATTTCTCATGTAGAAAAACGACCAGAAACCAATTTTCATCCAAATATTAACATTCCTTCAGAAATTAGTTGGAAAAAATCGAAATAAAAATGAAACTTCTACACCCTGTATTTCCGAAACTAAGAACTTTAGAACATATATACGAACTTTTATACTTATTTTTATCTGCAGAATATGCTGCCGAAGTTTCCGGAATACACTTCGGACCACCCTGTATATTATTTTTATTTACCCTTTCGAGGGCTGTATCTTCCTCTGGAAGCATATCTTAGAGCATACGTTCATAGGAACTTTTTTCTTTTTATCTGTATAATCACCCACTGAAGTTTGGTACACTATTTTTTTGACACTCTGTACATATAATTAACTATATTTATAATGAGCAAAGAAATAAATAAAATTAATCACGTATCACATACCTGTGGTATAACTATATCAGCTAAATATTTGGCGTAAATGTACAGTTCTTCTGCCTGTTCGAACTGGAGGGTATGCTGATTGTGCTGCAGATCATACTTGATACAATCGTAAATATCCGGAATTTTACTTATGTCAAATGTCTTGTTTTTCGTGTAGAAATCCTTCTCGATTTTGCCCCAACGCCTGTACATTAGATCCCACGTCTCTCCATGATATAATATAGCTTCTACAAACAAAAGTATGAGTATAGGTTTATGTGCATCCGTCATACATCGTCTGTCCTTGGAATCACGTTTTATGTATATTACAGCACTTTTTAACGTATATGTGTTGATTTATGAAATATAACAACAATAGTATTCCCCTTTGAATAAAAAGATTAAGGAAAGAGTATAACGCTATCCATGTATAATATTCATGCACGATAGACGGACAGGAGTCCTAGGGTTGGGATCATTGACAGTTCTGTTTGACGACTCATTTGACACATTTAAAAATTTGTAGATTTGTCAGTCTTTACTGAGGCTTATTTTATGTTATTTATTATTTATTCTACAACTGGTGGTTGTTTAGAGGTAGTAAATTTAGAAGAAAATTGTGTGGCAGAACTTAAATCAGTAGTGACACTATTGCCACAAATTAACAACAGATGCGAAAGAACACCGAATTACGCGTTCAGGTTTCTGTGACCTTCAGAAAGAGTTCATAGACAATCCGCATCAATGTATAGTTTGGGTTATTATTTGTTTGGGTGAAAATAATCTGCACCAATATGTTATCGAGACATACAAAAGCAGATTAAAAAAATAATTTTTTATAGCTATAGCAACTGCAGCGACTATGAAAAAAGCTGTGTGATTTTCATAGAAAATAAGGGCACCTGTAATTCATTTGAGAATGTTATAAATCGCTAAAAGAGGTTTCAAATCTCTTGGATTTCTATTAATATTAAATAAATTTTATTAAAAATTGAACTAAAATTGTTAGTATCATTAAAAACAATTCAAATTCAAAAATTGTATCAGTCAAATTCCCTCATTTAAGGTGAATATAAAGTAAATATAAATACAGCTCATTCTAAGCTCTACTTATCTTTAAGAAAAATTTAAATCATTGTTGCAATTGGGCCTTAATGCCATTTCGAATGAACAATAGTATAATAATGTACATTATAATAATAATAAATTTTATATCATAGTGTGTATTAAAACTACTAAAACCCTTTTAAATTGATATTATATTAACAACTTTTGTTTTTTAATCCAAAAAAAAGTTACCAATTTTCTCAATCAGAATATTTGCGGTCCTGAAAAGGACCTCCGTTTTCCCATGTCCGTCAAGGTAGGTAATGGGTAAACGGTAAAAAAACAGGATAATGAAATTTAAAAAATTACAAAAATTGTTCAAAAGTGCCTCCCTCTTGCATTAAACAATAACCCAAATGATCATAAAATCCCCTCCACACATTGGATAACATATCAGGGGTGACAGTGTCAAAGGCATTAAATATTTTCTGTCTTAACTGCTCCAAGTTTTTAATTTCTTCATGGCCGTAAATTTTAGATTGTATGTACTCCCATAAAATCATTCACCGAGAAGTCAGGCGAAATTAAATGTCAGTCTAAACAAAACTGTAATTTTTGAAAACTTGTCAAAATTTGGACACACGCTAACTGGACTTGATTTTCCTATGTCTCGAAGTCTGTGGACTTTTCTGTATAATCTCACAGTAATTTAATAGATTGCTCGTCATATTATATCAGCTCGTAGGAGATTAGGAAAAAAAAAGATATTTATAGTTTAAAAAATAATTTATTTAACAAAATTTAATTAAAGACGTGACAAAATAGTTACATTTCTATTGGTTCTATCGGACTTTTTTCGACTGTATAAATCTTTATTTTTTGTACTAACTTTAATGCATAAAATATTTTCAATCTAATAAATAATTTAATGATGTAAATAAGAGGAAATTTCTCACATGGTTGGTCAAATCTATAGTTTTCATTATATCAAACAGCCTCTGAATGTTTTCTTCAGTGCAAAACTCATCAAAATTTAATATAAATAATTTTTCCAGCCTGTAAATAAAATGAACAAATTTTTCCACTTTCATGATCAAAGGCTTTTAAATGGGTAAATAATTTCGAGTTATCCAGAGATTCGGATTTTTTGCAAATTTTAGACAAATATCACATTGATATATTTGAAGACCCTTTTTAATGATGTAGTCAAACATAATTAAAGGCATTTTGAGTTGAAAACATTTCTCAGAGGCTGTTTGATATAATGAAAACTATAAAATTTGACCACCCATGTGAGAAATTTCCTGTTATTTACATCATTAAATGATTTATTATATTGAAAATATTTGATGTATTAAAGTTTACAAATAAAGATTTATACAGTCGAAAAAAGTCCGATAGAACCAATAGAAAGGTAACTATTTTGTCACATTTTTAATTAAATTTTGTTAAATAAATTAATTTTTTATACTATAAATATCTTTTTTTTTTCTTATAAATAAACACATTTGCATCCCATTTTAAATAAGATATACAAATTACCAAAACTTAGAAATAACAGTTCAAAAGTTCAACAAAAATCCTACACGCGTTTTTAAAAAGAAACATATAACCACGCACTATGTCATTCCAGCAAGCGAATACGACACAGCATAGGTTTCCGGACTAAACGACTGGTGTATTTACACCACTCAATAGGCGTGTCGGGTTTGCCGAGCGGTTTCCGATGCAGTCGCTTTCTTTCGCATCTGTTATAGGTAATTTGTGCTATTGCGATTTATCATATGTGCTATTTATCATATAATATTTTTTATTTTTACACGTTTTGGATAAAATTAGAACAGCACTGACAAGCCGGTATTTAAGTCGGCCATTTTAGGAACCCATTGAGTTCGATCTTGTTCGAGACTTTTGATATGCTACTTCCGTAATCTTTTTATTCAAAGGTATCCCCATATATAGTATTTAAGCGCCATGGGAGTAGTATTAAGAAACTAGTAGAACCCCAACAGAAGAAAAAAAAACACGGACGACGTATGACGCATGACGTACATATGATGTATTATATCCCCACGCTAATTCTAAAAGGCTGGTTAAACATTTGTGGTTCTAATCAGTTTCTCTTCTTAATGGGTGTTATCAGTGTAGTGCTATATTTATGGACGAATTTTGATTTTCAAGTTACAACTTATTCAATAGCAGCTTAGTTAAAATATCAAAGTCTGATATGGTTACTCGCTACAATGCTCCAGATACCATATGATTAAAAAGTTTTACAATCCCGACTTTCGTAGTTAAAGCAATTCTAGTTATATTTTCCACAATAACAGTATATTGCTCACTGTACACGATGAGTCTTAAATAAGTGCAAATATTTTTAGGGGTAGTATATTGAGTCTATAAGGGTTTTTTTTGCGAAAAAAACCCTTGAAAAATTGGAATTTTTTTTGGACATAATATCTTCATAATATGGCAATATAGGTAGTAAATTAAATTTACAAGAATGAAAATCCCAAAAATATCGAATGGTTCTAAAAATTTAAGCATAGAACCGTTAGCTTTACGTACACCCCAGCAATAGCGAACGGAAAGCTTTGCGCTTGCGTGCGAATGGCATTAGCCATAACTTTACTTTAATGCTTTTGCGAAGAAACTAAGTAATGCCTAGCTATAGTCTGGTTACAAAAGCAGCTGTGGCTCTGAGTGGTTCGAGTTCAACAAATATAGATTTCTTTTTAATTTTTACAGCTGTCGGTAATAGCAATCAAAACAAAAATCTTTGGTTAATCTCTGGGGTTATTTTTTTTTGTTTAGATTGCACGCGTAATACCCGACCCAAAACCAAGAACACGCCTGCGCAAAGCTTTCCGGCATGTATTGTTGGGGTGTACCTAGATCCCTGTCAAAAAGCTTGAAAATATATCAGTGAATTAAAATGACAGACAACTGTCACTGTCATGTTACCTGTCGCTGGACAGACTTTAGCTACTATTGAATAAGCTGTATAACAAAAAAAAACATCACAACAGGCGTAGAAATGGCATTCCAAGTGATGTATGTTTCATTGTAAATAACTAACCTTGACAAAAATAACATATCGTGATTTATCGAAGCCTTTCTAAAACAGTAGTATACAAAGTGAAAAATATAAGTGTTAAATAAAGTCTTAATGACAAACCGATCTCTTATGATTACGAAAAAGAGTTATATTCAATATTATCAAAAAATTTTGTACACGTAAATTCAAACCCAATTGTTAGATCTCTTGCTTATTGCAGAACTTTTGTTGACAGACAATTGTTTGTTATAATCTTTGAATATACCAGGCGCGTCTCAAAAATGGCTTACCCCCTATAACTTTTTTATTTTTTCAGATGTAAATCAAGATTTGGTATATTAATATATGACATAAATTAGGACTGATTGACGTATTCAATTGTTTTCTGTCACTTCCTGTTTCACCGGAAATGACTACAACTTTTGATTTTTAAATGGTACCCTCGGTGTTTTGTTGCTTTATTCGATAGAAAATGACACTCTGAATAGAATGGCATCATATGTCACCTTTTGACATTATCGAATATGGTTTATTTGAAATTGCAGCATGCGATTCATAACGACAATTTGACTCGAAACACCAAGTGTGTGGTACCAAATTATTCGTAAAAAATTATTTTTCGAAATATGCTAATGAGCCACCCTCGTTCCATTTGAAAAAAATTGAGATATGATTAAAATTGCGATTTGGGCATCTTGTAAACCGGTCAGGACAAGACACGAATAACATTAGACGATCAAATATATTTTCCAAGGCTCCTTGATTAAAAATTAGTGCTTTTAATACAGCCATGGCACTCTAGATCGAAATTTAAAATTCAATTTTGTTTTAAGCAAAAATGTCAAAAGTTGACATGTGATATGTCATTCTATTCAGAATGTCATTTTCTATCGGATAAAGTAAAAAAATTCCGAGGAAGCCATTTAAAAATCAAACGTTGTAGTCATTTCCGGTAAAACAGGAAGTGGCCGAAAAGAATTGAATACGTCAATCAATCCTGATTTATGTCATATACCAACAAACCAAATTTCGTTTTTTTATCTGATAAAATAAAAAAGTTATAGGGGTGAGCGGACTTTGTAAGCAACTTTAGACCATTGCCTGGAAACTTATATGGTGAAATTTTGATAAAAATAATTTAGTACACACTAAAAACACGGTATGTCGCTAGCGGCAGGAAAAATAATTTTTAGAGGTTACTAGTTTATTTGGTTGCCTGTGATATGCATATACAGGGTGTTTCCTAATTAATCTAAAAAATATAAAATCGTTAGAAAACGAATTAAGGCGGGCTCTTAATAAGTATATTTATTTTTTTCTCGACAACCGTTTGATGAACAAGAAAAACTCAAAAGATCAATTTTGTTGCGATTGTTGAAAAAGGATGGAGAGTCAAGAAAAAAATATTTTTTCTTTAAAAAAGCAGTGGTGTACCATTTATGTTAAGCAAAAAATCGATTTTTTTAAAATTTTAAAACCCTGTAGATCTGAAAGGAAGTACTTGAGACCTAATGGTTAGATAAAAATTGTTTTAAGGACACATGAGGAATCACACCATAATTTTTTTAGACTAATTCGAAAACACCCTGTATATTGTCAACTTGACAATGACTGCTGATAAATCAAAAAATACCTTTTCAGGGAAAAAAGCCTGATTTTCGCAGGAAAAATTTTGATTTTTATTGAATTTGGGCCTGCGTTTGCAAATACTGGTTTGTTTTTTAATTTTCTATCTATCTAAATTTTAAATATCATAGTCAGAAATAGTTTTATTATTTATTAACTGTAAAAATGGCGTTTTCTTGTTGTGTTGCATCTTGCAAAGAAACTAACAAAAGTGCAAAAATGTACGTGTTTCCAAAAGACGATAAGGTATCTTAGATAAAAGAAAAATATATGGTATGTATTCGTTGTTTGATTTTTTTTCGTTCGCTTTAAAATCTATAAATCTCGGTCTATTCATTAGACAGCCAGTCGACTTACGATCATTTACATGAAACTCTGTAAAATAAATAAACAAATAAATTGTAAAATATATATATATATATTCTTATGTTTTATTAAAGTTACTCTGATATACTAATATATCAGTGTAACTTTAAAAATAAATCCTTTGAATTCAAATATAAACATAAAAAACATTTACAGCAGAAAAGGCGAAGGCGCTGGGTTAAACGTAGTCTCCACTAAAAACACGGAGGGGCGCTTTGACCCAAAATTTTACTATTAAGTTTCATATCTATCTTAATAGTAGATTATTTTCTTTTATCTATGCTTTAGACGTCTGTCAAGTGCATGCGGTGCTGGCGATTATGTTTCCCATTTTTATCATGATGATGCAAACTAGTGTTTTGATATTCTACTAACATTCTCGCAAACAAACTAAATTTTATGCTTCTAACGTATGCCACTATATGAATAAAAAAAGTAATTAGGTCTAAAGGTCGCTTACTGCACGAACTCAAACCCCTGAACGAACCTTTGGTCTTACCATCTTCTTTTTTCACTTGCACGATTTCCATCAGCGATTTGATCAGTTCGTGCACGTGCTTACAGCACTTGTACGGATTTTTTACGAAATCTAACGCGTCGTTTATACTGACTGAATTGCACGGGTTGATCTTTTCTCGATCGGCCGGCGAAAAGTCCCGATCCACCTGCATCAGCTCGTGCAGTCTCGACTTGCACCTAAAAACAAATATATTATATGCCTTTCAAAACCACTCCCTCAAAAGCAATATCCTGACTAGTGATGGGATCACTCGAGTGAAAAATAGTCGGTCATCCGAGTATTCATATCGTCGGTATGTCTCGAGTATTTTTGTCGATCCTCGAGGATTTCTCGGCGCGCCGGGTGTCGCCGTCCTCGCTGCTTGCGAGGATACAGGCGATTTACGATTTATGCTGAAACCTTTTTTTATCGATCGTCGAGGATTAGTCAGCATGCAACTAAAATCGGGTATGGTGTACCGTCCTCGCTGCTCGCGAGGATACAGGCGATTTACGATTTTTTGCTGAAACCTTTTATACAGGGTTGTTCACCACATACGACACGGAGTATTGTAGCTAAACGATGAGATTTTTACAAATTGTAAGTTTGGGGTTCGTTGAAGGACTATTAGAGCTACAATTTAAAAATATTTTTACAAGATACAGAGTGTCCCAAATAAATAAAAAATATCAAAGTTGTATTTTTTAAAATCGAACACCCTGTATATTATTACATTTTTAGTTTCTACGATTAAAATAAAGGTAAATTTGATTAAGGTTTATTATACTTAAACTTTACCGTTTTTGAAATATTTTCAATTTTGTGAAATTGTAGTCAAAATTTTAAAGCTTCATTTCTCCAAGGGTATCAATGTTTTTAATACTAAATATTTAATGAAGTTTATTTATTGATCAGTTATTGTGTTGCAATAATAAAAATAATAGTACCTTATACACAGTGTCTAAAAATTTATTTTAAATAATTATTAGCTTCAAACGGCAATAACTTCTTTAATTTAAATGGAATGCCCTATATATTTTAGGAGAATCAGATGCACAATTAAATTGTCTATCAAATTGTATTATACCATTTTTTACCTATCCCTTCAAGTTTTCGTAGAAAATGCATTTTCTTCTAAATTAGACCTCATTTATCAATATATCTATGGAATATTGACATTTTAGATTGTTTTTAAAGCAACAAATGTACAAAATGTACAGACTAGTAATATTATCGTTTTTAGCAAAACGATAATATTACTAGCCCATTTGTATGCAAAAAGAAAACTATTTAAATCTTTATAAAAGGGTATACCATTAATTAAATATAACACCATTATTTCCGCCCATATACTAATTAATGACATACTTAATTGTGTTCGCTAATAAATTATTATAAATAAATGTGGATTTTTGAGTCAGAAATCAATATAATAATAAGTTATCAAATTAAAGCCTTTGTTGTTATAAATAAGCATTTATTAAAAAATGAAATATCATTTTTAAGATGTTACTTTTTATCACACTGTCTAATGCCCATGCAAAATTCAGTTTTTTAGTATTTGGAGCAATTATTATTAATCAACGCAAACAGTCAGTTAATGTAGTTTGAATACTGGAATCATATTAATTGGTCCTCTTTAACAAATATTTAAACAGTTTTTTTTTATTTTTTAATGAAATAAACGAATTATATCGACAATATTAGTATCTGTCTCTTTAAAAATTTGGTACATCTTTAGAAATAATCTAAAATGTCAATAGTCCATGGGTATATTGATAAATAAGTTCTAAATTACAAGAAAATGCATTTTTTCTGGAAACTTAAAGAGATAGGTAAAAAATGGTATATATAATTTGATAGACAAACAAATTGTGCATCCATTCTGGTAAATATACAGGGTGTTCCATTTAAATTAAACAAGTTATTGCCGTTTGAAGCAATAATTATTTAAAATAAGGCCACAGACACTCTGTATAAGGTAGTATTATTTTATTGCAACACAATAACTGATCAGTAAACTACAGTAAATATTTAGTATTAAAACTTTGATACCCTTTTGAGAATGAAAGCCTTAAAATTTTACTGCAATTTTCACAAAATTGAAAATATTCCAAAACGGTAAGGTTTAAGTATAATAAATCTTAATCAAATTTACCTTATTTTAATCGTAGAAAACAAAAATGTAATAACATACAGGGGTGTTCCATTTAAAAATACAACTTTGATATTTTTTACTCTATTTGGGACACTCTGTATCTTGTAAAATTATTTTTAAATTGTACCTCTAATAGTCCTTCATCGAACCCAAAACTTACAATTTGTAAAAATCTCATCGTTTAGCTACAAAACTCCGTGTCGTATGTGGTGAACAACCCTGTATAGAGGATAACCGTTTAATCACTTGCTCGCAATAATAATCGGTTTTCAGAATAGTAACATGCATTTTTGCACAGAAATACATTGCTTATTTTTGTTTTGTTTTGTTTAGATGTTTAGACGGGATATATTAATTATAATATTTAATATGTTGGGCAAACTAGAAGATCAATATTAACTAGATTTAAAGAACATTTAGCTCAGATAAGATATGGTAGACCGGATAAATCTTGCGTTGCCGAACATATTGTTGATAAAGAACATTGTATAGATCTTAATAATTTAAAATTAATTAAACAAGTCTCAAATTACAGGCAATTAGATGCATATGAAAGCATCAGAATTAATAAATGTAAAGATAGTATGAACAGAGTCAACGGTCCAATTCCTTCAAGTTCTTTGTTCCTACTACTCTAGTGGCGGAAATTTAACTGTTACGCTCAGTTGGCTCTGACTCGGTTTGGCTAGATTTTGCCACGCCCACTCGGTGCCCACTGAGCGAGTATATAAACGCTCAACTTGTAGATTGTACTTTAGTTTATAATCATCTGCTGATGATGCTAACATGGTTAGCGAAACGCGCGTCCAGTGTAAAAGTAAAAGTGTTTTGGTGTATTGTGGTGATTTAGTGTTTTTATTTTGCTATAATATTTATTTAAATTATAAAGATTTTTTCTCCATATACTGTGTTTTTTTTCTCAGGTAAGATTTCGACAGACGATGACAGAAGAAAAGCAGATGACGTCCCATACCAATCTATTTATTTTACTAAAAAAAGTTTCTAATAATTTTTAAGTTATCTATGGATGGGTTTAAATATAAATCCGTCATGCGTCGTGTCTTGTTGTTTTTAACCAGTTTTATTGGTTTATTTAAAAAATGACAGATCGTATTTCAATTTTATTGGTTTGACGGAACGATGAACCACAAACGGACGCCGATGCGTATGAACCCGCCTTTAGATTTTTGTCATTTTTGACGCTTGTCAAAGTCTTGCCAAACTATAGGTTATAATTTTGTGTCAACTTTTGTTAAATACCCTGCGTTTTGGAAGATTATGCATTTTGATTCGTATTATTACGTGTGTTTTGTGTCTTTTGAAGTCAAGTGGAGGAAAAATCGAGTGAAAATTAACTGTAGACCCATAGCACAGTTTGTGGTTAATACTCGCTGCCCAGGCAGAAAGTCTTATACACCAATGCAGTTGCCATCGATAAAGTTTGTATACTATTTCGTCGTAGATAAGTGCATCTCGTATATGGTAGAAGGATCAAACTAAACACATACTAAAAACTGGAGTAGCTGTAACATATCGACATCACACGATAGGTAAATAATGGATTTTAGTACTGCAGAAAAATAATGTCAAAAAGGTACTGGTTCAAAAATTAAGATTAAAAGTTAATTAATCAACCTTTAAAGGTATAAAATTTGGTAGATGTTATTATTAATAAAATAGTTTGTTTTATTTACCTATGTTGTTTTATTTATTCCTGTGGAATATTACTAATTTGTATTTGTACATAAGTTATATTGATAAATATAATCATAAATGCGGGTAGTTTCATAAAGCTTGAAAGTAAATAATAGTTCTTTTTATATTTTTGGTATGTAGTGTCTTGTTCTTGTTTGTTTTGTATTAACACATACCGTTTTTATTAAATAAAATAACCTCGATTACATTTTTCAGTTTTATACAGTTTTTTCACAATATTTTGAAGTAATCACTTGTCATCTTGTCAATCAAATTTTCAATATATCTATGCGTTCCAGTTGTACCAACTTATTTCTTTGTAAAATAAAATAAACTACTTTGAAATTAAAATGACAGACACATCTATCACTGTCAAGGATCTTCTCGTTGGACAGACTATACTTTTTATTTAAAGATCAGATTTTTTTCGAGGCGTTTTCGACTTTCCAGGCGTTTCGACTTTCAAAATTCCATTGGACAAAACTACAGTTGTTTATTTGGGTTAAGGCTTTGGAGATTTTGTTTTATTTGTTTTTTTAATTTTCATTTTACGTGTTTCCTTGTAAAAAAACCTTTGCTTGTTTGTACGTTGGGAGACTATATTCTGATGAAATTACGAAAGTATAATCGAAATTTGGTGTAATGGAACGTAGATATAAAGTGAACGATTTGCGGAATTTGCCAACAAGAATAATAACAATATTGTTGAATATTTTATTTCATTTTTTTTCAAACAGTTTTTAAAGCGACAGTTGACTCGTAAGCCTTATGTAAAATTTCATTAGTTAATATTTTTCTTTTCTGAGGGTTACAAGAGAAAGAGGTTGAAAATCCGAAACAATTATCATTAACAATTTTTTTTCGATTATTACTTACGCTGTGCCTTAAGCGATTATTACTTAAGTATGCAGAATAACACAAAGTAAAAGTAAAGATTTCAGTTGTCTCCTTTTTGCTGCCAGGGCTAATCTGGACGGGGCCTACTTTGTTTGCGCGGAATCCGAACCGTGGTCCTCAGCCATATCATTGTCAATGGCCTACGGACTTGGCAAGTGTCTAAATCGACTCTTACTCACGAGATATAGGCGGTGATATAGGTATAGAGTCAGGCACCAATATTTAGACTTGAATACGAGGCATGTTTTTTAAGTAAGTATCGTTTTGGAATTAAAAAAAAACGTGCAAAGATATCGCAATAATTTTATTTTTACATGAAAGCCTGTACCTTAATCTACTTTTCTACATAATTTCCGTGAATATTGAGGCACTTGTCATAACGTGGCACCAGTTTTTCAATACCCTCCTCATAAAATTCTGCCGCCTGACTGGTTAACCACTGTATCACAACTCTTTTGACTTCGTTATCGTCTTGAAGACGCTGACCGCCAAGGTGTTATTTCAAGTGCAGGAATAAATGGTAGTCACTGGGCGCCAGATCAGGGCTGTATGGAGGATGATCTAGAGTTTCCCAATTAAAAGATTTGATGAGATCTTTGGTCCGATTAGCCACATGTGGACGGGCATTGTCATGCAGCAAAACAATACCCTTACTCAACTTGCCACATCTTTTGTTTTGGATTGCACGGCGCAGATTGTTCAATGTCTCACAATAAGATGCTGCATTGATTGTCTCATTGCGAGGCAAAAACTCCACTAGCAATACTCCTTTTCTGTCCCAAAAAACTGTGCACATGATTTTCCGGGCAGAAATTGTTTGCTTAAACTTCACTCTTTTGGGTGATGATGAATGTCGCCATTCCATGGACTGTTGTTTCGATTCTGGTGTGACGTAGGCCACCCATGTTTCGTCACCAGTAACAATTTTGCCTAAAAAATCTTCACCTTCATTGTAGTACTGCTCAAGGAAAGTCAATGCACTGCCTAAACGTTGGGTTTTGTGCAAATCCGTCAACATTTTCGGAACCCAACGTGAACACAATTTCCGGTAATTCAAGTTCTCGGTCACAATGCGATACAAAACACTACGAGACATTGAGGAAAGTAGTCGCACAATGATGAAATTGTAAAGCGTCTGTTTTCTTTCACCTCTTTGTCCACTTTCTGCACCGAATCTTCATTAACGACCGAAGGACGCCCACTCCGTTCTTCATCATGCACATTTGTGCGGCCATCTTTAAATGCTCTCACCCTTTTCCTTACCATTCCATCACTCATAATGTTTTGTCCGTAAACTTCACAGATCTCACGATGAATATCGATCGGTTTTACGCCTTTAGCACTAAGAAATCGTATGACAGCCCGTACTTCACAATCGGCGGGGCTCACGATTGTCGGAGGCATCTTAAACACTCAATAAACAACGTATACAATGAATAATCAGACTGTACTGGCGTCTGTGCATAGACAAGAGATGTAGGTAACCAGCGCGCATGCGCGGAACGCCGACCGTAGCGCTGCGGCGGCGGAATCGCAAAACGGTACTTACTTAAAAAACATGCCTCGTAAAACCCCTAAACAAACATCATGGGCATAAAATGCAAACGATAAGAAAGTTATTTACAAGAAAAAACTTATTTATACTGTGCTTAGTACGGATGTATCTGTAAGTTATTTAATTTTCACGTTAATATTTTGTTAAATAATATTATACCGTCTATAAACCATTAAATGTCGGACTAAAAGACGAAATAATGTTTTTATGCAACTCCAAATAAATATTGTTGGCCTCTCTTCAATATGACAAAAAAACGGCGTCAGCGATGGTTATAAAATAAAGATCGCTGTCATTTTACATGTAAAATTATATGGGAAATGTCATCGATTTCATTTCCAGGCCAACTGGACGCCATTTTTTTTTCGATCATGCGGTATTGTATACTATTTATTATGATTATTAAATCGGAATTAAAATATGACTTTAAAAATATTAAATTGGTATTAAGAAGTCTTTAATAAATAGTATAATATATGAATTGGATTAATAATTTAATATTATTGATAAAATAATCAATCCAATTACTCCAGTGTCAGAAAGTGTTTAAAAACAAATGAAAGAACTGTATATTTCTTTTTCTGGTCCCTTAAGTAGTTGTCCGGCCAAATTATCGCCGGTAGTGCCAGCTCCGATCTTGTTTTTATGAAACGTAAATTGTGCATGTGGTTCGTTCAAATGAACGAATCGTAGAAGTCGATTCAATATGAGAAATTAAATCGTGTGATTCGATTCACTAAAAAGAATCGTAATGCCCATCACTAGTCTGTACTCTATCTCCAGAAAACAACTTACATATTTTGATATTTGCTACTATCACAGTCATTGTCCAGCAACCCGTTCGTGTTGGCGCTCTTCACCATCTGGACCAAGATGGGCGTGAGCTCGCCTTCAAGGGCCAGCAACCCTTTGGCGAAGGCGGCGGCTGTCATCTGGACACGCCCTTCGTCGGAAGCGTAGATTTTTAGGTCGTGACGGAAGGTGGAATGCAGACGGAGGAGCCCTAGTCCTTGTGCACCTGCGTATTCGCCTACAGCACATACATTTGTAGTAGAAAAAGTCTAGTAAATAAGGTAGATCCTATTAAGTCTTAGAATAGTACTGATAGAATAAAAATATATGCAATTAAATGCTTTCAAAATTATTGTTATTGTTGTACTACTACCAATCATCAAATTTGTTATATTTCTGAGGATAAAAAATGAAAGTACAGTACTTAGATGTTCTGGGTCGCTCCCAGAGATCGGGTAAAGCGAGTTAGTGGCCGAAGGAAAGATATATTATATTTCAGAAATCTGCCTAAGGCTTAGCCTGATCCTGTCGTGTTAAGCCACGTCCAAAATTCCAAACACACGTGCTTTGATTGAGGCTTGATTACGGTTTGCAGAGTTTCAACATTTGCCATAAAATAGCCAGTCATTTGTTATAAAACCATATAAATTATATATCACTGTAATCAGAAAACTTCAATCTATTTCCGTATTGTAACGGAATTTTAAATTATATACAAACATAAGGAATATTTTGTTGATGTTTGACCATCAAAATCTTAAAAATAAATAAATTGTCTAAAAATGTGCTACAATACGGATATAGTATAATCCTTTATCTTTAATTTCCTTCTTCATTTGTGTAAAAATACCTAGCCAGTTTTACACAAAACGTTAAATGCCGAACCCTCGTTTTGCTACTTTTTCAAAATAATGAAAAGGACTTAAGAGAAATATATTTTTGATATACACAGTACAATTCTAAAACTTCAGGAACACAATTTAATCACACTGGCTAAAATTATTGATATAATTACAAGTAATATATCCTTTATATTACTACATTTTTCATGCTAGAAGTAACCATCACAGCTACTTCTAGCATTGTAATCTTCACACGTTAAATTTAGCGAGTATGATTTTAACAAGTTATATACACGTCTAACTACAATATCAAATGGTTTTCTCGACATAACAAAAGCTGACTAGGCTTTTTCGATCGATTTTAGATACACAAACGTAGCCTAAATGATCCTTATACAAATAGATGAGTGCTTGATAGAAAGTTCGTTTTGATTTGAAGGATGGAAGCGATATGAAGCCATATTGACACTGTGCTGTCGGTGCTTGGTGCAATACGACAAAAGCTATAGTCTATAAAATGAATAACTTTGAATTTTGACCGTTATTTTTTACCAACATGGCAAATATAAAAGCCCTCTATCCAAAAGGTTACTGATATTCTTTAAAATGAGTGCCTGATCGAATCAGATAGGTAACTCATTTTACTTTCGTAAAATAGAAAAGGAAAATAATAAAACAGGTGACAGTTCTTCCTCTTCTTGCAAAAATCAACGCAAAATGTCATAATTGACAAAAGTAAAATGTCATCAGCCTTTGACATTTCTAAATATCAGACCAATGCCGTCTTTAATAGAACAGCCTCGGAGCGAGATTTATGACGTCACGCTAGTTAGATACCACGGATTAATAAATATGTTGTAGAATACACGGAAAACATAATTATTCCTCGTACTTTTGGTTTGTATTTTAAAAATGATATAGTTTACATGAAATATACATAATATACAGTTAATAAATACAATATATATATACCTATTTATAGTAATAAATACTTTGACAAATAAACTATGAACCATACAAATGCATCAAATGTTTTACAATATACAAATAATGAATAGGTACATAAGATAATGGGTAATATGTAAAATATATTTTAAATTTTGGTTTTTGAAAATCGATCTAATTTAACAAAAAATATTCAATATCTACTAATAGTGATGTATTATTATTTGCATTCACAAAATTTATATGTATATTTTGCAAGCATCAATGTTCGAAAAATTATATTTGCAAATAATACAATATCATAGAAAAAAAGGCGTCAGCGAAGGCTATGAAATAAAGATCGCTGTCATTTTATATGTAAAATTATTCTAAAATTTTTTATAGCTAACGTTTATAGCCTTCATCAGTGTTATGTCATATGAAAAAAATAGTGTCGAATATAATCCTAAAAATTAGATATACGAGGAATAATTATGTTTTCCATCATTCTACAACATAATTAATCCGTAGTATCTAACTAGCGTGACGTCATAAATTTCGCTCCGGGGCTGTTCTATTAGAGACGGCATCAGCATGGCCGCAAGTTGCTAACCTAATAAAACTAACACTAGAAAAGCCCGCGGGAACTGTCAAATTCAAAGTTATTCGTTTCACAGACTATAGTTTACTTACTTTACTTACCGCGCCCTGTCACCAGTTATTTCATTTTATTTCTGTATAAATTAATAATATATTCGTTTCCATAAATAAAAACTAGAAAACTGCATTCAAAATTAAGAGAAAACTTCTCAAAAAAAATATAAAAAATATAATTATTAACGAAAAAATCGCAACTTAAATTAATTCGATTGGTCAAACTGAAAATGCTCTAATATTATGAAAGACAGTTTGCAAATAGTGTCAAAAAAAACTCTAAATTATTGCCCTAATTTTGACGTTCTAAATGCTTACATTAAAATTAGAGGGACACACTTCTACGCTAATTGAAACCACTAATTTATTTCACTAATTTCGAGGTTCTGAATAAAGCTTTAGAGACGTACAATTATTGAGTAAAATTCATACAAACTTGAATATAGTAAATTCATACAAACTTGTGTATAAGAAAACACCAATCAGAATAGAATATTTGTTCCTATAAAAGAGTTAAATTCACTTTCTACCTATACAGGGTTAATATTATGTATACTTAAGTGGGTATTTATGACATTTTGTTTGACAGAAGATATTTTGACAATGATTAAATTTTATAGCATTTCTTACCGAATTTTACAACTTTATAGTAAACATAGGACAATATAATTCAGATGGTTATTAATTTTGAGGATAATACAGTATAGAAAAATCAATAAAGGTTGGTGTGTACACCATCAAAATATTTTACGAATGCACGCCGCAATGTTGCCACGGGTACTTTTCTTACTTTGACTTTTGACAAGTGTCAAAAAATATAATTCGTAATTTTGTAAGCGATTTGTATAAAAATATTTTTTTTAAATCTGCATTATTATTTAGTCTACGATTATTACACAATCTAATTCTAATTAAATGAAGTTATTAGGCAGATGTGTGAGTGGAAGTGGAAGATGAAAAACAAATAAGTACCAAAATATTTGGAGAAATAGTAAAAAAATATCGGCAATGTTTGAAGAAGCTTAATTTTAAGTCATTTAAATATTCCCTTTGAATAAGAAGACTAAGAAAGGAGCATAATGCTATCCATGTATTCATGCATGGTGGGCGGAAAAAGCACTCTAGGGTGGGGATCCTTGACAGTTCTGTTTGACGATTCATTTGACACATTTGAATTTGATTTGAAATTTTATGGATTTGTCAGTCTTTACGGAGCTTATTTTATGTTATTTATTATTTATTCTACTACTGATAGTTGTATAAAGGTAGTAAATCTAGATGGAAATTCATAATATTCATAACATAAAGTCTTTTTCACCTGCCAATTCGTTTACTTGATGCGACAGCGTGCCGTCTTTTATAACCACAACATAAGATCACAAGAAAAAGGAAAAAGGGCGCTCTAAGTTTCAAAGGAATTATTATTTATTAGAAATCGACGTCTTTGATGACGTGTACGCCAACTTTCATTGATTTCTCTATACTATTTCTTATAGTGTAACGTTATGTTTGTCGTCCAGTACACAACAATCATCTCTACAAAGCCTTAACAGATGACACTAAAATATTTGATACTATTATAATTCAGAGTAAGTCACTATTTGCAGACTGTCGATTGCGCTAAACAATTAATAAAACGGGGAGAAAGAAGCGTAATACCAACCGGCAAAATGTCTACCTTGTCCTCCGGGATACATGCATCTGAATATCCTGCCCAGTTCTTCGGCCTGTATCCTGCCCGCGGGAGTCAATTCGCCACCCCACTTCAAAATCAGGACCAAGGAAGGTTCGGCAGGTTTATCTACTAAAACACATGGTGGAAATTAAGTTCGATCCCATATACCGATCTGGTCATCGAAACTGCGTGATCTGGATTTCTCGTGTAAAGCTTGATTTTCATGCATCAGTTATACGACGATATGATGATACGATATTAATTTTATTGGTTGAATTTAAACACTTTGATTGGTTAGAAAATTACGCAGTTATTAAACTTATTGCATTTTCATGCCTCCGTTCATCGGCTTTTCGATTTGCTTGTAATTGGTGTCATTTTATATGTTCATTTCTATAACGATTTCGCTGTTTTACTTATAGTCGAAGAGCTAGCACCGTTTTCGAGAAAGAATTTTAAGTAAGCTGGATCTTTAAAATATCTTTTGTTAAGCCCTCCCTAACAGAGTGCGGACCGTCTCGCTGCCGGTAGACGTTGCGTTCACTACTGCGCATCCATATCTGTATTCAACATCTGTTCACTACTGCGCATCACAAATTCGAACTGTATTTCAGGAACTAAGGAGGCTAGGACAAATATATGTGTAGCATATTTACTTTCATGAGAAAGTAGCAAAGTAATGTGAAAATCGCATCACTGTATCTCTACTCATAAACGAGAAATCCCATAAAACACACGAAAATGGTGTATCTACCCTGTACAGATGTGATGCGCAGTAATGAACCGCAGTAGTCAACCGGCAGCCAGACGGCCCGCACTATGGACAGGAGAGCGTAGCAGAAGATATATTAAAGAACCAGCTTTCTTAAAATTCTCGTTTTTCGACGTTGCTAGCTCTTGTACTATTATATTTTTATTAAGGTTATATTAAACTTGTCAAAAAAGTGCAAAACGTCTGTTATCGTACGACCTTCCTATGTTGACGGGCTGGAGTAAAAAAATTACGGATAAAAAGTTGCGCGAAAACGCTATGACTAATCAGAAAACCGGCAACATTGTTTGCCGCTTTTTATTTTGTCTCTCTGTCTGTGAAGTGGTTATTTATATTTCTCTCTGTTGCATGCATTAAAATACAGACCACGCAGATGAAGTGACCAGGATGGTATGTTCGATCCGTATGTTAAATTGTGACAAGACATTATTCAAATTCACAAAAACTACCTACCATCATCGGAACTAGAACCTCTAGGCCTGCCTTTCGGTTGGTACTTCATTTGAACCTTTCTATTGATGCCCGAAAAATGCCCGTACCTAAATAAGCCGCATAACGTTCTAGATAAAGATAGTAGTTCAAATGTCCCATTGAATAAGTTGCTGCATCTATAGCCTATCTGGCGAGAGAATATATGATTTGGAAAGAAAACACAAGAAATTACAGGAAAAAATCAATCTACTTTAGAATTTACAAATGACAGAAAATTGTCACAGTGGTCATAATATGTTCTTTCGCCGAACAGACTATAGCTGATGTATGTCATGACAGAATTAGTTGAATATATGCAAAAAATAGAAATATAAAAGACTTTTAGAGGTTAAAAAAATAAAGTAATTGGACTAAATCAGTGCAGAATAAAATAAGTAGAAAAAGTAATTTTTATTGGCCAAAAATAGTTAAGAGGGAGTTGCAATATCATTCCCTACGTGTTTACATTTATACTTACATTTCCAAAACGGCCTTAAGCTGTTCTAATTTACCCTGTTTCTCCTCGATTTCTGGATCGGCTTCGTGCTGCTGTATTTCGGCAAGGAGAGATCTGGCAATATCCAGGATTTCTTGTAGTTGTTTAGGTCTCTTAAGTTTTACGTGGCCATGTTTGTAACCGTCATATTTATCGAATATTTCGAAAAATCTGTCAAATAAAGTATAACTTAACTAAAGTACCATATGAAAAAAAAGTTGTTAAGTTGGCTTGGAAATGGCCATCATTAATATTCACTACACTTAACAGAGATATTTTACTTTGAAAACTAAAAAAAAACCTGATTTTTCGCTTAAATTTTGAGAACCACTGGATCTTTTCTGGATTCTATTTATTGTAAATTTAATATACTATCTATGTTGCCATATTATCACGAAATTACGTTTTTAACTAAAAAAAATTAAAACATTTTCAAAAAATTCCAAATTTTCAAAAAACATTTTTCGCGTAATAAAAAAATCACAAACTACTTACTTGGGATGGCGAACTTCGACCTTCATTTTTTGTTTAGGCGTTCGGTCGCCATGTCTTATCACAGCCGTCACGCATCTCAGTTCCATCATTTTACCAAACGTGGTGGGTACTATGGGCGGATCGTCAAGTTGGAACGGTACTGACCACGGTATATGTAAGGTGGGAGCCAGCTCCCTTAATATCATGTTTCCCAGTATTTTTGCCGAGTCGTCATAGTACTTATTCGAATTCTTAACAAAACTAAAGCCGTTCACATCACAAACAAACGACTTGCCTATAAAATGTATTGTATTATTAAAGAAGCACGCTATCAATCATTACATATCTAAATTACGGAATATATGCATCAAAATATATTGGAATATGCAGATACTAAAGCCCCGTCTACACCTAACGTTTTACCTCTGACAGTCTTACCGGTTCAGACAAAACGTATCAAGTAAAACCTTGGGTGCAGACGAAAAAACGGTCTGTTTTACGTAAACTCAGTTAAAACGCAAGTTTACTGAGTTTTTTTACCTACAATGTTAAATTTGTATGTAAATTTACAAAAAATAATATACAGGGTTGTTCACCACATAGGACACGGAGTATTGTAGCTAAATGATTATATTTTTACAAACTTAAGTTTTGGGTTCGTTGAAGGATTATTAGAGCTACAATTTAAAAATATTTTTACAAGATACAGAGTATCCCAAATAAATCAAAAATATCAAAGTTTTATTTTTTTAAATGAACACCCTGTATATTATTACATTTTTAGTTTCTCCGATTAAAATAAAAGTAAATTTTATCAAGGTTTATCACACTTAAATCTTACCGTTTTTGAAATATTTTCAATTTTGTAAAATTGCAGTAAAAATTTTAAGGCTTCATTTCTCCAAGGGTATCAAAGTTTTTAATATTAAATATTTACTGAAGTTTATTTATTGATCAGTTATTGTGTTGCCATAATACAAATAATAGTACCTCATACAGAGTGTCTAAAAATTTATTTTAAATAATTTGTAGCTTTAAACGACTCGTAATTATTGTTGTCGAATAACTTGTTTAATTTAAATGGAACGCCCTGTATATTTTAGGATAATCAGATGAACAATTTAATTGTCTATCAAATTGTATTATGCCATTTTTTACCTATCCCTTCAAGTATTCGTAGAAAATGCATTGCCCTATAGTTTGGTGCTCATTTATCAATATACCCATGGAATATTGACATTTTAAATTGTTTTTAAAGCAACAAATAAATGTACAAAATGTACCAAGTGTACAGGTGCTAAAGACGATAATATTACTAGCCCATTTGTATATAAAAAGAAAACTATTTAAATCTTTATAAAAGGGTATACCATTAATTAAATGCACCACTATTATTTCCGCCCAAATATTAATTATTTACATACTTAATTGTGTCCATTTAAATTAAACATGTTATTGCCGTTTAAAGCTAGTAATTATTTAAAATCAATTTTTAGACACTCTGTATAAGGTAGTATAACTTTTATTATTGCAACACAAAATTTAGTAAATAGAAATACTTCAGTACAATACTTGGTTTTAAAAACTTAAATACGCCTAGAGAAATAATACATTAAAGTTTATTACTGTATTTTAACAAAAACCTAAATATTTCAAAAACCGTAAGATTAAAATACGGTAAACCTTAATCAAATTTACCTTTATTTTAATCGTAGAAACTAAAAATGTAATAATATACAGGGTGTTCCATTTAAAAAAATACATCTTTGATATTTTTATGTATTTGGGACACTCTGTATCTTGCAAAATATTTTTAAATTATTGTAGCTCTAATAGTCCTTCAACGAACCCAAAACTTACAATATGTAAAAATCTAATCATTTAGCTACAATACTCCGTGTCGTATGTGGTGAACAACCCTGTAGATATACAGGGTGGTCCGAACTGTATTCCGGACACTTGGGCATCATATTCTGCAGATAAAATTAAGTAAAAAAGTTCGTATAAATGTATGTCCTAAAATGCTTAGTTTGGAAGATACAGGGTGTAGAAGTTTCATTTTTATTTCGATCTTTTCCAAATAATATTTAGATGAAAATAATATTTAGATATTTAGATGAAAATTGGTGACTGGGAGTTTCTTGACATGAGAAATCTGAATGACGCTTAACCCTTGATATATTATAATTTTTTAAATTACAACATTTACATTAAATAAATTCACAACATTCGACTTTTGAGATTTTAATGCATATGTTCCGCTCTATAACGTTTGGATCTTACCATTAGCTCTAAGTAAATCAAATCCGCACACCGCCTGTTTGAAAGCCAGGCAAACTTTCCTGGATATCAATTTTTCGGCGTTGCTCAAAATTACAGGATATCGAATTTCCTTTCCTTCTCTATCCCTTTCCACTTTTCCATCCAAAGCTGGCGATTTTCTGGCTTCGGCGTGGGCATAGTCTGGACCGACGGTGTACACCTTCACAGAAAGTGTTTATTTAGTAGTGCGTCAAAGAAAATTAATCACATGACAGACATATTTTAAGTTTCTCAGATATGATATTCTTTAAAAGGTCTGTAACATTCTAAAGGCTATAGTGACCCCCCACCCAAAAAAAAACTCTAGTCCATCTAAAAGTGTGTGTCTAGTTGCGCCACTGCTAAAGGCCACCATATACTTCAGTTATTTTGCACTGGAATAATTAATGGAAGGGGGGCAATCCCAAAAAGTGCCATTTGGCCATTCTTTGACCAAACACCCTATAATTTGAATTTTTAATAAAGTTTCTAGCTCAGATAATAACTGGGGGATAAAATTAAAGAGATGATTAAAATATTTTTTTAAGTATGTGACCAATTTTCTTTCATACACTTCCATAATTTGCCACTGATTTTGAAAAAGTCTTTAAATAAAAAGATTAAGACTGACAAATCCATCAAATTCAAATGTGGTCAAATGAATCGTCAAACAGAACTGTTATGGATCACCACCCGAGGGCCCTTTATCCATCTACCTTTCATGAATACATGATAGCATTATACTCCTTCCTTAATCTGTTTATTCAAAGGGCAAAGTAAATACATAAAAGTATACCTTCACATCCGTTCCGTCTGTGGGCATGAAATCCTCATAAATAAAACTGCCAGTTTTCCTCACCCTGGATTCCGGTGAATACACGCTGCTTCGACTGCCAATCTGCAAAAGCATACCGCTCAAATGAACTACCTGCTAAATTATATAGTGTCTTAGGTATAGAATACTCAGGAACGTAGTGTTAGTACGCCTGACAAACCACACGAAAAAACACAACAGATGAAAATGTATTTTTAGCTTTATTTTTCGAACAAAATGTTTTGCTCAAGTGTCATTAAACTGAAAAGATTGCCTGAATAATTACTGGACTAACAATGCATCACATAACTACCCTACTGATATCGATCCTACGAATAACAAATAAACGTTTACTGACGGACGATACTTAAAATACAATTTTATGTAAACAAAGCTGTTTTTGTCAGCAAAAGCCATGTTTATTAAACAGGCAAAACTTCCAATGCTATTGTGATAGTATCTTCTAGTTTAATATATTTACTCTAAAAGATACCTTTCGGCAACGTTGAGGTGTCTAGTTAGTGAACGAACTCGTTCCAATGAACTATTCCGACCTCGGAACGAAAGGAACTAGTTCCCGGTTTCTCAAAGGACTAGTTCCTCAGGACCTATTCTGGGGACCAATATATAATAATATACGACGGCGACGGATCGGCCAACGCGATCGTAGCTCGATGCTAGGCGGGAGTGGGGAGTACCAGCCGTATGTTATCGGTTCCGGACCAAGAGGAACTAGAGAAACTAAATAAAAGTCTAGTTCACGTACGGACCGACCAGCCCGATGCTAGGCGGGAATGAAAGTGCCAGCCGTATGTTACCGCCGGAAGAACTGAGAGGAACTAGTTAAAAGACTAGTTCACGGGAATCTATTCAGTTCGCAGATCCGAGATATAATACAAGGCGACGACGACGGATCCGGTCTTGTCTACTGCCGCGGCTGGCGTAATTACCACAGAAAATTGTCGTGAATACTATTTTTAATTCTTAGTTGATCCTTTAAATATTTTATAGGAATGTTTCACTTTAGGTGCCTAAAATTATTAAGAAATATCTTATAGAACAAGTTGATATTCTGACTTTTTACACAAAAACATGCAAAATAAATTATTTCGTAAAATAAGTGAGAAAACTTTACCTTCATATTTATCATTTAGCTTCACCTACACATGTGCCAATATTATATACCGTATGATCGAATAAAAACGGCGTCAGAGATGGCTATGAAATGAAGATCGCTGTCATTTTATATGTAAAATTATATAGAAAATGTCATCGATCGTCATTTCCAAGCCAACTGGACGCCGTTTTTTTTTCGATCATACGGTATTTTATTATTTGCCTCAATTGATTTGAGTTTCTTTTATAATTCTTTGTTTTTATTCGCAATAAAACTTACCTATATTTAGTTTTAAACATATGCAATTAGACGTCTCGTTATATTTCGTACATTATAAAAATTATGCAGATTATACTGTAAATAGTTCTGACTATGGAGTGTAGAGAAATATCTCTTACAGGACTTTATTTGAAAAAGTGGTCACAAAAATGGGAATAATAAGGGTTCACAAAATCACCACAGTGGCGGTAATGACGCATAAATCTAAAAAATTAAAAGTAACCATAGATAACAGAATAAAAGTAACATTACCAAACATTACCCAAAAAAGCTTTGTTTTTTTATTTTTTAGAATATAAAACAATGATTTTTATATATTAAAGGTCCAATCTATTGCTGCTGAATAAAAATCGATAATTTATTTCATGTGATATAAAAATAAAATTTGTATTTTTTTGAAACCCGCGCCTTCACGTCAAATATTTGTCTTTTATAATCATTCCCTGTTCTAAAAATTTTCAGCGCATATTTTAAATTTTAGGTTTTTGCTACAGCAGTGCCATCTTAAGTCTTTCCTTTTTTTTTGACCATTTTTTAATGCACGACGATATTTCTCCCCACCTCTATACTCAATAGTTTTGACTTATAACGAAACCCATGAGCAAGCAACGGAGATGTCAATGTTAGACGGGAACTAATGTGAACTAAAGACCTAGTTCAAAGCAGGGGGGTGACAGTGAAATAGGAAAATTGGAAACAGTCATTAGTGTCATTCCTGTCATTCTCCTCACGACAAGTATGGCCGCCTAGACAAGGACAGCATTGTTTTTGTCTAACTTCACAGTTTAGAATTGACAGATTTCAGTTTCAGAGACAACTTCAGATTTGTTCTAGAACAAATTCGAAAATATTCGACGCCATTTTAATTCATTCCGTTTAGTTTCGTTTTGGAAGTTCAGTTTAATATTTCGGCTGAAATTTATAAATATAAAGGTAATAAAGTATATAAAATATGTATTACATGAAGAATCCTGGAGAAAATGACGTTTCTGCAGTAGTAGGTATGTCCCATGTATATCAAAAATAGGTAGTAAATAAACACTGTTTTTACATTTTTTAGATGCAAGAAAATGGTGTTATAATCTCTTTGATCGGCGATTTTTTTGAAAATGGAAACAATTTACAGCAAGGTAAGATCATTTTTAACTATAGCCAACATTAGTTATCTCCAGTATGTGCGATTTATTGTCAATAAAGCAATAAATCGGACTGATAATCTGATTATGTTATCCGACTAAAAGTCTCTTTTTGCATCTTTTTGATTTATAAGCCAGGTTCTTTGGGAATAATGGACGCTTTTTTTAAACAGTTTATTTATATTTTATACCTATTGATATTTTTACATTGTTAATTTTTGTATAAAAAAATTGTTTTTCTGTTTTCAGGTTTTTGTATAAGGCTCCCGTTTTCATGTTCCTGTGTCCGTTTTCTGTCCTTGAAGTTTGCGAATGCGTGTGTTTATTTACAAATTACTGTAAGTCATGCTTATACCTTAACTAATTTACGTTAAAAGTGCATATAATTAACTAATTGGTATTGAAACAATACAATCCTCTATATTTTTATATTTATTTAGTCACGTTGTTCCATATTTCAAATAAATATATGTGAATAAATTATTTTGGTTTTATTTATGAAAGAAAAATACAAAATACATTTGAACTGAAAGAGGCCCCGCCATTGAATAACCGGAAACGGAAATGAAAATTAAGCCATCATGTCCTTATCATGTCAACCTGTCAATTGGAAAGTTAGTTCTCCAGACGACAACGAAGGCTTTCGGTGGCGTATCGTGTTTCCACGATTTAACACAGAGTTGACACTTCTTTCTAGTTAATTATTTTATGGTTCAAAGAACTAGAATTCCCACTTCTAGGCAACGTACGCTTCGTAAAATGTTTTGTTAGCCATAGACATGTGTAAAAGACAGATATCAATCAATATACACTGATTGATTTTGACTCAACACATACAAGGAAAATGGAAATACAGAAATTGTTTATTTATAGTCTGATTTGACCAGACTTTTATTCCTGTGCAATACTAAGTTATATCGATAAATATAATAAATGCTGGAAGTTTCTTGAAGTTTGAAAGTAAGAAATAGTTTTTTTTATAGATTTTTGTATGTGTTACTTATTTCTTTGTAAAATAAAATAAACTACCTTGAAATTAAAATGACGGACACATCTATCACTGTCAAGGATTTTGTCGTTGGACAGACTATAGTGTGGGGCAATTGCCCCACGTTGCCTTACCGTAGCTACTATGAACTCTGGCTCTTATGAACCCAGACACAATTTACCATCGCTACTGCCCGCTACTGTTTAACTGTACTGCTCGTCTATTTAATTCATGCATTTTATGTGTTCTATTGCACAGAATATTTGCCTTACTTTGATAAAAAGATAAACTCATACTGTCCAAGCATAGCTTAACTTTTCAACTTTTATTTAATAATGAGGAAGATGCATATATTTTATTTTTCGCCAGAAACTGTTCAATTTATTAGAATAAATATGTATAAATGCAAAAAAAACTTTTTTCTTGAAAGCAGTACCACAATTTTATAAAACGGGCCATTAAAATACTATGGATAACGCAAACGACGCCTCGCGAATTGAAACGATATTCTATTGGCCTGACGTCATCCGCCGTTCTCGTCGACGCGCGATGGCCAGCAGCAGCCAGATGTGTTCCGTTTATGTACGTATTTAGGTGGCATTTTTGTTGCTGGTAGCGTTGATTGAAGGAGCTTTTTATGCTTTTTTGTGGAGTTATTATTTGTATGTGTGAATTTTTTAAGTAATGGCAGATTCCAGGTTTGTAAAAGCACAATCAGATAACTTGCCAAAAGTCGATGCTTTTATGTTGGCTGCTTTTATAAATACAAATTCCCAATTTATTGGTGCTGAATTACGAGGAAAAAAACAGAGAGGTATGTAACATTTATTCTTTGCAGTACTGAGGCATATTTAAGTATAAGTAGGTACCTACTGTTACAAACATATAGTTATAAATTAATGTTATAAACTTATTTTTCAGATCAGGTAGGGAGACGTATGGAGATAATGCTGTAGGTTATGTAGAAGTGAAAAGAGACAAAAATATTTGTTTAGTATGTGGAAAAATAACTCCAGAGCATAGCGTGAAAAAGAAAGTTTTTTTTTATATATTGACACCCCCTTACCTTTGTTATTTTTAAAGGTTTTTTTACGAAATTATAGGAAATTTAATTAAAATTACGAAATATTGACAGTTGAAAAGCGAAAAATACCTACAATTTTCTGGACCACCTATTTTGAGACACCCTGTATAACTAGAATTAATTTTAAAAGAGAGTATATAAAAAACCATGCAACTTTTTTTATGTAATGTTTTCTTCTAAAACCTGCAGTTAAGGCTGTATGTGGGTGTCAAAATATAATGAATAACCCTGTACATTCAAATTTCATATACCTATGTAAGACAATATACATAAATATATGAACTTACATCAAAATGATCTTCACAACAATAAATCGTAAAAATAGAGGATAATTTAACGTTTTTCTTTTTATCTCTTCTCATTGCCTTGGACCATTTTTTTCTGTTTTCGCTCATCCATTACTATTTATAAATATCACTAATTACTAATTATGTATTAATTAACACAAATAACTAAAATTTTGACTCTGATTCAACATTGTTTAAAAGCAAACTGTGTAAAATAAACACGCGTCTGGCTCCACTCAACTAGAAAAACGGCGGGTGACGTCACAGCGGCAAGGCGCGGTAGAGAGCGTTTGCCCGGCCACTGAAATTAACAAAATTTAATTATTTTATATTAGAGGCATTTCTTAACCGATATCATTTTTTTTTGTTCAATTTGTAATTATATGAACTATTTTTTAAAACCATTATTTAAAAACATGCATTTTCCTCATTGACCCTATATGCCAAAACTTCTTTCAACTAAATTTTTTAACCTTATACATATAATAGATGACAAATATTGGTGCAGTTATTGTAATTTTGTGTTTTATTTACTTTTAGTTATCCCAATGAAAATAATATTTAAAACACCAACACTCTCAAACCGCAGAGGAGAATATAAAATCACTTATAAAATTTGAAACAAAACAAAAGCTAAATAAGAAAAGCTAAAAAAGCAGATAATGGATGACAGTCTCGTTGACAACCATCGTGACAACCCTTTTAGTTAATGACACTTGACACCTACCTTTCTGAATAGTCTTTGACTACCCCCGCCGGCCTGAGTAGGGTAATAAATGTAAATATTGTGATCTTCCGCCGATACAGGCTTCTCGACGAAGGGTTTGTTGAAGATGATACCGTTGACTTCAACATGGTCTTCCGATTCAACCAATTCATGATCTAAAAATTGTAAAGCACCTATGTAGCGACTTTATCAAATGCTATTTAAAAATACGAGTATCTAATATGTCCAAACAGAGAAAATATTATTGCGAAAATCTATATTTTAATTAAAATTATATGTAACAACTTGCACTGTCGTGTATTCTTTCGCTGGGGAAAGTATATATTAATATAAAATACAATTTTTAATAATATGTATAGTTCAATATAAATTAATTAAAATTTTCTCTGAAATTGTGTCGTAAATTTATAAAACACTCTGTACAAAAATCACTAGAGAGCCTTATTCATTTACCTTTTGGATCTAGACTGTCTCTATCTAAAACTGCATATCTAGGAATGGCAATGCCTTCAGCCTCTAACGTTGAGTATACTTTTCTTCTGTCCTGAATGTCATACTGCATGTGTAAGTTGTTGATGACGTAGGGGTTGTGTAGTTGGGCATACTGTATCGCTTTGTCTAATGGAAACCCTTTGGAATGGAATGAAATGAGGCAATCACAGACTGGCCATTCCTCAACAGGTTGCTTTAAGAAAAAAAAAATTATGTAACATTATACAGGGTCGCTTTTATGTATGGAAACTGTCGATTATTAGGTAAAGTATAGGAGGTACCGCAAAAAGTTAAATATAAAAGTTATAGGGTTTATAAATATCTATTAGCGGGTAATAAAGGGTAATAAATTTAAGTATACAGGGTCGGTCATAAGGTCGTGGCACATCAAAGTTTCATTTTTTTAAATGGAACCCCCTGTATATTATTGCATATTTCGGTTCTTCCTTCAATTCTAAACAAAAATCGAATTACACACAATGTACCTCATACTTAAATCGAATTACACACATTTTAAAAATATCACTTAAACAATTTGATTTAATTAATTTCGATATGTTCAGTTTCAATTAACGATGCCATTTTGTCAAAACTGTGATACTTAATAATATTTGACATTAGTTCTAGCGATGGGAACTATCGAATGAATTAGACTATCGAATGGTTAATGAATGAATGATTTCAACTATCGAATGGTTTTATTCGAATAAAATCATTCATTCATTTGTATACTAAAGCATATGTGACAACCTCGCCGTGCGACTAAATGGTTATCGTTGAGCCACGACTATCGAATGCTTTTGATAAATGAAATTTAGTATTCGTTTGATTTTTTGTATGCGTCAGTGCATTATTAGTTCTTCCAAATTTTTATAACTTCGCCGTATAAATACTGTGCTATTTTTGCGTTTATTAAAATAGTTAAGATACTAAAATAGTAGTTATTTTTTAATTTTATTTATTGACGATTGTGTGCATGTGCAGGTGGTCAAAATTTTTCCGAAAATTTGTGTGGTTTTCCGTAGTCCGATCTTTCAATTATTTAATTTTATATGGTATATGGTCTATTTTTTAATGGGAAATTTTGAGAAGTAGCAATTTTTAAGAGAGATGAGATGAACAATATATAAATGAACTTACAATTAATTTTAAAAATACATATTTGTATTTTAGATGTTTTAATAATATGAATTAGTTGAACTTAATAATCATATTTAAGTAATGTGGTTAAGTAAATGGTTATCGAACTCAAACTATGGGGTGAGAAAATTAAAATGAAAGTTTTACACGTGCCAATTTAAAAAAAAAGTTAACGATGTTTGTATTTTGTTTCTGCTAATTCTCTTACATGTAGTTTTTTGAGAAGAAATATTTCATTTATTTTTTAAAGTAAATGCCAGTAAAAGTAAATATAATTTTTAAATAGTAATATAAAGCACCCAATATAAATAATTTTGATTTCTAATTTTGTATTTATATTTTCCTTCCATTACACTGCATGCTTAGAAAATTAATAAATGTTTATATTTCATGATTTTAAAATTTGTTGTTAATATAACAAATTAGTTCTGTAATTATTATTATTTAATAAACCAACGTTGCCACACACAAAAAATTTAGAGACTATATTATTTTTAAATAGGATCTAATATAAATAATTTTGACATCTAATTTGTTGTTTACATTTTTTTACTACTTAAAAAAAATATTTATATTAAATGATTTTAAATTTTGTTGTTAATAGGTGTAACAAATTATTACTGTTATTATTATTTATTAAACCAGTCTTTGCTTAAAAACATTAAAAATCATTTTCCTACATCCAAAATAACAAGTATTATTGCAGTGTAACAACAGAATATTAATAAAAAAAATGCAGAATATATAGACATACTAACCCTAACTAACTAAAGCCAAACAATAATATTCTTTGCTAATATCAACCAATACCAAAATATGGCAACAGCGCCCTTCATAATGTATTTTCTGTGTAAATACTAGCACCTCAATAAAAAAATTAATGTGTCCTTATCTATATCTGACTCCGCAAAAAATCAAAGATGCCGGCTTCTTTCATAGCATTGCCACCAACCGCTGTCAGGTTTCTCGGAAAGAAACCTACGTCGCCGGGCGACAACTAAAATTCAGTTAATATTTTATTATAATCGATCCTGACGAATAAATGAATTTCATAAATGAATGAATTTTATAAATGAATGGTTTTTGCTGCCGAATTACTAGAATACAATATTTCAAGGCAGATGACGGATCTATTCGATAATTTTTATTCGAATAGTTTTTTTCACAACGAATGCTTTCTTACTAACTATCGAATTATTCGAATGAATTGCAACTATCGAATGTTTCGATAGTATTCATTCGATAGTTCCCACTACTAATTAGTTCTCAAGTTAGCATTTATAGATGTATAAAATGAGAGTATAGCAAGTGTAGAAACTACAAAATTTTCGTTTAACATTTCAATTCTTCAATTTATGTACATTGTGTATTACGATTATTGTTTAAAATTGAAGGAAGAATTGAAATATACAATAATACACAAAGGGTTTCATTTAAAAAAAAATAAAGTTTGATGTGACACAACTTTATGACCGACCCTGTATATTTAAATTTATTAGTAGCTATAGGAATTTAAAAATCCTTTACAACAGTATCACAGTTTCGGCAGAATAGCATCATTAAATCAAACCAAACACATCGAAATTAATTAAATCGAATTGTTAAGTGATATTTTCAAAAGTCAATAACTCGGAAACGGCTTTGGGGTACATTGTGTGTATTTCGATTTTTGCTTAGAATTGAAGGAAGAATTGAAATATGTAATAATATACAGGGGGTTCTATTTAAAAAAATAAAACTTTGATGTGCCACGACTTTATGAACGACCCTGTATACTTAAATTTATTACTTACTAATAGATATTTAAAAATCCTATAACTTTTGTATTCAACTTTTTGCGGTACCTCCTATATTTTACCTAATAATCGACCGTTTCCATACATAAAAGCGACCCTGTATAAAAGAATAATCTATATTTGATATCAACTAAACTTTTAGTTACGTCATCGAGAGCGCAATTTTTAAATTCAATGTTGCCAACCATGGACATATCCGGCGCCCGGCTAATTAACTGGAATTTAATTTCGCGCTGTGGATTCAGGTGGTAGCTCTGCTGTAAAAAATTTCAAGTTGCCACATTTATTTATTTCCTGACATTATCATTCGTTATGACACTTTGGTTTTGTATTACGAGTTTTTGGTTTAAATAAATAATGTTGTGATGCTTGAAGCTTGAAAATGTTTACTAGCAGACCTTGCAGTCGAACATTGTTCTTTTTAGAACCTCTTTTAATGGACCTCTTAAGTGTACAAGATAGTTTAATAGCCGTAAAAAACTCATTGCAACTTTATTGGAATATTTTAAACGGGAAAGCCGTCGTAATGGCCCTTTATGTCCCTTAAGACCTGTTAAGAAGGTGATTTTTGTTGATGTAAATAATAACTGTTCATAATTAATTTATTTTTGTTTTCTAAAATATTTTGATTAAAAGAAAATATATAATAGTGGGCAACGCTGTGCCGGTCAAGCTTAATCACGCGAGTAAAAGTTTATTTGGTATAAACTTATACGAAAGTATTAAATATAAAACTAATTTAAATAACTTACATTCAAGATAACGTCTTCCTGAAACACGATCACTTTAATGTATTCAAAATCCTGCAGCCTGGTCAAAATCTCCTTCATGGGTTTGCTCTGGGTCTTTTTTTCCATGGCACACACGCCCACAATGACCACCTTGCCCCCATCGTCCATTTCTTGGGGGTCCAGATCCGGGTTGCTGGGATCGCATAATTCCAAGTCCCCCTAAATAAGCGATTGACAGTGTGAAATATTGACCGTTCTTTATTTATTTAAATGCGAGACAAAGAAAAAATTAGTATTATTTATTTACAATAATTGTTTAAAATTGTTTAAACTGTCCAAGTGTTGCATCATATTTCGACAGTGGGTTAATTACAGTAACAAGTAACGTTGGGACAAAATTAATATTTGGTAAAAAGTTAACAGCAATCATATGGGCTATTAGACAAAAAAATTGGCGCCGGGAGGCACGTATAGCAAGCGTATAGCCGCCCATACTAAAATATGTTAAAAGGAATTTTTCTAATTTTTTTTTCATCTCAAAAACTGCGACTTTGACCGTTTTGATGTTATTACAAATTTTGTTGCAAATATTATTCCTAATCTTAAATTGAAAACCGCGTTTCTCTAGCTACTGCAATTTTGGAGTTACGATTTTTAAAAAAAAATTAACCCCTTTACCAACCCCCCACCCCCACCAAAAACTAATGGCCATATTCTCGAACGCCACAGTATTTTTGTGGCAAATTTGGTTAAAATCGGTTTAGCGTTTTTTGAGTTATCGTGTTACAGACGGCCAGACAGACAGACAGACAGACACCATGAAAATATTTTGTATTTAGGTGATTTATGACCCAAATAACTCATTTTAACGTCTATGTATAATATTCTAACGTCACATGCAAGCAAGATCTGACTTAGGATAATTGACCGAAGACTTCAGAGGTACTGGACGCCCGAAATACCTCCTGAACAAGCCGGATTCGTGAAATGAAGAGGCACAAGAGATCAAATATTTAACATACGCCAACTCATAGAGAAATCCGAGAATTTAATTCGCCTATGTTCTTGTGTTTTATAGGCTACAAGAAGGCTTTCGATTGTGTGAGGTGGAAAAGTCTATGGAGGATTCTGAGTGAAATGGGAGTTCCGAATCATCTAGTGGCTCTTATTAACAATTTATATGACAATTATACAGTAATTGTCAACCTAGATAACAAAACGTAGGAACCTTTCAAACCTAGAAAAGGGGTACGTCAGGGCTGTATACTGTCACCCAGATTGTTTAATGCCACAAAACATCCCCCTTTAGAACTTTTTCTTTAATGGCCATAAGCGGGAGTAAAAGACCAACCGCCCGAACAAACACTAGAGGCGCCACCGGTCATCAAATGGTGTAAAAATTGCGAAAATTTAATCATCTAATTTTGACACAAGGGGTCGCGCTTAACTTTTTCAATTTTAATTCAATATTCATTGTTTTCAAACTATATTATTAGACTTTGTTGTATTTTGTGAATGTATAAATGTTTTCTTAGTATAAAGTTGCATTATAGTAATTTAAATTATATTACATACATATTTAAGATTCAAATATTATGACATATATGTCAGTTGCCGTCTAAAATGTCATCTTGATAACAAAAAGTTAGTTATTGTCAAAAGTAGTTAAAATCATGTTAAAATATTAAAATTTACAAGTTATAATTAGATATTTTATATTATTTCAACAACAAACACATAATAGTACAGCGTAATGTTGATATGCAGGTCAAAACAAAAAATGCCGTTATATTTTTCAGTTTTCGTTGTCAGCCGCGGAAGTTTCAGTGATTTTAGTGTTGTCGGATATTTTTATTTGTGAAATAGAAATATTGCGTTTGGATTGCAAAACTAAAAGTGGAAGTTTTATTGCAATGTAAGTAAGCGTTTGTCCATTTTATATTTTACTTTTTTCATACTTACGATAAATATACATATATTGAAATTTTATAATTCGTTTTATTTAAAAAATGTTAGAAAACAAACTTGTAATCCTGTAATTGACATAATTGTTATGTAATATATTCCATTTAAATGTAATATATTACTTAACAATTAAAAAAATGTACATTTAAAAATATATACAGGCATTAATTGAAATTTTTTGAGTGCGAACAAACACGAGAGGCGCTTTATTATTTACTTTCATTTCTTAACATGACAGACGAAGTTCTAAAGGGGGATGTTTTGTGTTTAATGCCTATAGTGAATACATTATGAGACGTGCTTTGGAGGGCGAGGAAGGAGGAATCCTAGTCAACGGTAAAATCCTAAACAACCTCAGGTACGCGGACGATGCCACCCTTATAGCGAAAAGTGAGGAAGAAATGGCCCGGTTGCTGGAAAGAGCCACTGAACCGTCGAAAGCAATAATAATTACCATCAAAAGCAGTAATCTTGGTCTAGAAATAAACACTAATAAAACCAAACTCATGCTGATTGATAGAAGTGGTGCAGTTCGATTACACAACCTCCTCCCTAATATAGAAAGAATAGATCAATTTATATACTTAGGGTCTTTAATAACAAATAATGGGGGCTGTGAAGCAGAGATAAGAAGGCGTATAGCAATGGCACGGACGGCTATGATGAGCCTAAGAAAAATATGGACAGATAGGAATATTACTAAAAACACCAAAAAGATCCTTGTTCGATCTTTGGTGTTCTCCATATTCCTATACGGGTCTGAGTCTTGGACCATCAAGAGCGCTGATAGACACCGTATAGATACATTTGAGAGGTGGTGCTGGAGGACAATGCTCCGTATCCCATGGACACCTCGAAGAACGAACCAGTCAATTTTTAATGAACTCGGCATCACAGATTGATTATCCACCATCTGCCGTAGACGCATCCTGCAATACTTCGGTCATATCACTCGCCTCTGCCTCTCGTCATATCACTCGCCTCTGCGAGTGATATGAGTCACCTCTGTGAAGACAACCTTGAAGAAATCATAGTACAAGGCAAAGTAGAAGGCCGAAGACCCAGAGGACGATCACCATCGAGATGGCTTGACCAAATAGCAAATATTACAGGTCATCCATTTCAATCAAATCTCCGAGAAGCGGAAGATCGCCAACGTTGGAAGATCAAAATCACCAGCTGCACATTGCCATAAGTCAAGATTCTTCAGACATGAAGAGACGACGAAGAAGAAGAAGATTATACAGTCCTTAAGAAACAATCTCATTGTCACTGTTAAGAACTTCAGTAAAGAAGAAGCTGTTTTCATTCAATCACAAAATGACTTTGAAAATAAAAAACTTTTTTGAAATTCTTAAGCTTGGAAATGATTTCTCTTTCCCTTCTTGATATATATCTTATCTCATTGTAATTAAATCATCATGTGTATAGTTATCAACAAATAAAAATAAAAATGAGATAGTAACTTCTAATATGAACTAATTATTGATTGTTTATACCCTCAAGTTAAACCCTTACCTACTTATTTAAATATTAAAATACCTACTTAAAATTACCAAATACCATAAACATCTTGATTTATTTGATTTGATATATATTTCTTTAAAAATAACATACATATACCCGTTTAAACATTTTAAAAATAAAGCTATATTACCAGTGTATCTATGTAATATCCAGGTTCCACTCTATCAGGACCATTACCAATAAAAAACATTTCAAACAGACCCACTACAATCAGGAAGGTTAATGTTTCAAATAAATATAAATGTTACTTAACTACACCAACCGGAAAGCGTGTATTAATAATAAACATTATTATCAAACCATATTTTAGTATTCCTAGCAGGCATACATAGTATATTTGTTGTTAAAAGAAGAAACGAGGCAAAAATTAAATTGTTTATAATAAAAGATTCGGTCAACAAGAATGTGCTGTACGGATAGCCGAGAGATGAGTTCGTTAATTAAATAAATGTGTAATTATCTAACGCGTTTAGCAAATAATACGATATTAAACAAAACTAATCCAGGATAATCAGTTGAAATTTACATTAACAATAGTACAACGCAGATTCTTTGAACATTTTTTTTTATTGGAAAATTTAGTGGAAGGAGTCCACATCTAAATATTTCCTGTTAAAATTCATTAAATTATAATCAGTCGAAAACGAGTTTTTAAAACTTATTAACACAGACTATAATCTATATAACTTAGTAATTATTCAAGTTTTTTTTTAATATTCATAATGATTTAAAATAGATGTAACTATCGTTTAAATTTAATTAAAGATAAATATAGATTTAGAAAAAGTATGAGTGGATAGGGATAATTTTTTTAAATAGAATACCCAGTATATTATTGCATTTTTAGCTTCCTTTCAGATCACTTTACATAATACTAAGATATAAGTAAATATATTTCGATAGTTTTATAGATATTAATAAATAAATAAAAATATACAGGGTGTTTCAAAAAACATGTGCCATCTCTCGTGGGGAGATTCCTGCTTTGTTTCGTAGCTACAGGGTGTTAACCGGACCTACATATGTTGATATGAAAAATAAATTTTATTTTTACGTGAGGAATCTCCCCACGAGAGATGGCACATGTTTTTTGAGACACCCTGTATATTTTCATCCTTTCTTAAAAAAAATATTAAAATTACAAAAAGTGTGTCCTGAAATCAAAACTATATTACTTTGCTATAAATATGGTAATCGTAAATTATACAGGATGTTCAAAATTCTACGCCAAACTTTCTAAAATTTAAAATAATTTTACTTCGTTTTTTTTTAAATAGAACATCCTGTATATTATTCTTTCAATAGATGAAGAATTAAAAAATATTTTTTTTTGTATTTAGAGTATTTCACAATTTTTAACGGTTTCGCAGATATTCGCGGTTTTATATTTCATATGGCATTTTCTACAGTAAATTTTTATCAAAGTCTATGAAATAATACCAGGGGCGCATATACGGGAGGGGAAATGAGGGTAATTACCCCTCCCAGGAATAAATTTATAAATAAGAAAATTTGGTATGAAATAAAATAATTGTCACAAAATAAATGAATAATGTCAATCACACAAAATAGAAATCTAGAACAATCTAAGTCTATTTTTTTCCATATAGTCACAATCCCTTTGAGCAAAACTTAATTTGAATTACTTTATTTATTGCCTCTACCCCTCCCAGACTCAATCTCTGGATGCGCCACTGAATAATACAGCGTGTATCTGCAAAACCATTAAAAATTTTGATATACTTTAAATACAAAAAAAGGCATTTTATAACTCTCCATCTAATAAAAAAATAATATATAGGGTGTTCCATTTAAAAAAAAAAACAAAGAAAAATTATTTTATATTTTAAAAAGTTTGGCGTAGAATTTTGAACACCCTGTATGATTTAAGATTACGATATTTTTAGTAACGTAAGTATAAATAATATAAAGTAAATACCTAATATAGTTTTGATTTCACGACAGTTCTTGTATTTTTAATAATCTTTTTAGGAAAGGCGGAGAAAACTATATTTATTTATTTATTAATATCTCTAAAACTATCGAAATATATTTACTCATATCTTAAGATTATATAAAGTGATCTGAAAGGAAGCCAAAAATTCTATAATATACAGTGTGTTCCATCCCGCTCCACTCACACTTTTTTGAGCCACCCTATAGAAGTTAAAATATGTATTTTCTTGGAATACATACTTGAGGTTTGCACTAAAACAAAATTCGCAAATTTTTTATTCTAGGAGCTACAGATGCCCGACGCACTATTGCCGGATCTTGTAGTAATATATTTTAGAAGCAAACTGTCATATATTATATTCAGTACTAAATTATAAATCACCCTGTATATTTACATCAAAATCCGTCAGACATTCGTCGCAATAACACAGAGAATCCGTCGATTCTGCGTCGCTGGTTCTCCGGTATTTTCTCCACTTTTTCAATCTCCACCAATCTTTAAAATGGGACCAGTCCATTATAGAAAAAATAACTTTAAACAAATAAACTAAAAATTTTCACATCTATGACAATTATCTGACTTTTCTAACAACCAAAAATTGAAATCTACGCGAAATTTAAACGATATTCACAATAAAAATCTGATAATGAACTTAGGAGTGGAAAGGATCCAAACATACGACTTATCATTAAAACGAAATAATCAAGGTTAAGTATAGTTACACGAATATTATGGTAATAATGAGAAGATAAACAATTTAGCAAATATTTAACCAATTCTATGCACGTCAATTGTGAAAGTAAACTATGTTTATTAATTTCAGTATTGTGTTTGCCTGCTAGTTATAAGTCTCGGTTATACAGATCACTATTAATACGATTAAATGCTAGTGTGTTAATAGTCAAAACATTCATTAAAGCAAAACTAAAAGTTCTAAGCAAACTAATATACCGTGTGCCAGTATGCAGGTGCAACTGATGGATTGTCAACATCTTGAATAATAACCGTAGGTATAGATTTTAGACTTTCAGTGCTGGAGCTCATAGTGAACATCGAGAAATAATAAGCAGATAGAGTGGTGCATAAAAGAATCAGTTAAGTAAAAAAGAACAGTTTTACTTACTGCCCCTACATAGAACTGTGCCGGTCTGTACGTTATCTTACGTAGACCTTGATACCCTTGCTCCAATTCTGTATACGACATGACCCAAGTGAGACATGCCTAACACTTTTTACCGGCTTTTTAAGTGGGGCCTCTGGTTTTTCAATGCTTCTCAGCTGTACAACCACGAAACGATGAAACAGTACTTTGAGCAGGTCACAATGTATTGATTATAGATGGAAATTTTCCATTCCAGCAGTATAAATATAAGAAATACTGTTTAAAACACTTTGCAGATTAGTTATATTGGTCTTAATGAAGGGCTATCATTCACTTTTACATGACGTGCGACTTCTAAAAGTAGCACAATACTTTTACTTTTATTGTTTTGCAATACAAAATCAAATAGAATCAATAGAATTGTTAAATGGGTGACAGCAAAATGACAATAATCAGCTGATCTCAAGAGTTCGTTCATATAACCGATATTCTATATTTAAAAAATCTGATTTTTTAAACTTTTTAACTAATCTTCTTTAAAGATTTTGTATACTACTGTAATTACAAATATATATTTCAGAAATTGTTGTTTATTATCCTATTCCTATTATAAACAGTATTTTGATATTTTAATTTAACTGGTGTTTTAATATTTAGGATTTAGGCAAAATGAACAGTATAAAGCCCCGTTCTCAGAACTGCGTCGTGTTGACAGCGACACTGATTGACACTTCAAACGACCAATGGGAGCTGTACTAAATTTAAAATTGACAGCTGTTTGAATTTTGTACAAATCTCATTGGTCCTCTTGACGTGTCGCTGGCGACAGTCGCTGTTCTGAGAACGGGGCTTAAAACCATCTGATTTTGACGTCTTCCAATGACATCAATCTGACTCATTTCCACAATCAAAACAAGTTTATTATTTTAGAAATTGTTCCAGAGGATATATTGAATTTATTAATCGCAGCATGTCTATAACGCAAGGTTTGTGCTTAAAAATGATTTCTTTTTCTATCTATAATTATTCTTTTTGCAGAGAATCGCCCTGAACTTTACGAGGAAGTGAAGCTATATCACAATTCAAGGGAGAGAGAAAAGTAACATGATTGTTTTATTGTTTTTAATCTTTTACATATATTTTATTTCCAGGTATGATAATTTAGCTGATTTATACGCCGTAATAAACACATTACAGCAACTTGAAAAAGCATACATAAGAGACTGTGTCACTCCAAAAGAATATACTGGAGCTTGTAGTAAATTGCTAGTACAATACAAAGCAGCTTTTCGACAAGTTAAAGGAGACGAGTTTCCTAATATTGATACTTTTGTGAAGAAATACAGGGTATATACATATTCTAGTTGTTTTTTTAACATTTATATAAATGTATGTTTTGTTGTAGCTTGATTGTCCAGCCGCATTGGAACGAATAAAGGAAGACAGACCGATTACAATTAAAGATGACAAAGGAAATACCAGTAAATGTATTGCGGATATTGTCTCGCTTTTTATAACTATAATGGACAAACTGAGATTAGATATAAGAGCTATGGACGATTTGCATCCAGAACTAAGAGACTTGGTGGACACAATGAACAGACTGAGCATTCTTCCTTCGGATTTTGAAGGAAAACAAAAAGTGGGTGAATGGCTGGCCACGCTAAATTCAATGCAGGCTTCAGATGAGTTGTCTGAGTCCCAAGTTAGGCAGTTGCTGTTTGATTTGGAAAGTTCTTATGCAGCATTTAATAAGGTTTTGCATAATGCTTCTTAAATTCCTGTTTTTTGTATTTTCTTTATTTGTAAAAGCACATAATATGTTATACCTTATATAATAATAATAATATAGATTATTTTATTTTATTGTACTATAATTTTACATTTAACTGGTAGGTAACAAGAAAAAAAAACAAATTTATATAAAATTATTTATTAAATAAGTTTTGATTATTTTTCTTAAATAAAATATTAAATTAGTATGAAATGTGATGTGTATTTACAATTATTGCTTTGGGATATTTTGTATAAATACTGAGTTACATATATCAAATAATGTATTTATATAAAATATCATTGCAAACATACAGGAGAAGAAGGCATCAGTATAAATAAATATTTTACTAATTCTCCTTGTATGTAAGCGGTGTTCAGACTTTTCCGTTTTGCACTGTATTATATCTAATATAACATCTTACAATATTCAAAGCTTTAAATTACCTTAAAATTAATATATTTTTTAATTTATAGTAAAAAAAATGGATACATATGCAAACCAATTTATCAAATATAGCCAAAAATGTTATATAAATAAATATGATTTAACATTAACTTGTTCTTACTAAGGTTATATATTGAAAGATTTAAATTTTTATTTTTGTTAATGTATGTTAGGTTGCCTACGAAACAAAAAAATACAACTACACGAATACACTCACCGGCGCGAAAAACGGGCAACTTAAAATATTGATGTAGTTTAAAGATTAATATATTTTGTTCTAGTGCGCCGATTTTGATGATTTTTCCGGCAATTTGTAGCTAAATTATTTGACTTTTTAGTGTCTCTTTCTAAATTAAAAATGAAAATTTCCATCTGTCAATTATACGAAGGAGAAGAAAATGTTGATATTTTGGTGAAAGTTTGAAACACCCTGTGGAATATATTAACCAAGCAAGGAATTTAAAAATAGTTTTATCGTCTAGGTACGTCTTTTCCTGATAGTTTGTTTTTTGATTCATCTCAATAACATTATTTTTATTGGAGATATTCGCTTTTGAAAGACAGTAACGATTTACAGCCATTTTAGCATTGATTTTTCATCAACATACTTATAAAATAGTGTAAATTGTTTTTGTAAAGGTGCGTTTCCACCAAGCGCGCATAATGTTTGCAAATGTTCGCGAATGATCAGCAATATTTGCAAACACATTTATTTGTCCGGTGGAGATGTTATTTAGAATGTCTGCAAACCGATTGGCGATGTTCCGGCCGATGTCGGTACATCAAAGGGATTTGCTGTTTGTGCGCATTTTGTGGAAACAGGTTTAAACGAAACTTTTTTTTAAAACAGGGACCATTTGAATTTGAACGTGCCATTTTGTGTGGTTCTTTTAAACTTTCACACACTTCTTACAGCTTCACACACCTCTGGAATAATTCTTGATGTAAGTGGCTTCAAAACTCTAAAGAGATACATATAAAGCTGTTGTACGAATCTCCGGTGGCTAAAAACCGAAGTGTTATAGCCAATATCAGTTCCACAGGAATACAGTCTCTGTAATTTGTATCTTTTTTACCTATTTTAGGACCGATTAACGATATTAAGTATTGAAAGTCTTCTTGTGACATTCTAGAAAAATTCCTAAATAGCCCACTTCTATCATCTGTTGTTATATCACGAATCAGTTGTACTGAGTTTCTCGTTTTCAAGAAGTATGACGTCCAAAACCTATGTTTTCTTTTCTTTTTTTTCAAAGTCTCCTTTTCTTTCAAAACACACAGTGGCATTTACAAAAGCTGTTTTTCGCGGAGCCATTTTGTGCAAATATTCCGGATCGTTGACAAATGTTCACAAACTCACTGTTAATTCGCGAAATCGTGTCCTGTTCTAAAAGAGAAAAATAGAAACGAACCAACATTTTCAAACGTTTTCAAGCATTCACAAACACTTGCGAATGTTTGTTTGTCAATGTTTTTCGGTGGAAACCGGGTGGAAACCCTAGATCTTATAAACTTCGTGGATAAAGCTATGCCATATGTATATTACATACGACTTTGTTTACGGGACTTTCACATGCATTTTTCTATTTATTTCTTTCTAGAACAAGATTATCGTATAGATCTATCTTTCTCTCTGCGTACGCTACTGAGCAGAGAGAACACTAATAACTAAAGTGAGAGAGACCGATCAACGTTAATTTTTGAAGACTGTGTTAGTGGCGCGGCCTTTGGCGTCTAACCCGAACTATGAGCGCATTATCGATATAGTAGGCTGCATTCATGCCTATTTTTTGGCGCCAAAAATTTAAAATTTGTATATTTGAACCGAATCTTAATCTTTCAAGTTTATAATAAGAAATCTTTGTAGTTTTTTTAGATTATTTTGTTGACAGCGAAAATTTATTATTAGACTTTAAAGCATTAAAACCTATAAATAAAATACTGTGTAGAAACATAATAATTTATTTAACTCCATACTCCTTGCCATATTCCAACTCAAGGCTGCAATCTTCAGTATCTTTTTTTATCTAACTTGGTTGAGAGTGAACAGGAAAGCACGGTTGGGAGCTCGCACAGAGTATCAGTAGGTATCCCGTAGGTATTCAATGTTTTTGCTAGTCTTTATTCTATAACAAGAACCTAGCAGTTGAAGAAAATAATTTGTATTACTGGAAATAATACCAGGTATAATACCTAGTCGTTCCATAGGTATCAGAAAAGAATGTGATGTTTTAAATTAAAAAAATTAAATTAGCAATGTACGATTATTATGTGCACTCACTATTACTATTAGGTATGTTAAAATAATTACCGAGATAAAACTTACCTTTAAAGGAAACGTTTTGTCTGGGTCTCAACCACAAAACAAAAATTACAAAAATGCCGAATAATCGTGGAATCTGAAATAATCAATAATGACAATAATCTTCTCTTCTGACAAGCTAAAAGAACAGGCACATTCAGTTAAAAACAATTTATTGCTCCGATTTGCTCCGATTATCAACAGATTTTAGTTATCTCCTTCTAGAACTAAGAAATAGAAAAAGCTACTGACAATCTAATCATAGATAAATGCAACAAGTTTAGATTGGAAAGCCCGTAAAAATTTTGGATCGCGAAATTATTTTGGGTCGCGACCGTTATACGCGATCTGGCGCTGCTATAGCGGTCGCTAAGAACAACGGCAAACAAAAACAGAAATAATTTTCTCTTGTCAAAGTCAGAATCTTCAAAAATCATAATAATCTTTCAAAATCTAAACCGCTCTCATTAAAGAAATTCCGAAAAGTGTTTATATAGCGTCCATTTTCAAAGTAATTATTGCTATCTTGTGAGTTTAATTCAAGTTTTATTTACTCCAACCGGTGATAATTGTGAAAAAGTGGCATTAAAAACTTAAAAAGCTGTGCTGTGAACTGTGAACTGCAAAAACCATCGTGGATCGTGGCATAACATCGATTTCCAATGTTTCATAGGTATTTCATACATGCGTCCTTATATAAAATAAAGTTTCTTGTATGCAACACACTGTATTTTATTTATAAAATTAAACGAAAATAATAATAAATTTGAATAAACAATATTTGGCGATATAATTCCGGAAAAAGCCGAACCGCTCCGAAATTTTCAAAAGTTTTGGGTCGCGACCGTTGCAAGAATAGCGCCAAATAGTGTTTACATTGTCCTTATGGGCACTTTCCAATCTAAACTTGTTTCATTTATCTATGAATCTAATTAATCCTGTCAAATGTTTAACTTGCAAAGTTGAAAACTTCCGTTTTTGACCGCCTAAACGCTATGCGCGTCTGGGATGCGCGGTGACCAAATAAACTTGTCTACGAAATGCCCTATTCCACAAGCCCTCTCACTTTAGTTATTAGTTTCTCTCTGACTAGGTCCAAAAGGAAAGGCATGGCTTTAATGTAAAAAATTCGAAAAAATGTTAGTGTCTTCTTCAAACGCGAATATCTCCAAAAAAAATAAAGCTATTAAGATGAATCAAACAACTAACTATCGAAAAGAGATACATCTAGATGACAAAACTATTTTTAAATTCCTTATTTTGTTACCGTACTCTACAGGGTGTTTCAAACTTTCACCAAAATACCAATGTTTCGTTTTTCCTCGTATAATAGACAGATGACAACTTTCATTTTTAATTTAGAAAGAGAAATTGAAAAGTCAAATAATTTAGCTACAAATTGCTTAAAAATTCATAAAAATTGGTCCACTAGAACACTTTAAAATAGATGAAAATTTTAAGGTGTCAGTTTATCGTGCCGGTGAACGTGCACAAATATCACTAGAATTACTGTTATTAACACATTATTAGCACTTTATATGTTAAGATAAATAATACAGATCACATTGTAACGACATAGTTAATTCAATATCTGACTCTGTATAAAAAAATACAATGGAGGATGAAACTATCTGTTACAATTGAACAATTTTATCGATCCGCTTGTAAGATCACTCAAATACACAACAAGCCTACGTAATAACTTATGGAACACAACGTTCATGTAAAACATTACATTAAATCTCACAATATCACTGTCTTTTCTATGTGTTTCTTAACTTCTAAACTCTTAATTGATGCTTCCCCGGTGGTTCATGTACCCATTAAACTGGGTGGTGGACAGTACTTTGTCTATGGCTATTTTTCGCATTCTCGTGCAGGTGGCTAGAAGCGCGCCACCCAAGAGGCACATTGCGCCTCCACCAAGGGCTAAAAGGGCTGAGAACCACCCGGTTTTGAGGCATACGGTGTCCGGAGTGGTTTTTGTATCTGAAATTTAATATAAATTCAGTATGAGCTAAAGCACATTAAAGTTATGAAAATACCAATAAGCGCAATGACCACACGATATTGCTTTAACGACAAGTCTATGTAATCGACACGAAAAAGTATTAAAGAATATTGACCATATTGACCAGGTCCTAGACACTCAATAGTAATTTTATGGAACTACAAATTTAGTTTCTTCCGCATCGCCAGGTGGCGCAAAAGACATTAAAGTACAGGTTTCTAATTTTTATATGAAGGTGACATGACAGCCTCTATATTTACTACCATCTATGGTCTAGTTTTGGTCTAGTTGTCAAAATGTTGGTGATCCGTCAAGTTATTTTTAAATAATTATTAATTCAGATATTCCTGATTTGCCGGAAAGTTCGGTGATTTGTGTTTATAGTTTATGTTTTTATTCATTTGTGCATTTTGATATTTACAGTCGATCATTATTTTCGTGCTGGATACTAAACATTTTTTATTAAAGACATTTTAGACATCTTAGAAATAATACATTTATGAACAAACTAAAAAAAATGTTTAATCATAAATAAGTAAGTACATAGTTGGTAATATAGTATGTTTAGTAATAGTTAAGTACTAGTCTATACTATATTATAATTTATTTGTTAAATCAAAAAAATAGGCGGTATGTGCTCTATTGTTGGTGTTTAAAATGTATGTTTTCATAATTTTATTTTTAGTTTTGAATGTGTTACACTTTTAATGATCAAATAAAACATAAAATATAGTAAACAAGTCTATATTTATTATTTTATATTTTACAAGAAATAATTTTGCGCTTGAATAACGTTACCGTTTTAGTTAGCGTTAATAAACAACGGAACGCTAAAATTATGTTATGCTAAAACTCTCCATTAGTTTCTTCCGGATCACCAGGTGGCTCTAAATGAAGGACTAATTTGTTTTATATCAGTGTCCAATCTATCTCTAGTAGTGACATTAGTCTATGATATTGACTCAAAACTGACAACTAAAGAGACAGCTTTATTTATTTGTCAAGTTACATAGAAACCAACACCAACCCAGCACAATATTTTTTCTATTCGTAATAAATTCCTTGAAATAATAATTTCTGAATATTTTTTAAAACGTAACTCGCTATGAAAAAAAATATTGTTTTATATACGACGATAAAATTGCATTATCGTCTCCCGAAATTAATTCACTCGCGATTTCATCGCTCGTGAATTAATCTTCTCGGTCGACGATAAAATACCATTTTATCGTCTTGTATAAAAAATAACTATTAATGCAAATATTTATGAAAAAAATATACCTATATAAGTTATATTCGTTTCTTGATCGCTTTCTCCTTCGTGTAGTACCCTCAACGACTGGAAAAGATTGATATTTTCCGATAAGGGAATATTCGAAGCTACTGTGGTAGAACTAGAAGGACCTTCTAGCTCCAAAGACCTCTTCTTCACGTTTTTGACGTTTCTCCAGTGGCATGGTTGACTCTAAAGATTAGAAAGCAAACTTTTATTATTATTCCTTTATCAAAAATAACAAATTAAGATTCCAACATAATAGCTATTTATGTAACAAGTTGCGAAATGAATGTGTTTTATTAAGCACGGGACGATGCGTCGAGTGCTTAAAACACTCTTTTCGCAACGAATTTCATACAAGATTTTTGTGAAAGCGGATAATTTGAGATTTTCATGCTATTATTATTATTCATTTTTAAACATTTTTTAAAATGTTCTGGTAATCGGTAATATTCTGATTTCTAAGGCATTGTTTATGCATTGTTTAATGACAAAGTTCTGTCAGGTTCAAACGTCGCCGTATTTCCTACAAAGTTTTGTGAAAAAATGATTGATAATGACGAATCTTTGGATATTCAACAAGCTGCTGAAACTGCGCTATCCGCGTTATTATAGTGCCCGAGAAGTCGAAAAACTTATACGAGACCATCTACGACAACTTTGAAACATGGGTCAAAGAAAAACATGTTGAGAATTTCACAGAAAAGGTATTGCTAGCCTATTTCCTGAAGTTATCCACTACCTTAAAGCTATCAACTCTGTGGAGTAAATATTCGATGTTCCGCACCATGAACAGAAACGTAGATATTAGTAAATTCACACCTTATTGCATTTTTAAAAAGAAAAGCTTCCGGATATCAGGCAAAGAAATCTAAAGTATTTAAAAACTGGAAATAGAACGCTTTATGAAAGAAGCCGATGACAAAGAATTCCTGTTAGCTAAAGTTGTCTTAATCGTTGGAGTATTTGGAGCATGTAGGAGGGAAGAAATCACGTTTTTGACCGTAGATGCCATTAAAGATTGTCATTCATTTATCAGTGTGAAGAATACAAAAACTCATTTTCCAAGAATGTTTACGATTACTGAGGGACCAATAGATGGTATCAATTTCTTACATGTATTTCGTAAGTACGCAAAACTTTGACCACTCACATGTGACACACAGAGAGAACACTAATAACTAAAGTGAGAGAGACCGATCAACGTTAATTTTCTCAGACTGTGTTAGTGGCGCGGCCTTTGGCGTCTAACCCGAACTATGAGCGCATTATCGATATAGTAGGTTGCATTCATACCTATATACTGGCGCCAAAAATTTAAAATTTGTATATTTGAACCGAATCTTAATCTTTCAAGTTTATAATAAGAAATCTTCGTAGTTTTTTTAGATTATTTTGTTGACAACGAAAATTTATTATTAGACTTTAAAGCATTAAAACCTATAAATAAAATACTGTGTGGGAACATAATAATTTATTTAACTCCATACTCCTTGCGCCATACTCCAACTCAAGGCTGCAATCTTCAGTATCTTTTTTATCTAACTTGGTTGGGAGTGAACAGGGAAGCACGGTTGGGAGCTCGCACAGAGTATCAGTAGGTATCCCGTAGGTATTCAATGTTTTTGATAGTCTTTATTCTCTAAAAAGAACCTAGCAGTTGAAGAAAATAATTTGTATTACTGGAAATAATACCAGGTATAATACCTAGTCGTTTCATAGGTATCAGAAAAGAATGTGATGTTTTAAATTAAAAAAATTAAATTAGCAATGTACGATTATTATGTGCACTCGCTATTACTATTAGGTACCTTAAAATAATTACCGAAATAAAACTTACCTTTAAAGGAAACGTTTTGTCTGGGTCTCAACCACAAAAAAAATTACAAAAATGCCGAATAATCGTGGAATCTGAAATAATCAATAATGACAATAATCTTCTCTTCTGACAAGCTAAAAGAACAGGCACATTCAGTCAAAAAAAAATTTATTACTCCGATTTGCTCCGAATATCAACAGATTTTAGTTATCTCCTTCAAGAGCTAAGAAATAGAAAAAGCTACTGACAATCTAATTAATCCTGTCAAATGTTTAACTTGCAAAGTTGAAAACTTCCTTTTTTGACCGCCTAAACGCTATGCGCGTCTGGGATGCGCGGTGACAGAATAAACTTGTCTACGAAATGCCCTATTCCACAAGTCCTCTCACTTTAGTTATTAGTTTCTCTCTGGTGACACATCAGCGATTTTTCTTGACGTATCGAAAAAATCAATGCTGTACCCTGCCAGTTGGAATCAATACAATTGGGGGTATACCAAAAAAGATAGCGGAATTTCTTGAACTCTCCAACGCCATTGAATACACTGGTCATTGTTTCCGGCGCAGCTCTGTAACAATGCTGGCAGATTCAGGAGCGGACATAACAGTTTTAAAGCGACATTGAAAATTCAATTGAACAAAAAACCGAAATAGCAAAAAGAATCATGGGACAGAAAGACACGCCAAATAAGAAATTAAAAGCAGTTCACGTAGAAGCAGAAGCTACCAGCATTGCCAGTACAAGAAATTTACTTATTCCGACTCCTATAACTTACATTTCTCTTAGAGACGAAAAGTTGGATGCCTCTTATATTAACTTTAATAATTTAAGTAATTGTACCTTCAAGATTTATAATAAATAAATATTTTCATTGTTTCTAACGTTTCATTTTTTACTTTTAGGCACTAGTGCCTAAACACGTGTCACTGTTAGATACTAGTGCCTAAAAGAATGTCATTTCGAATCTCAAATAAATATCAAAAACTGTCAATTTCGAAACGCTTTCACAAAAACTGTATTTTCGTGTTTAAGAAGTGTATTTGTTGCTTACCGGACATCTTCCGTGGCACATTCTAACGTCGCACTCAATGTACAACGCTGGTGATCCTGTAAATCGGAATGTTTTCATGTAGGCGAAAACCTGGGTCTCGTAGACTCCGGCTTCCGACCAGGATCCTCTGAACCTCGATATCAATTTGTCGTCTACTGGACATCTAAGGAATTAAACAAATTATAGTATACTAGACTAGAATCATTTGTAATGATGATGATAAAGCAAAGCAGGAATTTCCATTAACATACAAACTGGATAAAATTTTCTCACATTTATGTCAGCATGAGAAAAAACAATATGGCGATATTATTATATAACTTGGTAATATTTGAGGGGTAGTTTCATCTCATTGGAATTTGACTTTGAAAAAATCCGTTTGCCAAAAATAAGCTTTTTACGTCAAGCAGTTTAAGCAGAATCGTGGTTAATCAATTGCCCAACTTCTTGGAACACCCTGTATGATTTTTTAAAAAATTTCAAAATATGTAAAAAAAACAAAATAAATTATGTGTGTCCAAGCGTTTTCCCGAAAGACTAACCGTTTTTTAAATAACAAATATTGTAATATTTGAGGGGCGTTTTCATCTTCTTGGAATTTGAAATTCGAGAAACCCGATGCTTATCGAACCTCTACACCCCACAGTCAATCCGTCTGCCAAAAATCAGCTTAAAACGTCAAGCAGTTTAAGCAGAATCCTGATTATTCAATGGTCATATTTTATGAAACACCCTGTATAAATTTTTAAAAAATCTTAAAATATGTAAAACAACAAAGTAAAATATACGTGTTTAAGAGTTTTTCCGAAAAACTCACCGGTTTTTAAATAAAAATATTCTAATATTTTTCACCCCCTTAGAATTCGAGTTTCGAAAAATCCCTTCTTATCGAACCTCTAAACCCTAAAGTCAATCCGTTTTCCAAAAATCAACTCTTTATGTCAAGCGCTTTAAGCAGTAAACGTAAATAAAATAAAATATAGGTGTTTAAGCGTTTTTTTCGGAAACTTGACTGTTTTTTAAATAAAAAACATTGTAATATTTGAGGGGTGGTTTCACCCCCTTGGAACTGGAATTTCGAAAAATCCCTTCTTATCGAACCTCTACACCCTAGAATCAACCCGTATGCCAAAATTGAGCTTCTTACGTTGAGTGGTTTGAGCAGGATCGTAATTAATCAGTGGGTCAGTCACTTAAGAAGTTTATATATTAGTATAGATTTTAGTATGATAAGATAAAAAAACGAATATTTTAGTTAAAATACTTTTTAACATTCGGTAATTAATATAAAATATCAAAAAGTGCAGTAGGGAAATGTCTAAAAAATAAACCGTAACTTTGTATAAATAAAAGTTCTCTATTCCCAAATGTGTATTTATGCGGTAAATTTGCGCTTATGAAGTTTTTCCCCTAGACCTTTCATGGTATATCCCCAAGTAGCATTTTCACGACTTGCGACCACATGTTTACTAAACACAACGTTGGATTAGTTACAAAAAATAGTTAGCTCCCTACCTTGGGTATTAAAATAAATTTAAACGTTTTTATAACGTTGTGCCGACGTTGGTCTAGTACTACAGCAAAGTAGAAGCTTCTGCGACGTCGAATAAACATTGTCTTGTAACCTTTTTTGCTTAAGTGATCTTTTGGTGATTCGGACAACGTAGTTACAACGTTGGACAAGTTTTCCGACGTCAGTTTCAGGACCTATTCCAACGTTATGCAAACGTCGTCTGTTTTACTAATTCCAACGTTGTTTAAATTTTCTTATTCTTACGTTGGTAGGACGTCGAGTCACTACCTTTTTGCAACTGTATTGAACCATAACCTTAAATCTTAAATTTTCACTTCATTGTTCTGTTCAGTCAGACAGTTCAGTGCTGTTTTTATTTTTATAAAAAAAACTTAATTAAAATGGGACATAAGAAAGGTACATATAAAACTAAATTTAAATATACATCGACATATATTACCGATAGTTTATCCACTCCCTCGTTTATTTAGATTATAGAGGACGGCACAAGCTAGACTCTAGGATGACTAAATTAGGCAATCTTGCGACTAGTATCTGTTAAGGCCGAACTGCGACTTTATTAGTCCAGTATGCGACTACTCGAACTACTCCATCTTAATCTCCAAAACAACAAAGTGAAAGCCGCCATGTTGTTAAATAAGAAAATGGTTCGTTCCTAAAATAGCAATTCCTGCTTTTTGAATACATTAACTTGAAATATTTGACCCTAGAAAACAATTTTTTCGACTGCGAATAAATTATTCTCATTTTACTAAAAAAAAATTCAAGAAAATTTTTAAAACTTCTTTAATTTTAAGGCCCATTAGTATTTTTCAAAGTAGAAACAATTCATTTATCAATAAAGTTGTATGCGTTTAACTTTTTTGCCTTGGGTAACGAGTTACAAAGTCGGTTAAAGTGTTTCAATAATTATGATCTTCAAACATCCTCCACACTTAAATATTTTTGTTTTGTTTTCCTTCACTGCCATCTGACATATGTCTCTAACTAAATCATAAAAATAATATATTTACTATAATTATCCCAATTTAAGATAAAACGCGACTCAGACGCCATATTAGTTTTGTATTTCTGTGAATTAGGATTTTAAACAACGTTGCAGTTTGTACTAAATTAGGCTTCTAGCCAATGTCGGTATCCAACGTCGTTTCGACCCAAAAATTATTCTCCAAACTAGTGCAGACTAGGGTTGGCACGAGGTTGTGCCGACGTCGCGCCCCGAAGTTTGGTCGCGTGACACAACGTTGTCCCGACGTCCAAATGCTGCTTGGGTCATAGTATTGATTGAATTCATTCAATCAACGATCATAGTTATTGCTTGTTTTTCGTTACTTACCCATATTCATCAATCAGCTGAATCTTTTTCGTAGCTCCATTGTGGGCATAACAGTCGTTCACAACAATGTCGAATCCATCTGAAAATATAAAACGAATAATTATTAGTATTAAACTTACTCATATAGCAATTTCCTTAAGTCCTAAATATGTAAGCCGAATTTTAATAATAATGAGAATAAAAATTAATAAATTAATAATGTTCATAAAAAATAACAACTTCGGAGATTTGCAGATGTGATTATAATCAAGCCATAAAAAATGAATTGGAAAAATAATCCATCGAGATTTTGACGTATCAACGTATCCACTGCCGATCCTTTACATTTGGAATGTAGAAAGGAACCGATTCAATTGCAATTGATTCAATTTGCAATTTTTTTCATCATTAGATATTGATGTAATTTTTGACAAGATGGTTTTGGTGACTATTGTCGTAAGGTCATATTACATTGCATTGGATACTCTATACTAAATAATACAAACAAAACCGTTAATGACTAACGGTACAGTCCGGATTTTAATGAATATTAACAAAAATAATCGAACTAACGATATTAAAAAAACATCTGTAATACTCAAGTATACTAACAGAAAAAAATTGTAAAAAATACCCTAATCCTTTGTATTACCGCCCCTGGCTGCTATAAGTGCCTGCGAAGTTCATTTAATGAAGCTGGTACTGCTTCGCGACCTTTAAACCCTCCTGCCAAGCATTGGTCAAACGTCGAACACGATGGGCTTGTAGTTAGTATATAATTTTATAGAGGAACTTTAAAAAAAATCCAAATAGTTATTTAAAACAATCATTATTAACTTTGAAAAATATGCTCTAAACAAAGATTTATAAAACTATAACGAACTAAAAGTCAACATCTTCGACCATCTTCGACCAAACTTAAATCGATTATTAATTGATAATTGGGTCTAATTGGTTATTGATAATAAACTAGTTGTTTATCCAGTGGCGTCGTAAGTACTTAAAAAAATAATCATAATAATAAAAATATCTTATTTTAATGACACGCCCTGTATCAATATTTAATTCAATTGATTCAATTGACAATAATCACCAAAACCGCCTTGTCACATTGAAAAATAACTTCAAAAAAGAAATGATAATTGAAAAAATTGCAAATTGTTGGTGGCAAGCTTATTTCGCTCTTAAAAATTAACCAAAGCATGTATTGACATTAATCAAAAAACAAAATGCTTAGGAGTCATGGTTCTGACCATAAAATTATATTAAGGAAAATTTACAGACGAAATTGTTGCACAGGGTGTTTTAAAGTTAGGGTAAAAAAACAACCCCTCGATTAACCATGTATAATATGCCAAATACTAAAGTTTATTAAAAACTAAGCTTACGAATAAAAGGTGATATAATTATACAGGGTGTCCCAGGCTGAGCGTGCATTAGAAGTTTCTAGAGAATTATAATATCTAGAACGGAGATTTTTTACACATCATTGTTTTAGAGTGAGATCTATCCGCATACTGAAAACCATATCGAAAATAAAATATTTTCAATATGGCGGCATTTCCGAAAATACCGGAAGTTGGTAGCAACTTTCTTATTTTAAATAGGTACTTCAATTTTTTATTACATAGGTACTTAAAATTTTATGAATTTTAATATCAAACACTCTATACGTAACATTAACCATTTTTGAGAAAAAAAAATATTTTAAATATTTGGAGGAAAAAAACTGCCTGTCAAAAAAAAATTTATAGCCTAAACGTCAAATTTAGTGATTACCACAGCCACTGGGACATAAAGAGGAGACATGTGGCTATATATTTCAAAAATTAAATTGTTTGAATGTCATATAATATTGGCCGTAGCTGTCATGAAATTGAGCGATTAAAAAATTATCATTTTATTTCACTATTGGAAAGTTTTTTCAATTCGTTACTTTTTGATTATACATGTTCCTTTATCTAAAATAAATCGTTCTTAAGTTATTTAAGATTTAATTTGGAAACGTATATTTTTCTTGATTTTATCTAGCTTCCTTTGACATTAAGTGTTAAACAGTCAGACAATTTATTTCCATCTCTCAGAAAACGAATTATTTGAATTTTCTATATTATAAATACTGCTGCCTTAAGAGTTTAAAAAGTGTATTTATAAAAATATATTCTCGTAATTTCGCTCTTTAGTGATATCTAATAGTTGATATTAAGTATTAATAATATACCGTATGATCGAAAAAAACAGCGCAAAGTTGGCTTGGAAATGATGATCGATAATATAAAATTTTTGAACCAAGTGTCACAATATGGCATGGATCTATTGTTTTACATCACTTGACGTTTAAAGTCATAGGCTACTGGTTAAAATCAAGACAAATATTTTTACGGTTTAAAACTAAATCTTAAATAACTTAGAAACTATTTATTTTAGGTATAGGAACATGTATAGTCGAAAAGTAAAGAATTGAAAAGCCTTTTCACTAATGAAATAAAAAAAGTGGGTTTCTATTTGAAAAAAATGATTTATGATAATTTTTTAATCGCTCAATTTCATGACAGCTACGGCCAATATTATATGACATTCAAGCAATTTAATTTTTGAAATATATAGCCACATGTCTCCTCTTTATGTCCCAGTGGCTGTGGTAATCACTAAATTTAACGTTTAGGCTATACACATATTTTTGACAGGCAGTTTTTTTCGTCCAAAAATGTTAAATATTTTTTTTCTCAAAAACGGTTAGTGTTAGGGTATAAAGTGTCTAATATCAAAATTCATAAAATACAGAGAATTCAAGTATGTAATAAAAAATGGGGGCACCCCTTTAAAATAAGGAAGTTGCTGTCGACATCCGGTATTTCCGGAAGTGCTACCATATTAAAAATATTTTTAATCGATAGATCTCGTTGAGAAACAATGATGAGCAAAAAATCTCCGATCTAGATATTGTAGTTCTCTAGAAACTTCTAATGCACGCTCAGTCTGGGACACCCTGTATACAGCTTGCTAAAAAAATCATGAAAATAGGGCTAAAAATAACAAAAATATAACACTTTAAGAATTTAACCAAAAATTTGTCCGTTGCGTTTTTTTGCATGCATGGGTACAATGTAAATGGTAATAAATATAATCAATTGAGCTACAAACAACTCTCATTTTTTCTTCCTTGCTGTTTCTGAAACTCTTCTAATTTATTGAATTTATTAATTAAGAACCGTAGTATCGTTTAGCAGAACCGTAACGTCAATTATTCCACGCTCGTATCCGATTACGGTAAAACGGTTTAGAGTTACCGTCGTTTAATAGTCGAAATAATTACCGAGACAGTTTCGATCCGCGCCATCTTACGCTAATTTCGTACCACCGTCGCCATAACTTTATCGGTACTATACAGAGAGAGGAAGAGTGAGAGAGAGCCCGACCAGGCTGCTCTATGAATTTTATCGCTAATGGTCGAAGTTTTAAAACCTTTAAAAATTAATTTGCCCGTACCTCACATTCTTCCGCGTCATTATTCTCCAAGACAGTAGAAGCTCTTAAGAATTGGCATACGTAAGAAGCATCCACGTAATAAATTCTGTTAGAAAATAATTGCAAATTTTCTAACTATTTTTTTTGCGTTTTTTGTATTTCTTTTTTTTAGTTATACGTTTGTTTTTACTTTCTTCTTTTTAGTTTTTTCTTTTTTTTTTGTTTTTATTGATGATTGTTCTATTTATTTTATTTTATTGTTATTTAAAACAAAATTATAAACAATAAGAAACAAAAGTGAATAAAAGAAAAACGAAACAAAGAAAAATTAAAGATAATAAAAAGTAAAATTAAATAAATAAACAATAAAAAATAAAATAATCAAAAAGAAATAAGTAGAACAATCATGAATAAAAAAAATAAAAATTATCTTTGCAGTTTGTGAAATCAGAGGTCCCAATCCAAACGCTGATATAGTGATGAGCAACTGCAAGACCAGGCGAGTCTGAGTCTTGGTCTTGCAAGAAATAGGTAGGTAGTCTTAGATGTTTATTATTAATTTTGATTAACGTCATATTTTTTCTGTTGTTAAAGTATCAGGTTTTCCGATAATAATTATCACCCTTTCCATAGCATCGAACTAAATAAATGTTGTGCTTCTTTAACAATTTACAACAGCAAGAAATATTATGTTAATTATAATTCTATCAGTAAGTATCTATGAAAGAAGGAAAACGGAATTATATTACCATAGAAAGGCGTTTTGATTTTTAGGACGTGAGGAATCTCCCCAGGAGCGATGGCACATGTTTTTTGAAACACCCTATATAAACTTTAGAATACCGTTTTTTATATAACACAAAAATTAAATGACATTCCATATTTGGTTATTTTTCTTTAATTGATTATAGATAAAATTTATAACAAAGTTGTTGATTAGGTACTTACAGAGACACATGATTTATTTATTGTTCTTACTTTTTGTTAGAAAAGCAAAAAATATATTATTTATTCCAATAAATTAACAATAATTAACATTACAAGAACTTACCCAACTATTACGGTTACTTTATGCACACTCTCATGCAGATTTTATTTGAACTGCTTAACAAATTGGCGTTGTTAACAATTCAAGAACGAGAAGACCGCCGTAATGTCTTTTAACTATTTGTTCGCTAACTATTTGTGTAGCTACGTGCATTAGAGCGATTCAACTTATTTTTATTTTAATCGGAAAGGCTTTATTTTAAAGTCGTGGTAAATGGGGATTCTTTTGCGGAAAAAGAAGGAGTAGAACTGTTAAGCCGTTAGTTTTTACGATGATGCTGTCGATCTGGTGTCCGTAAAAAGTGTGTATAAAATATAGTTTAAGTTCTCACGCGAATATACTGGGTATTAAATTAGTTTAAAGCGTTATGGAATTTTGAATCACCACATTTTGTCACTTCCTGTTCCACCGGAAATGACTACAACTTTTGATTTTTAAATGACATCCTCGGTATTTTTTTACTTCATTCGATAGAAAATTACACTCTAAATACACACATCGGAAAAATCTAGGGATATCATTTTATTAAAGTTAAAAATAAATGTTTTGAATAAACAACCACATATTTGTAGGCCGATTCTTTCTACTTTGATTGAAACGAAGTAGTCACACTAGTTATTTCTAAATTTGGGATATTTGCAGAAGTGTTTGTGCATATTTTGTCAAATGTATAAAAAGCACCTAGCATCAATTGTTCGAATTTAACCTGTACTGGCTATGTTTTTATGATAACTGGCCAGAATTCATTCAAATAACTCTGTTTAGTATTAAACGACATTATGGAGCGTAGACATCTTAACAGAGACGAAATGCTAAGGGCCATGGGTATGCTCGAAGCTGGAATGCGCCAAATCGACGTAGCTAGAGCATCAAATACAACGCAAAGTGTAATATCGCGATTAAGTGCACGCTACCGTGAAAGTGGTGATGTTGCTGAAAGGCACACAGGGCGACATCGCATTACTACCCCTCAGCAAGATCATTTTTTACAATTAAATGCTCGACGCTAACCGACTCTTACAGCACCAGAGCTTAGTTTAATTCTCCAGGAAACACATAATAATGTAACCGTTAGTCCTGACACTGTTCGCAATAGATTAAGAGAGGTCAACTTAAGAAACAGACGCCCCTGGAGAGCTTAACCCTTAACGAGAGGAAATCGAGAAGTACGATATTTGTGGGCTCAAGATCATGTTCAGTGGTCGAATGAACAATGGGCCAATGTTCTCTTCACGGATGAGTCACGCTTTGGAATTCACCCGGATTCGAGAAGGCTTAGGGTATGGAGAGAACCGGGAAATCTTATTCGGTTGGCTCATGTTCAGGAAGTGCACCCTTATCAAGGTGGAACAGTTATGGTCGGGGGAGGAGTCCAGTTAGGCCGAAAAACCGATCTCGTTTTTCTTGATAGGTTTCTAACAGGAATCACATATCGTGATTTAATTCTTGAGCCTGTCGTGTTACCATATGCCAATGATTTTGGGAGAAACTTCATTCTCATGCATGACAATGCACGGCCTCATACAGCTAGAGTGGTAAGTGAGTTTATCAATGCTTATCAATTAAACATTTTACCCTGGCCGGCACAATCTCCTGACCTCAACCCCATCGAGCACGTATGGGACGCGGTCCAAAGAAGAATTTTGAGAATGGGTATGCCTCGTGAAACTCGTAAGGATCTGGTTCGGGCCGTGAATGCAGCGTGGCAGGCTGTACCTCAAGAAGAGATCGACAACCTGATCAGAAGGATGGAGAGACGATGTAGGGCTGTAATGAACAGTAGAAGAGGCCATACCCTTTATTAAGTAAAAATGGTTTTATCTTTTTTTTTAATTCACAGTTTAGAATAAAAAAAAATGTGTGTATTTTTTTGAGTTCAATTAAACTCAAGGTAAATTTGAGAAATTCGGTAAATTTCGCATTTTTATTTCCAATACGTCCTGTAAACTATTTGTTTATTTTAATTTTATTATATCAGAATTGCAAATAATAAAATTACTGACGATGGCTGGATAAAATTGTAATATCCTAGACTTTTCCGGTGTGTGTAGAATAAATGATATATCATATATGTCAACTTTTAACATTTGAAATTGCAAGATGTGGTTCATGACAACAAGTTGACTCGAAATGCTGTGTGTTCGTGAAATACCAAATTATTCGTAAAAAATACTTTTTCCAAATGTGCTAATGGGCCACCCTTGCTTCATTTGAAAAAATTGAGATATGATTAAAATACGATTTGGGCATCTTTTAATCGCCCAGGACAAGTTTTTATACTTTTAGAATTATTCGTAAAACTAAAAAAATCTTAGTCTATTGAAAGACATAGTAAAAGAAAGTAGAATAACTGTAATTAACCTTACTTCATGTCGCTATTTTTTTTAATATCCATAAACCTCATTTAATAATGTAGTGCGTTAATTTACTGACGGACGTTTTGTTAATAAACCTTTTTAATAAGTATGTGGCAATAGTCCAAAAAAATAGACCTTTAAATAGGAAGTCTTGGTATAAACTTGAATTTTTGATTTAAATTACTTTGAAAGATCTAAAAAAAGGTGAAATAAATAAAAATATTTTCTCGAAACTTCGGAGAAACTGTAAGAACTAGAAGAAAAATGTTCAAATAAAAGTTGTGGACCGTCAAATTTTACATAGAAATGATCTCTATACTTTTTTTGTTCAGATCAAAATTAACCGAGATAGGATGGCTGGAAGCTAGGGGAAAATTATAAGTTGCTGAAAAATTCATATATTTATAATAATAATAATAGCTCCCGTATATAGCGTTTGACGCCTTGGGAGTAGCAAGGTACAGTTTGCTATACTAGAGCCGTTCAGTATACAAGGAAGATAATGTGGCTATCACTGCGCTTCAACCGCCTATTATTACCTCAGGATTGTGAATCCCAAGTACTCATTTAAGGCTGAGTCGACCTAGGTACCCAAACTATTTTTATTTTAATAAAAATAGTCGGCTGATGAAATGCCGGGTGTGGGATTCATATATGTGTAAATTCATATTATTTAACATTTTTATTCAATTTGTTTGGAAAATTATAAATTTCAATTAAGACTTTTTTTAAATTCACCCCGAGAAGGTGAAAAATATAAATAAAGTGATTTTTCCAAATTTCAAAATATTTTATAGGGTGTTCCAAACTTTCACCAAAGTTACAACATTTTGTGTTCCCTCGTATAATTGACAGATGGAAACTCTCATTTTTAATTTAGAAACAGATACTAAAAAGTCAAATAATTTAGCTACAAATTGCTCAAAAGATCATCAAAATCGGTCCACTAGAACACAATATACAGGGTTGTTCACCACATACGACACGGAGTATTGTAGCTAAACGATTAGATTTTTGCATATTATAAGTTTCGGGGTTCGTTGAAGGACTATTAGAGCCACAATTTAAAAATATTTTTACAAGATACATAGTGTCCCAAATAAATAAAATATATCAAACTTGCATTTTTTTAAATGGAACACCCTGTATATTATTACATTTTTAGTTTCTACGATTAAAATAAAGGTTAATTTGATAAAGGTTTATTACACTTAAACCTTACCGTTTTTGAAATATTTTCAATTTTGTGAAATTGTAGTCAAAATTTTAAGGCTTCAATTCTCCAAGGATATCAAAGTTTTTAATAGTAAATATTTACTGAAGTTTATTTATTGATCAGTTATTGTGTTGCAATAATAAAAATTATACTACCTTATACAGAGTGTCTAAAATTTTATTTTAAATAATTACTAGCTTTAAACGGCAGTAACTTGTTTAATTTAAATGGAACACCCTGTATATTTTATGAGAATCAGATGCACAATTTAATTATCTATCAAATTGTATTATACCATTTTTTACCTATAGCTCCAAGTTTCCGTAGAAAATGCATTTTTTTGTAATTTTAAATTCATTTATCAATATATCCATGGAAGACTGACATTTTAGATTATTTTTAAAGATGTACCAAATTTTTAAAGAGTACAGATACTAATATTCTCGATATACTTTGTTTATTTCATTAAAAAATAAAAAAACTGTTTAAATATTTGTTAAAAAGGACCAATTAAAATGATTCCAGTATTCAAACTACATTAATTGACTGTTTGCGTTGATTAATAATAATTGCTCCAAAAACTAAAAAACTGAATTTTTTATGTGTATTAGACAGTGTGGTAAAAAGTAACACCTTAAAAATGATATTTCATTTTTTGACAAATGCTTATTTGTAACAACAAAGACATTCATTTTTATAACTTATTATTATATTGATTTCTAATTCAAATCCACATTTATTTTGAATAATTTATTCACGAACATAATTAAGTATGTAATTAATTAGTATTTGGGTGGAAATAATGGTGGTATAATTAATTAATGGTTACTCTTTTATGAAGATTTAAATAGTTTTCTTTTTGCATACAAATGGGCTAGCAATATTATCATTTTGTTAAAAACAATAATATTACTAGCCTGTACATTTTGTACATTTGTTGCTTTAAAAACAATCTAAAATGTCAATATTCCATGGGTATATTGATAAATGAGATCTAAATTATAAGAAAATGCATTTTCTACGAAAACTTGAAATGATAGGTAAAAAGTGGTATAATACAATTTAATAGACAATTAAATTATGCATCTGATTCTCCTAAAATATACAGGGCGTTCTATTTAAATTAAACAAGTTATTGCCGTTTAAAGCTAGTAATTATTTAAAATAAAATTTTAGACACTCTGTATAAGGTAGTATAATTTTTATTATTGCAACACAATAACTGATCAATAAATAAACTTCAGTAAATATTTACTATTAAAAACTTTGATATCCTTGGAGAATTGAAGCCTTAAAATTTTGACTACAATTTCACAAAATTGAAAATATTTCAAAAACGGTAAGGTTTAAGTGTGATAAACCTTAATAAAATTTACCTTTATTTCAATCGTAGAATCTAAAAATGTAATAATATATAGGGTGTTGAATTTAAAAAAATACAACTATAGCATTTTTTACTTATTTGGGACACTCTGTATCTTGTAAAATGATTTCTAAATTGTAGCTCTAATAGTCCTTCAATGAACCCAAAACTTAAAATTTGTAAAAATCTAATCGTTTAGCTATAATACTCCGTGTCGTATGTGGTGAACAACCCTGTAAAAAACTTTAAAATACATCAAAGTTTTAAAGTGCTTGTTCTCGTGTCGATGAGGGTATATTAAATCAAGTATAACAAGTATCTTACCATATTTGCTCCTCATGTAGATAATAAGGGTTAAGGGATCCCCCACTCTTACTGGTCCAGTCACTCTGTTGCCCGCTGTTCCATATCCGTACCTAATCTCCATATAACATTCCGGAGGGGTTAGTGTAAACACCACTGGATTTCCTGTGGCCACCCTAAACACAATAAAACAATTAATTACATATACTCAGGTATCTAGATGTGCTTAAACTAAGAGAAAAATATTTAAAATACGATATACTTAAAACTGATACCAAATTTTGTTATGTGTTGAAAAGAAGAATGAAAATGAAAAGAAATAAGGAAATGATGTCAATTTTTGACATTTCCAAAAGTGCTGCAATATTGAATAAAAATATATGAGAGAGATCTTGTAAGTAGAGAAATTGGGAAATACTGAGATCCAAGAATTTTCCAAAAATTTCTAAAAAGTTCTAATGCAAGATCAGTGAAAAGTTATACTTACTCCACGTCTAAAAAAGGAAACGTCACAGTTTTCCAGAAATCGTAACCATATTCACAGGTGACCTTGAAATGCTCATCATATTCTTCTTCGATGAGCGGATTGTATTGAACGGTGACTGTATTCCACATGAAATTTTTCTGTAAAAAATATTTTATTTAACCATACAAAATATTATTTATTATTTATTTCATTTAAAAATATAATTTGCAAGGTCTTTAAGACTTTCCAAGTTCCAAAACTAAAAGGCGTTTCTATGGTAATATAATTTCGATTTCATTCTTTGATAGATCGTTATAATTAATTTTGATTAACGTCATATTTTTTTATGTTAAAGTATCACATTTTCCGATTGAACTAAATAAATTTTGTGCTTCTTTGACATTTTAAAACAACAAAAAATATGACGTTGATTAAAATTCTGTCAATAATAATCTATCAAAGAATGAGAAAGAAATTATATCACGATTGAAACGCGTTCTGATTTTTAGAACTTGGAAAGCAAACATTTTTATAAATAATGCATTTTACTCGAAACGTCAATAATAAAAAAGTTTTTTCTCTTGTAAAGACAATCCGGGGACATACTGTATAATGATATTCAAGGAGTTTACATAAATATAATATATCTGACAGTCAAGCTTCTTTAAAAAATATAGTAGCACACCAGAGCTAAATATTTTGAAAAAAAAACAGCATTGTATAAAGAGTATCCGCAAAAGATTTAAACATATCGAAGTAACTAAAGTGTGTTTGAGTAAACTCGGGGTAGCTCTCTCAATATATGCTCAGACATTCAGGCAGCAGTTAACGTGCCCATGAGCCCAAAGGTACCGTTGAGACTAATCTGGAAATGTCTGAATGAACTTGGAACTTGGCAGAGAAAAAAAACAGAATTAAATTATTTTAAGTGCGATATCCAAAGCAACAAAAAAAACAACAAACTGACTAGGCTAGGGTCATCAGAATGCCATCTTGGTCTAGAGCCAGTACTGGGAACATCCAAGTGTATAACCCGTCTTACAGAGAAAATAAAGTTCTCCTACTCTGGGTGCCAGCTCACCAAGGTAGGGTTTCCGGAACCGGAGCTATTTTTCGGAACCGGGAATTTCGGTACCGCGCCTCTTAGGAACCGGGATTTCCCGGTTTTTTCGGTACTGACTAATTTTTGTTCAATGGTGGTGCAGTTCATTAATCAGAAAGCAAGGGATAGTTTATTCACAGTAAAATGGATAAAAAATTGAGATTTTTAATGAAAATAACATCAAATTATTGTAAGTAATCAGTCATGAAAAATTAACATAAACACAAACATGAACACAAGTAAAGAAAAAAAAGTATAGGTAACTTAAATTTCACATCAAACAACATAAACCAACTTAACTGAATTTGAGACAAAAGCCCTAAAATTTTGAATTAAAAATGCAAATATCTATTAACACATAACATAGCATCATTGCTTATTTAGAAGAGTTTGATTTCGATCGCTAGAAAGTATCAAAGGACTTTTTCACGTAACAAAAAAATAATTTTTTAATTATTGTTACCGAGGCCCGGTTCTGTGATGGCCAAAAAAATCTGAACCCTAATTGGTAGTATTAATTAGAGTTTCCGGAACCGTACTAAAATATTTACGTTCAACGATTATGAAATTTATCAATTAACAAGCAAGGGATGGTTTTCAAAAGTAAAACCGATAAAAAATTGAGTTTAAAATGGAAATAATATCAAATTATTAAGTCATGAGAAAGTAAATATAAACACAAATAATGAACACAAGCGAAAAAAAAAAGAAAACACATAGGTAGCTTAAAACCATCTTAACTACACACATCGGAACAGTCTAGGGATATTACAATTTTATCCAGCCATCGTCAGTAATTTTATTATTTGCATTTCTGATATAATAAAATTAAAATAAACAAATAGTTTACAGGACGTATTGGAAATAAAAATGCGAAATTTACCGAATTTTTCAATTTTTATTTAACAAATTTACCTTGATTTTTATTGAACTCAAAAAAATACACACATTTTTTTTATTCTAAACTGTGAATTAAAAAAAAAAGATAAAAATCAATTTTACATCATTTTATTAAAATCAATTTATTTTATTTTTAATAAAGGGTATAGATTGGCTAGAGATCGCGAAGCATGGAAAAACCTAGAAGAGGCCTATATCCAACACTGGATGGAACCAGGCTAAGAAAGAAAGAAGAAAGGGTATAGCCTCCTCTACTGTTCATTACAGCCCTACATCGTCTCTCCATGCTCCTGATCAGGTTGTCGATCTCTTCTTGAGATACAGCCTGCCACGCTGCATTCATGGCCCGAACCAGATCCCTACGAGTTTCACGAGGCATACCCATTCTCAAAATTCTTCTTTGGACCGCGTCCCATACGTGCTCGATGGGGTTGAGGTCAGGAGATTGTGCCGGCCAGGGTAAGATGTTTAATTGATGAGCATTGATAAACTCACTTCCCGCTCTGGCCGTATGAGGCCGTGCATTGTCATGCATGAGAATGAAGTTTCTCCCAAAATCATTGGCATGTGGTAACACGACAGGCTCAAGAATTAAAGCACGATATGTGATTCCTGTTAGAAACCTTTCAAGAAAAACGAGATCGGTTTTTCGGCCTAACTGGACTCCTCCCCAGACCATAACTGTTCCATCTTGATAAGGGTGCACTTCCTGAACATGATCCAACCGAATAAAATGTCCCGGTTCTCTCCATACCCTAAGCCTTCTCGAATCCGGATGAATTCCAAAGCGTGACTCATCCGTGAAGAGAACATTGGCCCATTGTTCATTCGACCACTGAACATGATCTTGAGCCCACAAATATCGTACTTCTCGATTTCCTCTCGTTAAGGGTTGAGCTCTCCAGGGGCGTCTGCTTCTTAAGTTGACCTCTCTTATCTATTGTGAACAGTGTCAGGACTAACGGTTACATTATGTGTTTCCTGGAGAATTAAACTAAGCTCTGGTGCTGTAAGAGTCGGTCGGCGTCGATCATTTAATTGTAAAAAATGATCTTCCTGAGGGGTAGTAATGCGATGTCGCCCTGTGTGCCTTTCTGCAACATCACCACTTTCACGGTAGCGTGCACTTAATCGCGATATTACACCTTGCCTTGTATTTAATGCTCTAGCTACGTTGATTTGGCGCATTCCAGCTTCGAGCATACCCATGGCCCTTAGCATTTCGTCTCTGTTAAGATGTCGACGCTCCATAATGTCGTTTAATACTAAACAGAGTTATTTGAATAAATTCTGGCCAGTTATCATAAAAACATAGCCAGTACAGGTTAAATTGGAACAATTGATGCTAGGTGCTTTTTATACATTTGACAAAAAATGCATAAACACTTGTGCAAATATCCCAAATTTAGAAATAACTAGTATGGCTACTTCGTTTCGATCGAAACATTATAGAAACTTCAAAATAACTTCAGAAGTAAAAACAGTAAGAAATAGCATCATTACTTATTTAGAAGAGTTTAATTTCGACTGCTAGAAAGTATCAAAAGTCTTTCGCACGTAACACAAAATATGTTTTTACTTATATTTCCGAAAGTACCGAAAGAACTGGGAATTCCGGGTAATTTCGGTACCGGGAATACCCGGTTCTGAACCCTAGCCTAAAACAACACAATTTTATATCTACTTAATTTTTTTTCCAACGATTAAAATAATGTAAGTAGAGAAGTTAAAAATTACCATTTAATGCCAACAGTCGGTATGTAAGTATTTATGTTTTTCACGCCCCAGAGCAAAATGATTTCCTTCAAGCGTTTTATTCGTACATAGTTATTACGCGAAAATGTTTTATTGAATTAAATCGAGTTCATTTCATTCTGACTTTCTAATGAGCTCAGTTATTTAACGTCACGAAGAGATCCAGCTGGGTCATTATTATACACATCATATAGATTTATAGTCGTTATTTTATGCCATTTGATTAAATACGCGTTTCTAAAAAAATGGACGTTTTATTACAATACCGTTTGGTCGAATTACATCGATGTTATAGTAGAAGTAGAAATGGTACTATAAAGTTGACAGTTATGGTTAATTGTGAGTTATTTGAAGTCTTATAGTTATTTTTTATACAAGACGATAAAATGGTATTTTATCGTCCACCGAAAACATTAATTCACGAGCGATGAAATCGCCAGTGAATTAATTTCGGGAGACGATAATGCAATTTTATCGTCGTGTATAAAACAATATTTTTTAAAAAGTTACGTTTTAAAAAATATTCAGAAATTATTATTTCAAGGAATTTATTAGGAGTCGAAAAAATATTGTGCTGTGTTGGCATTGGTTTCTATGTAATTTGACAAATAAATAAAGTTGTCTCTTTAGTTGTCAGTTTTGAGTCAATATTTTTTAATTATCTTTCGTGTCGATTGCTGATTGAATTGGAGCCAGAAATGGCTCAAAACGAAATAAGTAAATTACCAACAGATATTCAGGTTGAGGCGACAAACGCCATATCCAAACTACTTCGATTTAAATCCCGAATAACTTATGAAAAGGAATACAATTTTTTTCAAAAATGGAAGCAATTATAAAACTTGCGAGAAGAAATAATGTTTTTAACCTATCCTCGGCTGTTCAAGTATCATTTAATCTACCATTGCGGTTAAAGTACTATTTTATCTACTATTTTCGATAGATATAAGGCAATTTTAACAGTTGCTATGGAAAAAAAGTAAATGTTAAAACTACCTTTAATACAGTGCGTCTTCAAGTTAATAATGTCAAGACTTCAATATTCAGTATGTCCCCGGATTGTTTTTACAAGAGAAAAAACTTTTTTATTATTGACATTTCGAGAAAAATGCATTCTTTATAAAAATTTTTGCTTGTTCTAAAATGGCTAATCCCGTTTAGACTTATGCAAATTTCCATACCGTTTTAAAGAAAAGTCCTAAAAATCAAAAGGACGTTTTTATGGTAATATAAATTCATTTTCATTCTTTGATAGATTGTTATTGATAGAATTTTAATTAACGTCATTACTGACCATAGATAAAGGAAATAAATTTAGATTAGAATGCCCGTCAAAATTTTGGGTCGCGAAATTGTTTTGGGTCGCGACCGTTGTACGCGGTCTGGCGCTGCTATAGCGGTTGATAAGAACAACCGCAAACAAAGACAGAAATAATTTTCTCTTGTCAAAGTCAGAATCTTCAAAAATTATAAAATCTTTCAAAATCTAAACCGCTTAAAAGAAAATAATAATAAGTTTGAATAAATATATTTGGCGATATAATTCCGGAAAAAGCCGAACCGCTCCGAAATTTTCAAAAGCTTTGGGTCGCGACCGTAGCAAGAATAGGGCCAAATAGTGTTTACATTGTCCTTATGGGAACTTTCCAATCTAAACTTGTTTCATTTATCTATGTTACTGACTGAGTCAATACTAGACTTTTAACCAGTGTGTGAGATGATTAAAATTTTCAAATTCAAAATTGTTCAAGATTAAACATCAACAAACAAGTCGTTTACCGCTCTCTCCAGTAAGTATGATTTATATATATTTTGAAGGCAGATGATTGTACATTTTTTGGCATTGTATAGCATTGAGCCTTTAACTAGTTCTGAGCTCGGGGTTGGCAGATAAAGATCGTGTTCCGCATTCCTAAATGGATAGTTGTGATATGGCCTTTCGGGAATGGCAGATATGTCCTTGCGGATTAAGCCAACGGATTCAAAAATGAATAAAGAAGGAAGAGTCAGTATTTTGAAATTTTTAAAGAAATTCTGGCAGTGAGTCCTACTGTTCAGTCCCAATAAATATCGAACTGCTCTCTTTTGAAGTTTGAAAATACGATCACATTTTGTTGCGCAGCCTAACATAACCTCAGAATGGAAGGGCGTAACGAAGATGTGACTCAAAAAGGGCATAATAGGCTATTCTAGAGGTTGATAAGTTAAGTTCCTTAGAAACTTATCTTAGCGCAAAACAAGCAGCGCTTAGTTTCTTTGATAAAGCTTCGATGTGCAAGTCCCATTTTAACGAGTTGTCTAAAACAAGTTTTAAGAATATCACACACCCCACGACGTCAATACTGGTGTTAATAAGTACAAAAGGTTGTATAGTACTTTTATATGACAAAACCTTAGTTTTTAATAGGTTGAGGCATAGGAGATTAGAATCGCACCAAGATTTAATGGTGCTTAAGTCACTGGACATTGTATTATATAGTGCCGTAACACCTAGGCCGCTCCAAATGGAACTAGTGTTGTCCGCAAAGAGGCAGATTTTACCACTAATGTTTAGATTTGCAATGTCGTTGATAAACACCAAAAACAAAATAGGGCTAAGTACTGAACCCTGAGGGACACCACATCCTATAGACTTACAAGAAGACATAGACGTATCAATCCCCACAAGCTGCCTTCTGTTGCCAAGATAAATATAATATAATATAGCAGGGTTCGGAAAACTACCTGTTACTTTTAAAAACTACATAAACTACATTACATGTAGTTAATGTAGTTTATGTAGAGGGTGTGGTTTATGTAACCTATGTATGTAACTTTCAAATGTCAAAGATTTGAGATGAGGTTATAATAAGTTGAAGCTTTAGCTAAAACTTATAATAAGTTGAAACTTTAGCTAAAACACAATGTATTTAAGAAAACAGAAGAAATATGGCTTTAAATATAATATTCACACATCATACTTATTTACACCCCTCATACAAAGCAAAATTATTCATAATATCAATTTAATTTTATTAACGTAGTTTTCATGTAGTTAATGAACGAGAAAAGACGTAGTTTTTGAAGAAAAACTACACGTAGTTAATCAGGTAAATTACGTCTCAGTTAACTACTTCCGAACCCTGAATTCCATAGTATTACAATTATTTGGTAATTAAGATATGATTTACACAGTCGAAAGCCTTAAAGAAATCACAGAAAATTGTAGCTGTAGAGTGATGGTTATTCAGGCTAGAGTATACATTCTTAAAAAGGTCAAACATAGCATCATTTGAGCAACTGTTACTTAGAAATCCAAATTGATGGGTAGTAAGTACTTTATATTTAAGGAGAAAATATAGAATTTTTTTAACCAATCTTATCTTAGTTTTTTTAACCTTTTTTTAACCAATCTTTCAATGATATTAGATAATGTGGGCAGGAGTGCAATTGGGCGATAGTTCGAAGCTTGATCTTTATCTCCTCCTTTATGCAGAGGATTTGATTGCTGTCTCAAGGCAGTTTGGAAAAAATCCTTTTTGGAATGACTCGTTAATTAAAGTAGTAAGATGGATTAATCTACAGGGTGGTCGAAATTGGTCTGTTTTAACAGAGAAAACCTATTTCCTGACTAGATAGAGCAAAACCGACATAGATGTCATGGGCTCGATTTCTGAGACACGTTTAATGGCGTAAACCGTCTGTTGATATTTTCACTGTCGACTGAGATACGTTTTTTTTTTGAATTTTTTACCATTTGGAAAATTGCCCATAACTTATGTATTTTGCGGAATAATAAAATTCTGTAAAAACGTTCTTAAGGCACTTTTTTAAGCGCAATCCAGTGGCGTAGTCAAATTTTTACTATACTGGCTCTTTTTGTCAGAAATAATAAAAAAATATAATTTTTTAAATGGAAATCATAGTTGGCTATGCACTTAAAAAGGCCTAATAAATCGTTGTAACTTTGTGCGTGCAAAAGATTTATTAGTTTTTTGTGTATTCAACAAGGAGGTGCTCAGTTTGAACATCTTTGATTTTTTTTAGAAAACTATATTCGTCTCTAAAAAAATACGTTTTTTTAATTTTGTTCTTTGTTTAGTATATCGATTTTAGTTGTTATTACTAATACTAATAATTACTATTACTAACGCCACTGGATGGTGCTTAATAAAGTGCCTTAAGAACGTTTTTATAGAATTTTATTATTCCGCGAAATAAAAAAGTTATGGGCAGTTTTCAAAATGGTAAAAAATTGAAAAAGACCCCGTTTCTCAGTTGACAGTGAAAATATCAACAAGCGGTTTACGCCAATAAACGTGTCTCAGAAATCGAACCCATGACATCTATGTCGGTTTTCCTCTATCTAGTCAGGAAATAGGTTTTCTCTGTTAAAACAGACCAATTTCGACCACCCTGTACATTCCGGAAGTTCAGAGCACATTATTAACTTTATATCGGTGGGACAGCCTGGCAAATGTGTGGTTCTCTGTATTAGACAATGATAGACCATTGACAGATAGCTATATTGAAGGTTCAGTCTCCAAGTTGCTGCACTTTTTGAACAGGATATGAGAATGGTAACTTAAGAATCAGAAGAGGATCACACTAGATCTGAAAAGGTCGTAGTGGACCGATAGCCACCTCGTGAATCAGTGCCAAAAAAATGGGAGTTGTTAACTTTTTTTAACGGAAAGTATGAGTTTTGGTAAACAATAGAAAAAAATCAATTACCAAAAGTCAAAAATCAAACTGTACAAACTCAACTTACTGTCGGAGACTTCCTATTATCTTCGTTATGTGTGTTTTTGCCCAACGTACCGCATCTGTTCAACTGGATGTAGAATTCGTAATAGTCTCTGCCGGTACCATTGATATACATGCAGTCCGGGTCGTACGCGTAGCCTGCAAAAAGAAAATGTTTTCAGTAATCATAATTCGCTTACCGCCTTCCCACTGTCATAACTGGGATGCATTTTCTAGGTCGTTTTACTGTAAAACACTTTTTTTTGAAAGAAATATGTGTTCTCTGTTTATTTTTCCTATTTAAAACGCTAATCCTTTAATCGGAGATGCATCAAGTCTCGAGAAAATGATTTTTAAGACGATTATGTGAGAAGATCTAGTAATTCTAATGACTATTAATATTTTCATAATTATTACAAAAGGCATTAAATTATTGTTTTGTAAAATAATTTGTATAAATATTATGATTAAATGTAAAAAAATAAAAATAAAAAAAAATAACAGCAACTAGGTACTGTACATATAATAGCGTCTTCTTCAAAATTCGGTCTACCATTTAAAGGTAGAGAAAACTTTACTGAAAAATATTTATTGCTTTCTTAATTTATACAGGGGTACCAAAAATTTTCTTGATAGAATAATAAATTTATATTTAATATACACACACCGGAAAAATCTAGCGATATCATTATGTTAAAGTTAAAAATAAATGTTTTGAATAAACAACCACATATTTGTAGGCCGAGATTCTTTCTACTTCGATTGAAACGAAGTAGTGACATTACTTATTTCTAAATTTGGGATATTTGCAGAAGTGTTTGTGCATTTTTTGTCAACTGTATAAAAAGCACCTAGCATCAATTGTTCGAATTTAACCTGTACTGGCTATGTTTTTATGATAACTGGCCAGAATTCATTCAAATAACTCTGTTTAGTATTAAACGACATTATGGAGCGTAGACATCTTAACAGAGACGAACTGCTAAGGGCCATGGGTGTGCTCGAAGCTGAAATGCGCCAAATCAACGTAGCTAGAACATTAAATACAACACAAAGTGTAATATCGCGATTAAGTGCACGCTACCGTGAAAGTGGTGATGTTGCTGAAAGACACACAGGGCGACATCGCATTACTACCCCTCAGCAAGATTATTTTTTACAATTAAATGCTCGACATCGACCGACTCTTACAGCACCAGAGCTTAGTTTAATTCTCCAGGAAACACATAATGTAACCGTTAGTCCTGACACTGTTCGCAATAGATTAAGAGAGGTCAACTTAAGAAGCAGACGCCCCTGGAGAGCTCAACCCTTAACGAGAGGAAATCGAGAGGTACGATATTTGTGGGCTCAAGATCATGTTCAGTGGTCGAATGAACAACAGGCCAATGTTCTCTTCATGGATGAGTCACGCTTTGGAATTCATCCGGATTCGAGAAGGCTTAGGGTATGGAGAGAACCGGAAAATCTTATTCGGTTGGATCATGTTCAGGAAGTGCACCCTTATCAAGGTGGAACAGTTATGGTCTGGGGAGGAGTCCAGTTAGGCCGAAAACCGATCTCGTTCGAAAGGTTTCTAACAGGAATCACATATCGTGATTTAATTCTTGAGCCTGTCGTGTTACCATATGCCAATGATTTTGGGAGAAACTTCATTCTCATGCATGACAATGCACGGCCTCATACAGCCGGAGTTGTAAGTGAGTTTATCAATGCTCATCAATTAAACATCTTACCCTGGCCGGCACAATCTCCTGACCTCAACCCCATCGAGCTCGTATGGGACGCGGTCCAAAGAAGAATTCTGAGAATGGACATGCCTCGTGAAACTCGTAGGGATCTGGTTCGGGCCGTGAATGTAGCGTGGAAGGCTGTACCTCAAGAAAAGATCGACAACCTGATCAGGATCATGGAGAGACGATGTAGGGCTGTAATGAACAGTAGAGGAGGCCATACCCTTTATTAAGTAAAAATGGTTTTATATTTTTTTTTTAATTCACAGTTTAGAATTTAAAAAAATGTGTGTATTTTTTTGAGTTCAATAAAAATCAAGATAAATTTGAAAAATTCGGTAAATTTCGCATTTTTATTTCCAAATGTTTATTTTAATTTTATTATATCAGAAATGCAAATAATAAAATTACTGACGATGTCTGGATAAAATTGTAATATCCCTAGATTTTTCCGGTGTGTGTATATTATTTATTAAACTATAATAGGGGTAAATTAAATCAAAGTAAACATCTATAAATTTAAATAAAGTTCATAAACTAATTTCGATTTTGAAAATAGCTACTAACTGTCACTAGAAACTTACCATGACGACAGCAGCCATTTTGGTTGCCATTTTATTGAAAAATTGCTCTTTATTCAAAATTTGAGCTGGATAGGTATAGGAAGCTCTCATATAGTTTCAGAGAGCATTTGAATCTGCTTCGATTTATTTAAAAAAAATACTTGATATTGTATTTGAAATATTAACGAAGTTTTTATGTAAAATAAATATTTAAAATAGACCAACAATTTTTGATACCCCTGTATAAATTAAACGAAGCAAACAAATTTTTCAGTAAAGTTTATTTCTCTGGCTTAAAGAAGAATTAATTCTGAAAAGCAATATACAGGGTGTGGACAATCTTTTCTTCAATTATAGCATGCATATATTTAAAAATCTTTAAATATCGCAAAAACCAAAGCTTGTAAACATATTTAACCCTTATAATAAATGCCTTATTTTGTGTCCAAGGATCCAAAAATAAAATAAAATACTGGGTGTTCCATAAGAAAAAATATCCAAACTTTGGTGTGGATCTTAGTTTTGACGTACCCTGTACATTTCATAATAATTTTGAATTATGCACATTGACTTCTTACATATACCCATAAAATATTTTGTTTCAACATCTTTTTCTTGTATAATCAATCGAGGCGAATAAGGTGCGCTATCCTGTATATAGGGCGAGTCAAAACTAAATGTTGTATATTTCTCTACAGTTTTAAAAGGAACACCCTGTATTTTGTGTAATAATGGAACAAGGATTTCCTTAATCTTTTGTTTTATTAAGCACTTCCTATATACCTAAAATCGATATTTAATGATAAAGTTGTTTTTTTGAAAATATAAGGCAAGATCTGTCTGTCGCTCTTTGAATAGTAGGCGTTTTCTATTTTATTTCAACAACCACTCAGTATACTATATGACATTATGGTATTTTTGGAATAAAAATTTAATAGCAAATCCACTGCTGAGTTAAAAAAAATATACAGGGTGGCCCATCGAAAACGTTCCGCAAGGCATAACTTCCAGGATATTTTTTTTTCAAAAAATCCAAAAACACGTCAATTTTGTTTGTGATGGGGACAACTTTTGCCCCAAAAATGATTGCAAAATCTTCAACCCTCTAAACGGGGGCGTCATCCCCCAACTTTTTCAAATGGGAAGGGGGGTCAAGTGGCGCCGCAATGAAAAGAGCTTTCTATTCTCTATATTTCCCCGCTTCGTTTTTGAAAATCGGTCGAGTCATTGAGAAAATATGAAGGATTGAAATTTGAAAAGTTTATTTAAACATTTATCAGAGTAAATGATAAGGATAAATTCCTTCGACCAATTTGCTGTTTTTTCTTATTATTTCTAGATGTTTACGCATTTTTGCACTTGCCACAAGGTTGAACGATCAGGTGCTGTCTCAATATAGTTAAACTGTCCTACAATAGAATTTCCAAAAATACCAGCCCGCGACGATCAAAATCGTCTTCGTTGAGTTCTTGTACCAATTGAATTTTGTACGGGTGGAACTTGTGTTTTTTTAATATTCTTTGGATACTTGTACGATTCACGCCGGTCTCATTGGCTAATTTTCTTGTACTCGGCGTACTATCCATGACAACTTCACCCAATACGAATACCTCTATAGCTCCATTTACTACAGGACTTTCCCACTGCCTCTTTTCATTCATAACGGAACCAGTTTCGCAAAATTTTGCTACTAACTCGCGAACAATTTTGCCATAAAGGTGTTTGTCAGGATGGCGTTCATTGAATATCTGCGCAACCCGATTGCCACATTCATTATTTTTAAAATAAAGTTCGATTATTTCCACTTTTTCTGCAAGTGAGTACACCATAATTGTTAAAAAGTTTAATGACATTGAGAAGAACTTCAACGCACAAGTCACAGAACAGCTATCTAGCAACTACCGCACCTGATCGTTCAACCTTGTGGCAAGTTTTACGTTTTCGATGGGCCACCCTGTATATAGTTTTATCTTTACTAATAAGCAAAATAGCCTTCAATTGACACCAAAATGGGACACTCTGTACATTAAAGAAAATTGTAAAAGTGAAGAACAGTAACATACGTTATAATTAAATACATATATGCCTTTGAATAAATGAGAGTAGAAAGAATAACAAGAGAACGAAAGGAAAAAGATGAATGAGAGCAGAGTCTACATTTGTTCAGATAATATTTGTCTTTTTAATATCGTTCGAAAAACAGACCCATTTAAACATTTTACAAACGCACCGCATATCAAACCGTTAAATAATTTTAAAATACTTAAACATGAAACTTCTCTTAAAATCTGTTAAATTGTAAATGAAGATTTTATTAAATGAAGAACAATTTCTCGAGACTATAGTAAATTGTGTCCTTTTTTCCTTGTTTCTTTAAAGATATTTAATAAATACACTCGGTATAATACCTGATTCCATTAAACAATGTAAGTAAACCACTAGAAAATAGTAATTACACATAATTAGAACGCATTCCTATGTTTATCGTTTAATTTGGTGCAGTAAAATTTTCAGCATCTCATAATTAATACAATTAGTATTGTTAGTATGTGTCGTTGTTTCTTATAAGGAAGGTTTGTATGGTCAGAGTAAAATAAAACACTACATCACCACTCTGTTTATACCAAAGCACAATATTTTTAACACTGGACGCTAGTTTCGTTAACATTGTTAACAATCATTAACAAATAATTAAAACTCCTCACACCCTAGTTTTAGTCATCAGGTTGTCCATTGAGGAGGAGAGCATTATTGGTGCGTTTTATAAGTGTTTTTTTTTTTACTTTAAAGTTTATCTTTAAATTTGCTTTTTTCCAATGAGGTTCCTTTGTAGACAACCCGGGCTTCCGACCACTTTATGTTGTGTTGCTTCAACCAGACATAATCTGCAATAACTGTTTTTATTTTCACCAGGTGGGCTACTAGATAATTTAATTCTAGCGGGAACACACTGCAAACGACTGATCGCTTGAGGGAAACAGGAAAGCGCACTGTGTGGTTATCCAAAGAAGGCTTCGTATCACTGAGATATGGTGCAAGCAGGACTGTCAGGACTGAGTATCAACTCAGAAAAAACCGCGGTAGTGCCATTCACCAGAAAGCGAAGTCTGAAAAACTTGAAAAGAATCCAAATAGATGGAAAATAAATACCGCCACCAGTAATAACCCTGGGTAGTAAACTTGCTTGGTATACAAAATTAGAGCAACGTACAGTAAGGATAAACATGTGCAAAATGCAGAGGCTGACATTAGAGGAGCCATGAGAATCTGCCCAACAGCAGCAATGGACGTCATTCTAGACCTAACACAATTTTTATTGGTAGATATGCCAGTGCGACAATGATTAGAATGGCCATTGACGGAAACAGTACTGGGAGAATTGTCAGTTCAGGAGCTTGGAACACCCTCAATTCCACTAATTTAACTCAAAAAGACTGTACAATTTTTAGAAACACCTGACTGTAGTATTGAGCAATAAAAAGGATTGAAAGAGGGAAACGTTTTGCTCAGCAGGTAATAGAATATTCTATTAACATCAATATCATAATTTTCTCAAATTTTTTTTCGAAAATTTTCCCCAAAATTTGAGTTCGATAACCCCATTTACGTAACCACATTACTTAAATATGATTATTAAGTTCCAACTAATTCATATTATTAAAACATCTAAAATACAAATATGTATTTTTAAAATTAATTGTAAGTTGATCTCATCTCTCTTAAAAATTGCTACTTCTCAAAATTTCCCATTAAAAAAATGCAATCTAACCTAACCATAATATACCATATAAAATTAAATAATTGAAAGATCGGGCTACGGAAAATCACACAAATTTTCGGAAAAATTTTGACCAATTCGCACACAATCGTCAATTAAAAAAACTACTATTTTAGAAAAAAAAATTGCATAGTATTTACAAGGCGAAGTTATAAAAATTTGGAAGAACTAATAATGCACTGACGCACACAAAAATCAAACGAATACTAAATTTCATTTATCAAAAGCATTCGATAGTCGTGGCTCGTGGCGCAACGATAACCATTTAGTCGCACGGCGAGGTTGTCACATATGCTTTAGTATACAAATGAATGAATGATTTTATTCGAATAAAATCATTCGATAGTAGAAATCATTCATTCAGTAACCATTCGATAGTCTAATTCATTCGATAGTTCCCATCGCTAATAAAAAGAAAGTTGCTTAAATCTATTCAGCTAAAGGAGGGAAGCTCTCAGGGGGGAAGATTTACTTCTAAAATATAATGACAGGCAATAATAACTGTCAATATCATATATTCTCTCGTCGAACAGACTATATACAAAATCTCCGATTCGTGAATAACGTGACAGAATTATGAAATATCAACCATGATTACCATTGTCATTCTCTCTAAGTATAGATTACGACCACACGAGTAGTACCATTATGACTTAATTTCCCTCGTTCGTCGATCGGATGCAAGTTATCTGTGTCATTGGTAAAAGGTACTGGACGGTGCACAGTTAAATCGATCGAATTGCGAAAACACGCAATATAATTATTGTTGTTGCTCCTAACGGAAAAGCGGTACCGCCACGACTGATCCGACCGACAATCGTCGAGTTCCCACTCTCGTGGGAGTACCGCGGATATAATTATGCTCTTCGGGACACGATTCGGAGGAAAACTGGAACGTTTTGGACGAAACAAAACGCTGAAAAGAAGATTTATCGCCGAGGAGCATCTTTTCGTTTATTCTTCGCTGCATCTCGAGGCATTTTTATTCGGGAATTTCTTCTTTTATTCGGATTCGGACAATAGATATTATTTGTTTAACTGTGAGAGAATCTCGCGAGGCTGAAGAGTTTGCTGCACAATTGGAGTTGAATTAAACCATGAAGTGCCTACTTTTTTTTATAATTACAATAATTTAGTAGATTAACGTATTAGTAGATTAACGTATTTTTAATTATCGCTATACCGGGTGCGTCTCGAAAGTGGCTACCTCTATACTTTGAATAAGAAGACTAAGGAAGGAGCATAATGCTATCCATGTATTCATGCATGGTGGGCGGAAAAGCCACCATAAAAGCTCTCTAGGGTGGGGATCCTGACAGTTCTGTTTGACGATTCATTTGACACATTTGAATTTGATTTGAAATTTTGTGGATTTGTCAGCCTTTACGGAGCTTATTTTATGTTATTTATTATTTATTCTACTACTGATAGTTGTATAAAGGTAGTAAATCTAGATGGAAATTGTGGCAGAACTTAAATTAACAGTGACACTATCGCGATTTATCGAAAAAGACTCTAAAATAGTTGGTTGTGTAGCGTGCGGTAGATCTCGGCAAAAATTGAGTGAAATAATGGAACAACTTTTCGCTAGTAAGTGACTATATAATATACATACGTGTAGTAAACCGATCATTGATGAAATTTACTTAAATTAACTAAATTATATATTTTTCTTGCATTTTTAGCTTTTATTTATTACTTGTCAAAGATTAGATGTCAAAGAATTTAGATACGTTAATTTGACTTACCTGCTTCAGTAGCGTATCGGATGTTTGTGTTAATAAATACTTATTATAACTTATCTATTTTTATTAGAATTATATATTTTTATAACAATTTTAATAACTACCAACATTTATTCACAACATAAAATAAAACAACAAATTATTGAGTCTACCCCACGTCTACCCTACATCATAGTTTTACATTTTTTAAATAAAATTAGAACGACACTGATAAACCGGAATTTAAGTCGGCCATATTTGAGGCCCATCGCGGTGTACCTAAGATTTTTGATATGCTCCTTCCTTAGTCTTCTTATTCAAAGCCTCTATACCATTTTTATTTTTTCAGATAAAATATCGAGATTTGATATGTCATGTACTAATGACATAAATTAAGATTGATGACGTATTCAGTCGTTTTCGGTCACTTCCTGTTTCATCGGAAATGACTACAACTTTTGATTTTTAAATGGCACCCTCGGTATATTATTAATTTTTTCGATAGAAAATGACACTCTGAATAGAATGATATATCATATACTTTTGACATCTTCGCATATGGTTTATTTGAAACTGTAACATGCGGTTCATAACGACAATTTGACTCGAAATACCAATTGTGTGGTACCAAATTATTCGTAAATAAATACTTTTTTCCAAATATGCTAATGAACCACCCTTGTTCCATTTGAAAAAGTTGAGATATGATTAAAAATACGATTTGGGCATCTTTTAACCAGCCAGGACAACACACGAAAAACCTTAAACTATCAAACCTATTTTTCCAAATTAGTGTTTTTAACATAGCCATGGCACTCTAGATGGAAATTTAAAATACAATTTTTTTAAGCGAAAATGTCAAAAGCTGACATATGATATGTCATTCTATTCAGAGTGTCATTTTCTATGGAATAAAGTAGAAATATACCGAGGGTGCAATTTAAAAATCAAAAGTTGTAGTCATTTCCGGTGAAACAGGAAGTGACTAAAAACAATTGAATACGTCAATCAGTCCTATTTTATGTCATATACTAACATACCAAATCGCATTTATTTATCTGAAAAAATAAAAAAATTATAGGGGTGAGCCACTTTTGAGGGGGTATCAAGCAAAAATAAACCCCAACGTTAATTAATTCAAAATTTATTAATTTTTTTAAGCTCTCTATGAAACTTATTGTCAAATATAATTTGTGACACTAACATAAAATTCCATATTTTAGCTAACTAGATTCAACGTGCCTGCATAGATCATAGATCGGACAATTTTTTTTCCTCAAAAAATATGCGCGGTTGCGTTTTTTACAAGGGACAAAAATGTAAGGACCATCGAAGAAGGACCATCGTAAGAAAAATAATCGGTCGTCGGCTAAGTTAGAAAATATATATACTAAATTTATGTAGGGGTGGGGATGGTTTTCACCCTTTCCGTACTTTTTCTTGATTTTTGTGAAAGTCAAATGTTAAAGCACTTAGCAAAACACATACACCCTAAAGCTCATTCAAATCGGAATAACGGGTCTTAAAATATCTTAAAAATTTATTTATTTTTTTTTGGTGCCCTCTAACGAAGCACTTTTCTATAGAAGTAAATTGTGTCCAATATACATATTTTGATTACAAAAATACGTAGTAGTTCTATGTCCACGGAATATTGGAACACCCTATATAATGTTAGTATTGTACAATATGATCGAAAAAAACGACCTCAGCGATGGCTATGAAATGAAGATCGCTGTCATTTTATATGTAAAATTATATGGGAAATGTCATCGATCGTCACTTCAAAGCCAAATGGACGCCGTTTTTTTTTCGATCAAGGTTTTTTCAAAGATAAATAGTTAAAGATTTGAATAAAGTCTTTCAGTAGGTAGCTAAAGTAAAATTAAATTAATAACAATATTTATACAATATGGTCAAAAAACAAAACGGCGTTAGCGATGGTTTTGAAATGAAGATCGCTGGTATTTTATATGTAAAATTTTATGGGTAATGTCACCGATATTAATTTTAAAGCCAACTGAACGTCGTTTTTTAGATCATACGGTATTTACCTGCTGAGTAAACCAGTCCTGTAAATGTTCCATTGAAACCTATCCGAATTTTCATGTAGTCGTCTTGACATTCAGCTTCGATATCTGAAAAAAAAAACAGTATTATGAAACAAAGAGCAAAAATGGCTATATTCAATTTATCTATGAATTAAAATGACAGAAAATGACTGTCACTGTCATTGTATCCTTTTGCTGGATAGACTATAGAGCGGTTGGTATACTAGGAAGGTAGTGTACTACACTTCAAGTGCTTCTTATTACGTTATGATTGTTAATCCTATGGAACAAATTAGGCAAATAAAACAAATTAGGCAAACAAAACAAATTAGGCAAAGAAAATAGTCCTCCTACTCTGCATGGCTGCCAAGGTCTAAAAGGCAATGAAAAAGCAATCGATCTAGCTAGAAAAGGAGTGAACACTCCACTAACTGGACCAGCATCGTTTTTCTTTCCAAGTGGAAACAAACTTAAGGCGGAACTCAATAACCTGGAAGACTCCATCCGTAACCTGGAAAGGGGATCCTTCAACAACGGTCTAAGACACTCTCAAGAAATTTCTCAGAACTTACTACCGCGAAAAATTAAAGATTTTCCTTGATTTAAGGATTAATCTTCGGATTTTTACGGTTTTTTTACAGGACACTATCTCCTTAACGAAAATAACTCAGTAAATTGAAGCTAAGAAACAACGGCAAATGAATATTCTGTGGGGAAAAAGGGGAAACACCAGAACACCTCATCACTGAGTGCGCCGAGATGACAACCATTCGTGCCATAAATTGTGCTAGGATTGATATCGGAAATGGAGAACTAGCCTCGTAAAGCCGTCTTAGATACTGGCTTTTGTCAAAGCCCCGAAACTGTATGATCAGTTATAACTCGTTATAAATCAAGAAACGAGGACATACAATAGATCTGTAAGATCTGCCACGATGATTAACACCTCCCAAACATTCTACATTCTATTCTAATGAATTGATGGCCAAAGGATTAGAACTCACGACCTTTAAGTTGACAGACGACATAATATGTACCTCTATACCACCGGGTACCTCCAAAAAAGCATTAATCTATACTAATATATAAAATCCTTAAGTGACTGACTCACTGATTAATCACGATCCTGCTCAAACCACTCAACGTAAGAAGTTCAATTTTGGCATACAGGTTGATTCTAGGGTGTAGAGGTTCGATAAGAAGGGATTTTTCAAAATTCCAGTTCCAAGGGGTTGAAACCACATCTCAAATATTACAATATTTTTTATTTAAAAAACGGCCAAGTTTCCGAAAAAACGCTTAAACACATATATTTTATTTTGTTTTTTACATATTTTAAGATTTTTTAAAAACATATACAGGGTGTTTCGAAAAATCTGGTCATTGATAAATCACGATCCTGCTTAAAGCGCTTGACGTAAAAAGCGGATTTTTGGAAAACGGATTGACTTTTGGGTGTAGAGGTTCGATAAGAAGGGATTTTTCGAAACTCAAATTCTAAGGGGGTGAAACCACCCCTCAAATATTAGAATATTTTTATTTAAAAACCTGTGAGTTTTTCGGAAAAACTCTTAAACACGTATATTTTATTTTGTTGTTTTACATATTTTAATATTATTAAAAAAATTATACAGGGTGTTTCATAAAATAAGACCGTTGAGTAATCACGATTCTGCTTAAACTGCTTGACGTTTAAAGCTGATTTTTAGCAAACGGATTGACTGTGGGGTGTAGAGGTTCGATAAGGAGGGGTTTCTCGAATTTCAAATTCCAAGAGGGTGAAAACGCCCCTCAAATATTACAATATTTGTTATTTAAAAAACGGTTATTCTTTCGGGAAAACGCTTGGACACGCATAATTTTTTTTACATATTTTGAATGTTTTTAAAAAATCATACAGGTTGTTCCAAAAGTTGGGTAATTAATTAACCACGATTCTGTTTAAACTGCTTGACGTAAAAAGCTTATTTTTGGCAAACGGATTTTTCGAAAGTCAAATTCCAACGAGATGAAACTACCCCTCAAATATTACCAAGTTATATAATAATATGGCCATATTGTTTTTTCTCATGCTGACATAAATGTGAGAAAATTTTATCCAGTTTGTATGTTAATGGAAATTCTTGCTTTGCTTTATTATCACCATTACAAATGATTAATTCGACCCAAACGAAGTCGCGGGTACACGCTAGTACTTGTATAAATATTAAAAAAAAACCTTTATCATGCATCTCTAGCCTTAGGATCTCCACTGATATCATCTTTCTCAGCACGTTACGAGATTTCGTGAAAAATGGCGTCTTCAATTCACGCAAACGGTCGTTTACTAACAAGAAATGGTACCTCGCAATAGCGCTTCCGTTTTCGTCGACTTCTTCATCGCTTACGTCACCGCCAGCTCCGGTACTTAGTTCCAGGCAAGTAAGCTGGAAAGCGCGTGTGTGTATGTGCCGAGATCGTGCCGTTTGATAAATTCTGACCCACTTATGACGTAGTATTCGGTACTACACACGCACGAAGATACGTCATAGACATTAATAAATATAGATTACTTACCTATAGGTACGAGCATACGGTACATATGTATAAGAAATAGACTAATCATATACAGGGTGTCCCAGGCTGAGCGTGCATTAGAAGTTTCTAGAGAACTAGAATATCTAGATTTGAGATTTTTTGGTCATCATTGTTTCACAACGAAATCTATCGATTAAAAATATTTTCAATATGGCGGCACTTCCGAAAATACCGAAAGTTGACAGCAACTTTCTTATTTCAAATGGGTACCCTTATTTTTTATTACATAATTAAATTCTCTGTAAAATTCATATTTTGTAATTCTGCATTCTGTAAAATCATATTTTTCAAATGGGAACCCACTTTTTTATTTCACTAGTGAAAAGGTTTTTCAATTCGTTACTTTTTAACGATACATGTTCCTATACCTAAAATAAATCGTTTTTAAGTTTTATTTTCATTTAAGATTTAGTTTGAAAACGTATATTTTTCTTGATTTTATGTAGTTTCCTTTGACATTAAGTGTCAAACAGTTAGACAATTTATTTCCATCTGTCAGAAAACGAATTATTTGAATTTTCTATATTATAAATGTATTTAGTTATATAGTGTATTTATAAAAATATATCTCGTATTTTCGATCTTTAGTGATATTTATAATATCTAATAGTTGATATTATTAATAATATACCCTATGATAAAAAAAAACAGCGCAAAGTTGCTTGGAAATGATCGATAACATGCTTATTGAACAAAAAGTCCCAATATGACAAGGCCAGATCTATTGTTTTACATCACTTGATGTTTGAAGTCATAGGCTACTGGTTAAAATCAAGAAAAATATACGCTTTAAAACTAAATTTTAAATAACTTAAAAACGATTTGTTTTAGGTATAGGAACATGTATAATCAAAAAGTAACGATTTGAAAAGCCTTTTCACTACTGAAATAAAGAAAGTGGGTTTCCATTTGAAAACAAAGGTTTTGTGATAATTTTTTAATCGCTCAATTCCATGACAGCTGCGGCCATTATTATATGACATTCGAACAATTTAATTTTCGAAATAGGTAACCATATGACTTCTCTTTATGGCACAGTGGCTGTTGTAATAACTAAATTTGACGTTTAGGCTATACACATATTTTTGATGGGCAGTTTTTTTCGTCCAAAAATTTTAAATATTTTTTTTTCTCAAAAACGGATATGTTAGGTATAGAGTATTTAATATCAAAATTCATAAAATTTTACACATAATTTAAGTAAGTAATATAAAATGGGGGTATTTACGCATTTAATATAAGAAAGTTGCCGTCAACTTACGGTATTTCTGAAAGTGCCGCCACATTGAGAATATTTTTAATCGATAGATCTCGTTGTGAAACAGTGATGTGCAAGAAATCTCCGATCTACATATGGTAGTTCTTTAGAAACTTCTACTGCACGCTCAGCCTGGAACACCCTGTATATTGATTTGTTTTGATCTGGCAGAGACAAGCCTAATACAAACAGTTATTTACGGTTTTAATATATTTAATTATTTATAGTTATAATAATCTTAACTACAACGTAACAATTATTAAGTAATCCTTCTCTAAAACAGTCTTGCCAACTATTCCAATCATCGATGATCGCTCTGTATTTAGTATTAAGTGTAGATTTCAATCTATAACTTTTAATATCGATGGTATAGCAAAAAGGTTCGCAATGCCACGGATGTTCTATTGTTTGTTTTCAATTTTATTTTCTGTGTCGATACATCTATATCGGTTAACGCCTGTTAAGTAATTATTACGCTATTTTTATCGGTTTCTTTTTTTAATTGATTAGTTTTAACGCTTCGAATAGCATTGTTGTAGCAAGGGTAAATACTTTTGTAATATGACTCAAAAACCTGTATGGTATATAATTTACGGCAAATTGAAAAGTAAAACTTAGATTTTTAAACAAATTGTGAAAACTATTGAATATTAATTTAAAACATACATAAGATTTTTAATTTAAAACCTACATAACTTATCAACAAAATACACACACCGGAAAAGTCTAGGGATATTACAATTTTATCCAGCCATCGTCAGTCATTTTATTATTTGCATTTCTGATATAATAAAATTAAAATAAACAAATAGTTTACAGGACGTATTGGAAATAAAAATGCGAAATTTACCGAATTTTTCAAATTTACTTTGATTTTTATTGTACTCAAAAAAATACACACATTTTTTTTAATTCTAAACTGTGAGTAAAAAAAGATAAAACCAATTTTACTTAATAAAGAGTAAGGCCTCCCCTACTGCTCATTACAGCCCTACATCGTCTCTCCATGCTCCTGATCAGGTTGTCGATCTCTTCTTGAGGTACAGCCTGCCACGCTGCATTCACGGCCCGAACCAGATCCCTACGAGTTTTACGAGGCATACCCATTCTCAAAATTCTTCTTTGGACCGCGTCCCATACGTGCTCGATGAGGTTGAGGTCAGGAGATTGTGCCGGCCAGGGTAAGATGTTTAATTGATGAGCATTGATAAACTCACTTACCACTCTGGCTGTATGAGGCCGTGCATTGTCA